TGTTGAACGTCAAATCACCAGCTGTAGCTCTAAGCACATCTCAAGATCTCTTACTGGCTGGCCCGGTGCAAGCAGCCACTATCGTTTGCGACGAACACCTAGGCGCGCGTTTGGTCGGCAACAGCTCCAAGTCAGATAGATCCCAGGCAGATCCTCCACTATGCCCGCCAGCGGATCTGTTTGAAGAAGCAAGTCTTGTACGCAGCGTTTTGCTTGTTCGCTGTCTCCGACTTGGGAATCCCAAGATATTTTCGCGTCTTGGACAGTGTAAACTTTGACGGCAAATGCATGGCGACCAACTTCATCAAGAACTGTCGCCTTCGGCGGCTGAATTTATACAAAATGAGCCCTGTAGCTGTAGAATGTGCCCTTTTGCCGCAAAGTAAGAGAAAAAAACTGTAAGTATCCCGTAAACGCAGGTTAGATGGATGTGTTCGCAGTGAGAAAATGGGCCTCATCACTGCTTGAGTCGTTCTAAGCCTCGGTTTAGATGAAATGATTAACCGGCTGAGAACTTGATTTCGGATTGTTCGGGAGAGGCAACACTGTTGCCAACAGTACATCTGTGCTCGTGGATAGAGAACATCATCTCAGCATTCTCTATAGGACCGCGTTCTAAACAGTCAAAAGTTCTGCACCTATCCTATCCGTACTTGTCAAGTTTGTACGCTCGTACAGTATTAAAGCACAAACTTGAAAGTGAAATGGTTGTTAGGCCTTGCAACCATTTGACTGGCCAAGGCCCTAAAACGTTGTGCCGACGGCGGACCCCGTCGGCGAAGGCCTTGAAGAAATATACCTTTGGGAGCGCGCCCTGATTTCCATGGAAAGACAAATACTGTAATACGGTACATTCAGTAAAGAAAAAAAGTCGTCAGCCTTGCGAGAGTGTTTATCTAAGATCCAACTAATCCCTGCACAAGACTTCATGCATTTGCTTCATGTCGCTACAGTACTGTACTGTAAGCCTGTCTTGGCCAGCAGCAGGATTGTGATGCACAACGTTTACGAGTACCGTGCACAACCAGTCGGCAACCCGCCCGGGGAAATTCGCTCTTGTAGCACCCGGGTCTTTCCTAGACGCACACATTTGTCCACTACACGTCAGCCTTACGGCTTCACCGTGGCACCATGTATAACGTAGCATGTCACCACATCTAACACACTGTAGAATCAAAAACCTTTACAAACTACACCGATATCTGCATGAACATTAAACCGTGACCATCGTGCTCTTAGAGGCAGGAAGCGTTTTCTCAGCACCTGCCTCGACTGGGGCTTTCGTGGCCTTCGCACCCTTTACCAGCGTAGAGTCAACCGAACCGGACTTGCCCTCGCTAATGATTCCGTCCGAACCGTCCTCGAACAGGCTGCCGATACCGCTGCCGGACGCCGTGCCCGTCTCCTCCGACTCGGACGCTTTGGTGGACTTGCTGGACTTGGTAGCCGTGCTCGGCGCCTCGGTCTCCTTGACACCCTTCACAAGAGTAGGGTCGGCCGAACCGGACTCGCTCTCGCCAATGATTCCGTCCGAACCGTCCTCGAACAGGCTGCCGATACCGCTGCCGGACGCCGTGCCCGTCTTCTCCGACTTGGACGCCTTGGTGGACTTGCTGGACTTGGTAGCCGTGCTCGGCGCCTCGGTCTCCTTGACACCCTTCACAAGAGTAGGGTCGGCCGAACCGGACTCGCTCTCGCCAATGATTCCGTCCGAACCGTCCTCGAACAGGCTGCCGATACCGCTGCCGGACGCCGTGCCCGTCTTCTCCGACTTGGACGCCTTGGTGGACTTGCTGGACTTGGTAGCCGTGCTCGGCGCCTCGGTCTCCTTGACACCCTTCACAAGAGTAGGGTCGGCCGAACCGGACTCGCTCTCGCCAATGATTCCGTCCGAACCGTCCTCGAACAGGCTGCCGATACCGCTGCCGGACGCCGTGCCCGTCTTCTCCGACTTGGACGCCTTGGTGGACTTGGTAGCCGTGCTCGGCGCCTCGGTCTCCTTGACACCCTTCACAAGAGTAGGGTCGGCCGAACCGGACTCGCTCTCGCCAATGATTCCGTCCGAACCGTCCTCGAACAGGCTGCCGATACCGCTGCCGGACGCCGTGCCCGTCTTCTCCGACTTGGACGCCTTGGTGGACTTGCTGGACTTGGTAGCCGTGCTCGGCGCCTCGGTCTCCTTGACACCCTTCACAAGAGTAGGGTCGGCCGAACCGGACTCGCTCTCGCCAATGATTCCGTCCGAACCGTCCTCGAACAGGCTGCCGATACCGCTGCCGGACGCCGTGCCCGTCTTCTCCGACTTGGACGCCTTGGTGGACTTGCTGGACTTGGTAGCCGTGCTCGGCGCCTCGGTCTCCTTGACACCCTTCACAAGAGTAGGGTCGGCCGAACCGGACTCGCTCTCGCCAATGATTCCGTCCGAACCGTCCTCGAACAGGCTGCCGATACCGCTGCCGGACGCCGTGCCCGTCTTCTCCGACTTGGACGCCTTGGTGGACTTGCTGGACTTGGTAGCCGTGCTCGGCGCCTCGGTCTCCTTGACACCCTTCACAAGAGTAGGGTCGGCCGAACCGGACTCGCTCTCGCCAATGATTCCGTCCGAACCGTCCTCGAACAGGCTGCCGATACCGCTGCCGGACGCCGTGCCCGTCTTCTCCGACTTGGACGCCTTGGTGGACTTGGTAGCCGTGCTCGGCGCCTCGGTCTCCTTGACACCCTTCACAAGAGTAGGGTCGGCCGAACCGGACTCGCTCTCGCCAATGATTCCGTCCGAACCGTCCTCGAACAGGCTGCCGATACCGCTGCCGGACGCCGTGCCCGTCTTCTCCGACTTGGACGCCTTGGTGGACTTGCTGGACTTGGTAGCCGTGCTCGGCGCCTCGGTCTCCTTGACACCCTTCACAAGAGTAGGGTCGGCCGAACCGGACTCGCTCTCGCCAATGATTCCGTCCGAACCGTCCTCGAACAGGCTGCCGATACCGCTGCCGGACGCCGTGCCCGTCTTCTCCGACTTGGACGCTTTGGTGGACTTGCTGGACTTGGTAGCCGTGCTCGGCGCCTCGGTCTCCTTGACACCCTTCACAAGAGTAGGGTCGGCCGAACCGGACTCGCTCTCGCCAATGATTCCGTCCGAACCGTCCTCGAACAGGCTGCCGATACCGCTGCCGGACGCCGTGCCCGTCTTCTCCGACTTGGACGCCTTGGTGGACTTGCTGGACTTGGTAGCCGTGCTCGGCGCCTCGGTCTCCTTGACACCCTTCACAAGAGTAGGGTCGGCCGAACCGGACTCGCTCTCGCCAATGATTCCGTCCGAACCGTCCTCGAACAGGCTGCCGATACCGCTGCCGGACGCCGTGCCCGTCTTCTCCGACTTGGACGCCTTGGTGGACTTGGTAGCCGTGCTCGGCGCCTCGGTCTCCTTGACACCCTTCACAAGAGTAGGGTCGGCCGAACCGGACTCGCTCTCGCCAATGATTCCGTCCGAACCGTCCTCGAACAGGCTGCCGATACCGCTGCCGGACGCCGTGCCCGTCTTCTCCGACTTGGACGCCTTGGTGGACTTGGTAGCCGTGCTCGGCGCCTCGGTCTCCTTGACACCCTTCACAAGAGTAGGGTCGGCCGAACCGGACTCGCTCTCGCCAATGATTCCGTCCGAACCGTCCTCGAACAGGCTGCCGATACCGCTGCCGGACGCCGTGCCCGTCTTCTCCGACTTGGACGCTTTGGTGGACTTGCTGGACTTGGTAGCCGTGCTCGGCGCCTCGGTCTCCTTGACACCCTTCACAAGAGTAGGGTCGGCCGAACCGGACTCGCTCTCGCCAATGATTCCGTCCGAACCGTCCTCGAACAGGCTGCCGATACCGCTGCCGGACGCCGTGCCCGTCTTCTCCGACTTGGACGCCTTGGTGGACTTGCTGGACTTGGTAGCCGTGCTCGGCGCCTCGGTCTCCTTGACACCCTTCACAAGAGTAGGGTCGGCCGAACCGGACTCGCTCTCGCCAATGATTCCGTCCGAACCGTCCTCGAACAGGCTGCCGATACCGCTGCCGGACGCCGTGCCCGTCTTCTCCGACTTGGACGCTTTGGTGGACTTGCTGGACTTGGTAGCCGTGCTCGGTGCCTCGGTCTCCTTGACACCCTTCACAAGAGTAGGGTCGGCCGAACCGGACTCGCTCTCGCCAATGATTCCGTCCGAACCGTCCTCGAACAGGCTGCCGATACCGCTGCCGGACGCCGTGCCCGTCTTCTCCGACTTGGACGCCTTGGTGGACTTGCTGGACTTGGTAGCCGTGCTCGGCGCCTCGGTCTCCTTGACACCCTTCACAAGAGTAGGGTCGGCCGAACCGGACTCGCTCTCGCCAATGATTCCGTCCGAACCGTCCTCGAACAGGCTGCCGATACCGCTGCCGGACGCCGTGCCCGTCTTCTCCGACTTGGGCGCCTTGGTGGACTTGCTGGACTTGGTAGCCGTGCTCGGCGCCTCGGTCTCCTTGACACCCTTCACAAGAGTAGGGTCGGCCGAACCGGACTCGCTCTCGCCAATGATTCCGTCCGAACCGTCCTCGAACAGGCTGCCGATACCGCTGCCGGACGCCGTGCCCGTCTTCTCCGACTTGGACGCCTTGGTGGACTTGCTGGACTTGGTAGCCGTGCTCGGCGCCTCGGTCTCCTTGACACCCTTCACAAGAGTAGGGTCGGCCGAACCGGACTCGCTCTCGCCAATGATTCCGTCCGAACCGTCCTCGAACAGGCTGCCGATACCGCTGCCGGACGCCGTGCCCGTCTTCTCCGACTTGGACGCCTTGGTGGACTTGGTAGCCGTGCTCGGCGCCTCGGTCTCCTTGACACCCTTCACAAGAGTAGGGTCGGCCGAACCGGACTCGCTCTCGCCAATGATTCCGTCCGAACCGTCCTCGAACAGGCTGCCGATACCGCTGCCGGACGCCGTGCCCGTCTTCTCCGACTTGGACGCCTTGGTGGACTTGCTGGACTTGGTAGCCGTGCTCGGCGCCTCGGTCTCCTTGACACCCTTCACAAGGGAAGGCTTGTCAAGAGCAGTAAAGTCGACAATCTTCTTCTTCTCGCCAGTCTCGCCCTTGCATTTCGCGAGGCGCATGGCACACTCGTTCGAGTATTCCTTGCCATTTTCGTCAACCACGGGCGAGTACTCCATGGTGCATGCGTCGGGGCACGACTCGCCGGTGCTGCTGCCTGCAGTGGAAGCCTTACTGGAGGCCAGAGCGCACTCGCCAGAGCTGGCTACGGCGAGGTCGGTCGCGTTGCACTGAGCAACGGTAAACGCGCACTCGTTCTTGTAGGTGACGTTGTCGGAACCGCAAACAGGCTCGTAGTCGCCGGGGCAGACCGTGTCGCAATCGTAGTGGTGGCTGCCAGATCCTTCCACCGAGTCCCAGCTCCAGTCCCACGAGCCCGAGTCGCTGGGGTAAACTGCAGGACCAGGACCAAGTCCCAAGTCGAACTTGGAGCCAGCCTCGCTCATAGGGACGGTGATGCCGATCGACGTGAGAAACTTGGGATCGACGGTTTTTGCGTCAGCTCCGCTCTCATCGCCAATGACGCCACCCGAGGCATCGTCAAAGAGGCTGCCGATGCCGCTGCCGGAGGTTTCCGAGGTCTTCGTCGACTTGGAGGACTTGGTCGCCTCGGTGGTTTTCGTCGCCTCCTCCACCGGGGTCTTGGACGAGAGCGTGGCCGGATCGCCAGCGCTCATGGAAGCAACAGCAATAGCCGCGAGCACAATGCCGATAGCGAGCTTCATTGTGTTTGGCGAGGAATAGGGACCTGGCGAAAGGTAGGGTAGCGCAAATTGCAAAATGACAGGCAAGCCTTCCTGCTTCCTCCAGTAGCGCAACCTAACGTGGTGTCCTTCCGTCGGCACGACCACTTTGCAGGCTGCAACACCGAAGACCCGTGTATCTTCCACTTCCCATCTGGAGAAAATTTGCCCGACACCGTCTATGGTACACCATCGATTCCCTACACCATCCGAGATTTTTTCTGCTCGAACGGCAAGCAGCGAGATCGATCGAGCGCCCCCGCCACAGTCTCCATGCAAACGCCTACTGTACACGTAGGACGCGCTGTAGAATTCGAACTTCCACCCCTTTAGGTAAGCCATCACCTTTTCAAGAAGTACCGTAGGCAAGAAGACTTTCCAGTCAAGAAGAAGCTCAAGGGAAAGATCTGAAATTTGTTGGTTTTTGACAAAACGACTATACTTCATAAAAGCATGACACGAGTTTTTTTGCTCCATCTGAGACGAGCGGATCAAGCGCTCTGCGTCGCGTTGGGGCCAAGGCGGACCGCGCGCACGGGGCTTTCCTCGGCCTGCTGTGTGGAGATGCCGCCGGCGCGACGCTCGAGTTCGCGCCCGGTACCATCACGGATTCGGATGTCTCGCGCGCGATGACGTTGCCCGGGGACGGCGTCTTCTCCGTGGGCAAAGGCCAGATCACGGACGACTCGGAGCTGGCGCTGTCGCTAGCGCACGGGCTCCTGGGGAACCGCCCAAGTGACGGGTTCCTACTGGAGGCCGTGGCGCAACGGTACGCGGCCTGGTGCGACACGAAGCCCTTCGACATTGGCAACACGTGCGCCACTGCGTTCGGCGTCCAGCCCGACGCTGCCGGCAACTACGCTCCGGCAATGACGCAGACAGCAGCGACCAGTTGCTCGGGTAGTGAGGCCAATGGGTCGCTCATGCGCATCGCTCCGCTCGCGATCTGGGCTGTGGGGGAGTCCGAGGAGACGATTGCCGCTCTCACCAGAACGGAGGCGACGCTGTCGCACCCGAGCCAAGTGTGTCAAGACTGCAATGCAGTTTACTGCCTCATGCTGGAGTACCTGTTACGCTGTCCGGGGGACTTCCAGGGCGCTTTGAGTCGGGGGGAGCGATTCGTGACGGCTGACGTGAACTCGGTGGTGCGGACGTGGTTCTTGGAGGAGCCGTTGAATATCTCCAGTCTTGTGTGTACGCGCAAGATTGGTCATGTTCGCTGGGGGTTCGTACTAGCAACGCACTTCTTGCGCCAGAATGAATCTTACGAACGGGCAATCCACCAAACACTGCTGAAGGGGGGTGACACCGATACGAATGCTGCCATTGTCGGCGGACTCATCGGTGCGCTGCACGGTGTGGATGTAATTCCACCTCGCATGCGAGAGGCCGTGCTCAATTTTGACGCGACGAACCCTTCAGCTACGCGTCGGACGCGTCCTGAGACGTACCGTGGGGCACAGGTTACCAGGCTTGTTGAGCAGCTTTTGGGTGAAGGCGCGAATTGAAGCTGTGAGTGCAAGTGCTGACTAAAGCAAACTTTTGGATACTTACACAAAGAACCTGTGCTGCGACTTAGCTTCTAATATTGAAACAAATCGATTGTGGCATGTTGCTCTGATACAACTGACTCGGCCAGTCGGTTGCGTCCATCGGGCGTTATAGACGTTGTAATTAGAAGCCTCGACACTCAATCTACGGTTTGCTAACATTGACTTCGGACCCTTCTAAGGACGATGCCAAACACCCATGCTGCAATTGTAGCACAGTAACAGATCAACCATGGTACCTTGCTTGATGCAACCAATTCGGTCAGTCGATCACCTACTACACGAAGGCGCTGTAGAACTTAAATCAACTCACGTAATAGAATCAATAGCTAGTGTGTTAGCAAGCACCTCCACCTTGCGAGTCCCAAAGCGAAGTAGATCAGTATCTGCCTGATGACCGTACATGTACAAAAAAGGTAACTGGAAAGAAAACAGCTACGGGATAAATGGTCTAAAGCACAGAAGAGCGCCATTGACGCGTTTGTTTTGCTTCTCGGATTGATATTCCTTGCATGTAGCCTCTTGTGTGCACCCGGTTTCTACCACGTGTAGCGCGTCATGGTGTACGTCGGGTCCAGTTGCGTCTTCCCGAGCAGCTTCTCAAGAAGATCAGGCTTCACACGCAGCTCCTCTTCAGTTGCACCCCACGCATTCACATTGAGTTCCTTGGCGTGGACACCACCAGCGATGAAGATGCTGTCGACTCCAGTATTCTTCGCACCCTGGATGTCGTGATGAAGCGAGTCACCAATGTGCACAACCTTCGATTTGTCCGTCGCATTCGCCAAGCGCAGACACACTTCGAAGTGCTCCTTCATCGGCTTGCCGAAGTAGACGACCTCTCCGCCCATTTCTTCATAGAGCTTGGCGATGCCACCTCCCATGTGCACGAAACGGTCGTTGGTGACAACGGCCAGCACGTCCGGGTTCGGACACAGCAGCGGCAGCTTGCGCTCCAGACCGCCGCGGAGGAACTCCTTCATAGCGTCGTTCACTTCGCCGGTGTGGCGGAAGTCCGTCGACAGTATCTCGGCTACGCGGTCGCTGTAGCAGACCTGCTGCGTGCCCTCCACCATAAGGAACTGGGCCTTGTCCAGACCCACGATCTCCACGTCCAGACCGTGGAAGATGGACTCTGGGTTCGACGCGCTCTTGGTGACCTTGCCGTCCAGGTCTGAGGTCATGAGCGAGCAGCGCGCGTGCGTGTCGCGTCTCTCGAGCAGGTAGTCGTGACACACTTCGCCGCCGGTGACGCCCTGGAAGTCGGTGGAGAAGCCCATGGGTCCCAGCTTGATGGGGAGGCCGCACGAGCGGTGCGCAGTGTTGGACAGGAGCACCACCTTCTTCCCCGCCGCGACCATGCGGTTGAAGCAGTCGACAGCTCCGACGTACGGCACGGTGCCATTGTGCAGCACCCCGTACTGGTCGATGAGCACCACGTCGTACTGCTCCAGCACTTCGGACAGTCCCTTGATGATCTGGTACGTGCGGAGGGACGACGGGGTGAGAGGGGGTTGATGGGGCATAACGATTCCGGTCATGTACATCTACCTTTGTCATCGTTTTCTGCTTGGTTTTGCGCGACGACTGCAATTTTGCGAATGAAAAAAAAACCACAAAAGCAAAACAACTTAACTGCTACTTCTCTGGCCCACTTAAGAAACAACATTCGGCATTAAACCTCAATTTGATGTGGGCCACATGTCACATATGATTGGGTATAATCAACTGTTTCAGCTTACGATTGGCCAAAATAAATGTGTCCGCGCATGTCGAGATAATCGCGTAGAAAAACCTCAAAACTGTAGCCCTTCTCCAACAGGCGCTACAACATCGACAACCGAAAAGCAGTCACTCGCGATTACGGTGATATTTATTTTCTAATATCGCTAATTTTTGACGGCACCTCGCTAAAAAACCTAATGTTGCCTAAAACGGACTTCAGATAAAAGGCTGTTTCTCTTTTCTTTCTGCTGCTAGAATTTTTAAATCGTAGCGTGAAACGGAGCAAATGCGCAGCTTTCGGTTGAGGTATTGCGAGTCGCCAAACGATTTTTTTGTAAATAGTTATGTCCAGAAAACCGAAGTGTTGTTTCTTATGTGGGCCAGAGAAGTACTTCAGAAGCTGAAGCGCTTGATCGCAGGCGCCAAGCCTGCATGCTCACCCGACCAACTAAATTTGAGCACCTCATGCTCCAATGTCATGGCGGTAGATGGAAGTTACTTCGCCAGTTGAAGCGAATGCGTTGCAGAACTAACTCGAGTAAGAGACCCAGTCCATAGTGCAACCATGTACATGTATTGGTGTGTTTCATCTCCCTTTCAGAAACGTTCCTAATTGTCGACTTCGTCTGTGCAACCTTGGTAGCTGGAGCGAAATGCACTTGACAAAGAGCGTTCGCGGCTTTTCATGATGCTTTTATTTCCAGTGGACGAGTTTTTTTCAGGGCGCTCCGTCCAAGCGTGTGAATACGTGTAAAACTCGCGTATGAGTTTTCAGTCGGTATGATTTAAAGCATGGTGATAATTTCAGAGTCTAGGGAGAGCTGCAATCGCCGCGTTGTTGTTTTTGTTGGAGGCGGCAACACGCTCCGTTTTGAAAAAAAAGTTAATTTTAGAGAAAAAAGATGTGTTTCACATGTTGCCTGCGGAGCATTAACCAACCTTATAGTGCTTCTTGATTCACCAAAATACTGGACGACAGTGTACTGAAGTACGTGTACCGGTAGTGGAGGGCGTGAACAAATACTCGACGCTTGCAGTTGTGCTGAAGACCAGCCCGCACATTGGAATGTGCAGGACGTGTGTCGAAATGTTAATTTTGTGTCCTCTGCGACCGTGCTGCAGCCCCATGCTTTTCTGTTCGAGGAGCTGCAGCCCAGAAGGAGAAGCGGAAATGCGCCCAGACGAAGGACGTGCTTTAAAATTGCAGAAAGCTATACCGATGCCCTCCGCCGTGCTGTCAAGTACAATACCGTACGCGTATTACATGCACGGAACTTTGCTTCATCGCTCCTGTTTGAGCAAGAGTCGGCAATGCTCGATTTCGGGCACGCAATATCGATGCAGTGTGCACTGCTGCAATGCGAAAGTTGAGCGAGAATCTCGCTGCGAGATTCCCAGGCAGCCGCCGGTTGGCCGGAGCACTGCAACGCGCATAGACGACGCCTGCCTTTCCCCGACCAGAGTGCCTCTCCGGATTGAAAACGAGAGCTGCTGCCGCCGTCGTGTCGAATGATGGCTTCGGCACTCTCGAATTCGCTGGGATCAAAGAGCGTGCTTTGCCGTCTCATCAAGCGGCATTCAATATGAAGCTGGCAGTCGGCGTCGTCCTCGCGGCTATCGCCTTTTGCTCCGTTTGCGCGGGCAAACCTTCCACGAGTATTCGCTCTGAATCGGCATCGGAGTCGACAGCAGCGTCAGATTCGGGCGAGTCGTGGGACTTCAGCTGGGATGCCTCGGACTCAGCGGACGGCTCCGGCGCCGGCTGCGACCAAATCTGCCCGACCGACTTCGACCCTGTTTGCGGATCTGACGGCGTCACATACACGAACGACTGCGCCTTCGGCATCGCCCAATGCAGAACACCGGAGCTGAATATGACGGCCACTGGAGAGTGTGCCGGCGGGTCCTTTGCGTCGTCCGTTAAAGGGTCGAACGCAGGCAGCGCCGCCGCAGCATGTCCCGATGCGTGTGTCGACGTATACGACCCTGTGAGCGACGAGAGTGGCAAGACGTACAGCAACGAGTGCTACATGCGGATGGCTAAGTGCAAGAACACGGGAGACAACTCTGACAAGGCGTCCAAGGCGTCGAAGGGCACCAAGTCCACAGAGAAGACCACGAAGACTACAAAGAGCTCTAAATCGGCCAAGTCGGCCAAAACTTCTTCGGCCAGCGACAGCGGTATTGGTAGTCTGTTCGAGGACGGATCTCATGGTGTCATCGGAAGCGCTAGCTCCGCATCGAGCGCTAACTGCTCCGGTAGTTGTCCTGATATTTACTCGCCCGTATGTGGCTCAGATGGTGTCACCTACTCTAGCCCTTGTAAGCTAGAGCTTGCTAGCTGCAAGAACCCCAAGCTCAAGCTCGTCGAGGCTGACGAGGACGTTTGCGCTGGCTCGGAGGCGTCCACTTCGAAGCAGGAAACTGTATCGGAGAAGGCGTCGAAGTCTACAAAGACGACTGTTTAGATGGCTACATAGTTCACACTAGCTGGCGCTATCCACGAAGTGAGTGTAGAGAGTAAATGTTAACCGCGATATCAAGTGCATCAATTCAAGACTGCCTTCGAAAATCTGCACCTCGACATCGACCTCTGTTGTTTCAGCAAGGTGCTGAAGCCCATGTGACTTTACTTGCAGTGGACACGGTTGGGGTTATTAGACCCCTGGGTATGTGCTTGGGAAGTGGCTCGCTTTTCCAGGAAATCCACCAGCCAAGCTCAGTCTTCAATTTGCTCCGGGTGGCTCCGATTGAAGCGAGCCCAGATGAAGCTAACTATTTCGCGTCTGCTGTTTTTGCATCTGCTTTCGCTGTAGATGCCGACATCGCAAACTCCACCACCTCTGGCTGCTCGACTGCCTGCACCAGGATATATCAATCGGTCTGTGGCTCGGACGGCGTCACTTATCCAAATGACTGCGTTCTCAAGGTTGCCCAGAGCGAGAGTGGTGGTATGATCACGCTGGTCTCCGATGGAAAGTGCCCAACGCCTTCGTCGTCCGCGGTGGGGCCAAGTGCAAGCAGCAACAATGGTGATGCGGGCTGCCCGGGCGCGTGCATCGACATCTACGATCCTGTGACCGATGAAAATGGTGTCCAATACTCGAGCGAGTGCTACCTGCGAATGGCCAAGTGCAGCGGATAGAAGGATCGAGGGACTTCGACCTCCTCCACGGGAAACGACAGCTCAAGTTGTGACAACCGAGTCTGTACCATGGACTACACGCCGGTGTGCGGCTGGAATGATGTCACTTACTCGAATTCCTGCAAACTGGGTCTTGCCAACTGCAAGGATTCCAGCATCACCCAAGCTAGCGACGGAGAGTGCGCAGCTATTAATAGTACCAGATAAACGGACACCGGCTCCCCAAGCATCGTATCCAAGACTAGCAGCTGCTGATTGTCTCCTGCGGTGAAGCCAGCCGGGCGCAATGTGGGTGTCCTGCCCCAGTAGTTACCGGTACTCATCAATTGTTGCCTGGCTATCAGTGTTGTATCACTCACTACCTAACTGAAGTATTCGAAGAAGAACACGAATAAAACCATGTATTATACTGGCAATATAACAATGTGATATTGCTGCAAGAAAGAAGTAAAGGAGTAGAAGAATGACATCATGTACAGTAATGTGTCTTAGAAGCCGTAGCTACAGCAATGTCTGTCGACAATACCTGTAAGCTACAGTACCGGACTACGCTCTGACTTCAACAGACTTCAACAAACACCGCGTTCGTAGCACCGTGTAATACGGAAGTCGTTACTACAACATTGCTACAACATCACGATATCTTAATGAGAGCAACACAGTACAGCATTGTGTTGCTCGGTAATTTATGCACAATTTAATTTTCGAAGAAATTCAAATTGAAGTTGAAATTTCACCAAGATATTTCCTTACCACTAAAGTATGAATCCCTCCCTTCCGCTCCAACTCCCATTTTGGGATTGCGAGAAACATCGCGGATGCCGCCGAAGAAGGGCTCGCTCGCAAGTGCGGCCACGAAGCGACGCACGGGTGCGAAAGGGGTGAAGAAGTCGCCCGCGAAGGTGAAGAAGTCGCCCGCGAAGGCGAAGAAAATGACGAAGGCGAAGAAGCCAGTGTCCGCTGTGAAGGGTAAGTGCAAATAATGCGGTGAATACTGTCACAAATTGATCTAATACGTCTCTACGTTGCTACTGCTTAGACAAGCGGATCAAGGGAGTCGGTAAGGTGCTCGAGGGAGCGAACAGCGCCGTGAAGAAGACCAGCGTAGGGCCTGTAGCGGAGGAACGCATGGGTAAGCAAAAACGATAAGGTTTGAACAAGGTGGCTCTAATGGGCACTAACTGCTTTTATTTCACATACCCGCTGCTACTTCCTGTAAAATAGGACGACGTGCTTCTCTACGAGCGCGAAAACCCGTTGACTACCTCCGTGCAGTGCTGGGTTTTGTCCAGGACCACGCCAGTGATGATGATTATCGTCCTGAAGACGACCCGGACGATGGCGTCGACGACCGGGACGACGGCCCCGACCTCGTGGACAACCTGGACGACTCGGACATCTTGCTGGGCACCGACGGACCCAACCAGAGCACGAGGAGCAACGTCAACTCGAGCGTTATGCCGAATAAAGTGCTACCCGTACAGGCCGCTACGCCGAGCGGCATTGTGCACCAGGTTGAGGTGCCAGATGACACGGCGCTCGACCAGCACGACGCGCTAGAAGCGGAGGGGCTGGGGAAGGACGCGGCGTCGGACGCCCCGGAGCTCAACCAGGCCAATGCGCCGGAGGACAAGGCGCCCAGCAAAGGCACGATGCCGGGCGACTCGGCGCCCGACAAGGACGATGTGCTGGCCGACAAGGCGCCCGGCCAGGACGTGGTGCAGGACGACTCGGGGCCCGGCCAGGACGTGATGCTCGACGATTCGGCGATCGCCAAGGATGACCTGCTGGACGACGCGGCGCCTGCCAAGGACGACGTGCCGGTCGGCAATATGCCAGCCTTCGAGGGTGGGCGGGATGGTGAGGCCGGAGTTTGCTCACAGTTTGGCTGTGTACCTGCCCTGAACGTAGTGCTCCATACCGGCGGGCATGACGACGACGAGCAGCAGGACTGCAATGCGGGCACTACCAGTAGCTCATGTAAGTCACTGATATGTTGGCTATGTTGTTGTCAATGTTGCTTCTTTTTGTTAATAATGTTGGTTATGTTGCAACCTGATGACCCTTTTCCAGCTCCCACAAAAAAGAGGGCGAGGCAGCATAAGGTGTTGACCACGGAGTGTCGGTCGGCTAAAGTACCTCGGACCAGCAACAGTGCCGTTGTTGCTACGTCCAAACCGAAGGCTGCTACCAAAACAAAGTACATGCACCGGATGAAGACATGGGAAGACCGAGAGAAGGTCATTCTCGCGCATAACGCTGTTGACAATCTTGTCCCCGAGCTTCCTGATAAAGAGTACGCGAACTGGGATGTGTTTGATGCCGCGCTGAAAGCGCACGAGAAAGCAAACTACTTGAAGTTCCGCGTCCGCAGCTCCGAAACCAAAGAAAAGCAGGACAGGTATGGCCGTATGTTGCTTCGTTGTTATGTTGCTTGCTCATGGTGCTTTGCTGATTGTGCAAGCTAATGGTGCTTTGCTTTGCTAATTGTGTTTTTTGTTGTTATGCTTATTTATTAGTCGCCGTGGCGTCGTGCCGTTGCCGGATGAGATGGCGTACAACTTTAAGAAGATGTGTTGCACGCATGGATCGACACAAGCATCACGAGGGGCCGGCCTTCGTGAGCACGGCTCGCGTTACACTGGCTGCCAGGCTTCATTTGATGTCCGTTCTCAAAAGATCGTCGTCGATGGCATAGCTCGGTGGATCGTGCAAGTGGACCCCGACACAGAGGTAGGACGATGTGTGAATTCTCTGGTGCTGTTGTGTAAGGTCTAGCTTATGCGGGCTTGTCTCATGCTTTGTAGATTTCGTTGCACAACCATCCCACTAACAAAATCATCTACGACTGATACAGTCGTGGGAAGTCGATGCCACTCCCCCCGAAAGTCCACAAGGAGCTTGGACTACTGAAAGAAATGCGGGCGAGTAACCCGAACATCAGCCGCTACTTGTCGGATGAGCTGGGTGGGTGCTACTGGTGAACTTAAGGCTACATGTAGCTATTTTCTGCTTTCGGACTAACTCTTTATTGCAATTAATTTTCACTGCGCTTGCTTTCAGATATCATGCTTACACCACAGCAAACTAGAAACATCATGCAGCAAGTATTGGGGAGCACCACGTTGGAACGGACCAAAGTCATATTAGATAGCTTCGCCGCTGCGGACGCGGAGAATGAGGTTCTGCTTGTCCAAGATCAGATGGGCATTAGCTGCGTTATTGCCATGCAGACAGCTCTGCAAAAAGCCTGCTTTGAGCAGCGGGGGGACAACTTGGTGATAGATTGGACCCATGACACGCATAACATGGGGTACCACTTGGGTGAGAACATCACAGTATTATTTTGTATGATCGGCGGTGTGTATTTAATTGTGTGTATCATAGGCAGTCTGGTTGTGACCTCAGCCACAGGAAGGGGGATTCCTGTTGTCGACTTCCTGTCGCTCGATCAAAAAGCACCGACGACAACGCAGATTGTTGAGTTTTTCAAGCGCAACAACCCTGCTTGGAAAACAGTGTAGACCGTTGTGATTGATAAGGACTTTATGGAGTGGCGAGTGCTGGATCGGGCGTTTCCAGATGCCAAAGTCGTCCTGTGTCAGTTCCACGCGCTGACATACTGGCGCAAGGTTTGTGCAAGAGCAAAGTTCAACCTGAGCATGAACCAACGGGACGCCATGGAATCTGCATTCGCAAATCTCATTTACTGGTTAGTTGGATGTTGCTATGGGATTTCTTGAATTATGTTGCTGACTGTGTTTCTCTTTATGTTGTTCTGTGTGTTGCTTGTCTTGTGTTGCTACGTGTGTTGCTTGGATTTGCCATATAGTAACACCCAGTCGGCATTTGACGCCAAGCGGTCCACCTTCACTAAAACTTGTGGAGACGAGTGTCCCGACCTATTGGAGTATTTTGAGGCGAAGTGGGCGTCGTGTATCGATATGTGGGCGAATCACGCCAGGGGAAAGTTTTTCACTGCGGGCAATACGACTACGAACCGGATTGAGTCGAACTGGAATCAGGTGAAGCTGTTGATTGGGAAGAAGCCGCGATTGGAGGTGACTATTAGTGGGCTACTTGCTCACCAAACAACAATTGCCCAAAGTATGCTCAGTGCAATGCGCAGGACATCTGCATCATCTCGGGCACCGGGTAGCGTTCCGGACTACCTGTCGCTTGTGGCGGGGCGCCTGGGTGATACCATGCTAGCTCACGTCAGACGCCAGTGGGACTACTACATGGTATTTTCGGCGAGCACGTCTTGCTCTATGCGGGGACGGGAGGTGGGTGAATGGGAACTGACTTCTCGGGGAAACACGTATCGCTGCAACGACTTCCGCTGGTCGTGTTCGTGCCTCTTCGACAGCAGCTACAGCTTGCCGTGCCAGCATCTGATGTACATTGCGCAGTATGTGCATAAGTTTGAGAAGCTGCCGGCCTCCAGCGTACCTCCACGATGGAATGCTGTGGTGATGGCTGGATTGGAGGAGGAATTTTATCGCGGCATGGAATCGCTTCGGAGCGTACAGCGCGCGGTGAAAGCAGCTTGCGATACGGATTGCAATGACGGTATGACACAACCAAGCGGAGAATGTGGTGACGACGAAGAAGATGGAGCAACACAGGGAGCACCACAAGATGCAACACAGGAGACAGCACCATTAGATGCAACATCGGAAGCAACACAAGATGGCACAACACATGCACCACCATTAGATGCAACACTGCGAGCAACACAGGAAGCACCACGTGCGGCGCCACCACAACAACCGCTGCAGAGGAAGAATCGGGTGATATATGTGAACCTGAAGCGCCGCGAACGTGCCAATGTCGTAGTGTTGTCCCGAGAAGAAAAGTACTGCTATGCAAAAGCCATGTTCGAACCCGTAATGGACCAACTGGCGGGCTTGTCGAGCCCTGCCTTTTACTCAGTATTGCAGTCTTGGAAAAAGATTGTTGGAAAGGTGATGCAAGAAGTGGCGGCTGATTCGCCGTCTGGGACGACGATTTCTGACGAAAACGCGGCCTCCGATCTGTCGAGCGATAGTGACAACGAAGTCGCTAACACACAAACGAGTGACTCGTTTTCCGACATTGCTCCAGCGGATTTTATCAACACGATGGACTTGATCCGAGTAATGGAGCAAATTGATCATGGCCAAAACCTCGCCGTAGTATATGCGGACGTGACGAGTAAGTGTGACAAGGCCGAGCTAGAGGCGAAGTCATCATCGCCGGTCGGGCCTTCCAAAGCACCCATCAAATATGGAGAGAAGAGAGTAAGCCAGTGGCAGCTCGGTCACAGGATCTGCGTACAAAAGCAGTAGTGCGTCCTGCTGTCAACTAAAGCGTGGCAAAATGGCAAAATCGAAGTTCTGCAACTCCCGCGACCGCACCGCCAGTGTAACCAGCGCAAGAAGAAGACCCAAGCACAAACTAAGACGAAGGCAAAGCCTCAAAGACTATCGGCGATTTCTCTTCCCGACAAAGCCATACCCTCTCTCGCCCGTGTGCTAGAGTGGGCCAGCAATACGAACGACATGGACCACCTCAACGAGATGCTTGCAAATTACCCAGTCATCATGACAGATGCGTTCTTAGCAGCTCGTAGCCCGCGCGCAAAGCGAGTTAGTGTTCACCCCGATGACTACGACTACAACTTTGTGATCTCCAAGAATCTGGTCATTAAATTGGACGCTGTTGTTAAGGCAGAGAAGGCGAAGCGACGCACGCCCGCTTCGTTTGGTGGCAATGCAGAAGATGAGTATCCGGTCGGTACTGTCGAAGAGATCGTCGCTTTCTTCCCAGGGGGGTTGCCAAAGTTTACGAGGTTCGTAGTCGGTATTGTGTTGCGCAGGTGTTGCTTGTTGTGGCGCTCTCAATGTTATATTCTTGTGGTGCTCTCAATGGTGCTGTATCATACTGATGCTGTTTATGGTGTGTGTGTGTGCGTAGTGGAGCCGTCTACAAAATGAAGTCGTTCTACAACATCCGCAAATTGAGTGAAGCGTGGTTGTTGGACATGACGTGGTTTCGACGACTAAGTGGGACAAAGTATCCGCGTCACCAGAGCTCTTTGACGAAGAGACAGATTCGGAAATGCTACTGCCAGATGCAGTGGGGAAGAAGCACCAGGAACTAGCAGCCGACGTCGCTAAAGTTCTCGGAGGGGCATGCCTGAGCTCCTTATTTCGGTTGACGGGTGCGAATTACTCTCTCAAGTTGGAGAATATTGTGGGAATGGTGGCACGGGACCGAATGCTGAATGACCTCATCATCGACTTCTGCCTTCGCCTAAACTGCAGCTCGCTAGGCGACTGCTACGCCATGAACTCGTTTGCACTATCGCTTAGCTACACGAAGACACCGGACATTCGAATCTCAAGCATGCACTACGTTGTGATGCCTGTTCACCTGCCGCCTATTCATTGGGGGATGTAGTAGGTCTGAGCGAAACTCTTCTGCGAGGGAAGCCGGCGCTTCCTGGTAAGTTCCTCAGTCTATTGAGTTCAAGTAGGTAAAATGTACTCTGCCTCACTGCTCGGCACGAACCGTCGGCCGGCAGTGGTTTCCTAACTCCTCTGTCGTTTTGCCAGCTCAGCATCGCGCTGGGTGCGATGCCCGGTGAGTGGGAAGAGGCTTGCTAGTCGTAACCCCCCACTACAGGGGATCATAATAGTCCGTCTCTCCTACCAGCAAGATGTGCCCTCCATGACACCGTACTAGTACGAGCCGCTGTGCAGCTCGTCCCATCGAGCCACCATGGAAGATGCTTACAACGAGACTGGCTAAGTTTATACGTGACTGGCACACAGCCACGATGTCGCTGGTTGATCATCCCGTTGAGGAGAGCAGCGTGTGGCTCGAAGGGCCAAAGCAGCCTGATGGTACGTCATGTGGTGTGCTGTGTATCGCTCAGGCGTACGCCATTTTGAAGGATAGCTCTCGTTTTGTGCGAGCTGTTATTTCACGGGATGATGTTGCTGTCATGCGTCTACGCGTCATGTGGATGATTATCATGCAGCCTGATGAGAGTACAACGTCAAACAAGGTCGCTGAAGCTGTCCAGTCAACCGACGTCGAGCTCATTGCAACGATCACGACACAAAGACCACAGTAACATTTATTGATACAAGCTAGTCTAAGTTGTGAATGTTCTAGTGTGGATGAATATGATGAATATGCGCATTGGCTTAGACGTAACCCCACGGTTTCAGTTGCACATTGGCTCTTGTGTATAATGGTGACTGGTGTTCCTTCGATTTCGGATCTGGATTGTGCATGTATCCCTTGAAGAACGCGCTGTCCGGTCCAATCGAGGTCACCACAACCACGACCTCTTTGTGGCCATACAGGAAGTCCGGGTTCAGGTGCCTCAGTCAGCGTGCAGCGCACAACATCCAGCGCGTAGCGATAGCGCATGTTGTCGAAGGTCATGGTAAGGATGATGTTCACGCCGAAGATCCAAGGCGCGGGCATGCTGGCGCAGTGCAGCCGAAAAGCCAGCAGCAGGAAAAGCCGGTGTACAGCATGGCAGTGAACGACACGATGAGCACGAAGGTGACGGCGGATCCGCCGTAGTACACCGGCTTCTCCAGCAGCGAGCTGCACTGAAAGAGCAGCGAGAGCTTGCCCGCCACGACGTTGGTGGTCACGAGCTCCAGCGCCACCGGACACGTGACGCGCTGCCACCCGCGCAGCATCAGCGAGGTCGGCCGGTCCGCGCACGAGCTCCAGCCGCTGCTCCAATTTCGCCTTGTGGTCGCCAAGGAGGGAATCAGCTGCGGTAGCTCACAGCCACACCCTTGAGCGCGCTGTTGCGTATGATCGGTCTTCACTTCGCGGTCGTCGAGAATCACGTCGGTCTTGGCGGCAGTGAACACCCAAAGCAGCTCGGGGATCTTACGACAAGAGGTCCTTGCAGGCGCGCGCGGCATAGATACATTATCAGAACCGAAAGGTAGTGGTGGCGCCTTCGTGAGTCTGGCGAAAGGAAGCGATAACAGTCGCTGGGAGCTCTCAGTCTCGGTTCTTCGTGTTGTCTTCTCCTCTAGAATATTTCGCGAATGTAATTGGTAACTTTTACATTTGCCGTCATATATCGACAGAAAATTACGGCTGGCTCCATTTCATGTTGCTTCTTGTGGTGCCTGTTGGTTGCCAGACAGCTATTGTGTTGCCGCAAGAGCTGTCGTGATGTTGCACTTATGTTGTAGTAACGCCGTCCGTGTAATACACGGTGTATGATACACCGTGTACACTGTCCCCACGAGCTCCCGAAGTCTATCTGGTGGCAGATGCTTTATCCGCACGGATAGCCGCTGGTTGAGCGTCGCAACCGAAGTAGTTATTACGACTTTAATCAGATTACCATCACTCTTGAGATCGCAGAGGGGGTGAATGAACTCTTGACGATTCACTTAACAACTATCTTCATTCAATCATGCCTGCAAGCTCTGAACACCGTTCAAACGCATAGGACCTATAAGGGTGGCCTAGATCGATTCATCGAGCCCAAACATGCCTCTATAGCTTTCATATTGCCAAAACTACGCGCGTTCCTTTTGACTTTAACGACCGTTTTGGGGATTTGGCTCTCGTGACATCCATCCTCCTTAAGTTGCTGCCCAGACGACTTAAGGATCTTGGGATTTGATTGCATATTCAGGGTCTTTGGAGTTGCCACATTAGGGTGCCTAAATCCCGTTAAAGCAACTTTAAGTTGCTTTAACGGGATTCGCGTGGCAACACAATCAGTGTGGCAAAGATCACTGCATTAATCCATGGGAGAGGTTCAGCAAATGGCGGATTTGCGAAGGTATACGGACTTGATTAATCACAACTTTGCGAGGCAGGCTTCGGCGTGGGCGGCTTTCGTAGCTCGAACACCCACTGGATATTCATTCTCCAATTTGCAGCCAGCCCCGCACTTCCAAGCTCCACCTCAAGCCACCAGCACAATGAAGTTCGCTATCGGCCTCCTTCTCGCGGCGGTTGCAGTCACGGCTACGGCCGTTGAGGACAAGTGCTCCTTCGGCTGCCTCGACGTCTACGAGCCTGTGTGCGGCTCCAACGGCGAGACGTACTCCAACGCGTGCTACCTGCGTCTCGCATCTTGCCAGAGCGACAAGGAGATCACCCAGTCGTCGGATGGAGAGTGTGCTTCGACGCCTGCAACATCGGCGACGCCTTCGCCCAAGACGTCCAGCAGCAAGAGCAACAGCGGAGCTGAGTCGTGCGACTTCGCGTGCTTGGATGTGTACGACCCCGTGACCGATGAGAACGGCAACGAGTACTCGAACGAGTGCTACATGAAGTTGGCGAAGTGCCGTGGCACCAGCGGCGACAACAACAAGCGCATCGAGAACCCCCGTATCTCTACGATGGGTGTTTAAACGCAGATGAGCGTTCGCTTTGCAAGCATCACCTGAGCATAGGCGTTTGACTGGCCAAGTAATATTGCCTTCCTGGGTCTAGCTCTGGAAGCGCACCACGTAAAATCTCAATATAACATTTTCAGCGAATTCTTGCAAGTGTGAAACGAAGCAGACGCAACCAAGCCCGCGTCAACGTGTATTCTACGCATGAATAATAGGGGGCGGAGAGAGAATCGGATAACGAAACAAAATCAGAAGAAGATCGGGTAATATATACTTTAAGAATATCCCATTGGGATACAACAGGATCCGGATCTTGACTGTTCATAGCGATACAGTACGATGAACGTGTACAATACAACACAACGATAGCACAGCTCCCGAAGTCTGTATGGTGGCAGATGCATCGATCATGCTATTACAGTACCAGTACCGGTATAGAGGACGGATAGATGGTGCTGGATGAAGGTTGCAATAAAATCAGTGTGGCACAGATCCCGAGAAAACTGCAAAAGACGCATACTGGACGAGTTTTTCTGCAAAAGACGCATACTCGGCTAAAAGCGCATACTGAGTTTCTGATAACACGGCGTCGAGGTCTGAGTCATGGCATTTTAGGCAGTTCTATCAATACATCTCGGAGAGTCACGGTGGTTGCACCTCAGAAGCACCGGACTAGACAGTCGAAAGGAGGTCATGGCTATAGCGAAGGGAGACGTATTCAGATGCGGAGAGACCGCGACCCACGCCATGCAAGACTACGCTTTGTCGATCTCGAAACGCGTCAAGGTGGCAGGGTCCGGAGGAGGGCACAGGCGGTTCGTGTGTAAATCGGAGGATTGCAAGTTTTTCGTCCAGCTTTATCAGCGCAAGTTAAACGGAAAAAAACTGCCTACATGGTACATCAGCTCGCTGGACTTGGAGCACGTCAATTGTACCTCTGTCCCAAAAATGACCAGCCGTCAACTGCGCGCTGAACCAGTCTTCCGCAATGCCGTCCTCTCGAATATTTCTGCAACAGCCCCGGAGCTTATCGCCCGAGTTCAACGAATGAAGAGTGTTCTGCTGCCAAACAGCAGCATCGTGTACCGGTCAAAGAATGCCCTCACAGAAGGCACCGCGGAGACGCAAGCGCAGTGGTATCAGCGTATACCTTCCCTACTGGAGAGTTTTGCAGCGGCTAATCCTGGCTCCTAAACCAACCTCCAGGCTGACTTAGACGGAAGATTCTTACGGGCTATCGTAGTTTGTGGTCCTCTGGTTCAAAGCATGCCCTACAATCAACAGATCCTGGGTATTGACTGTGCTCACTCCAAAAATCGACTTCACAATGGGTGCAAATGCTAATTGTTGGTCGAGACGGCAATCTGAACAACATTACGATCGCTGTTGCCCTCTTAAACGCAGAAGACGTGGTTAACTATTCGTGGTTTGTGGAGTGTCTGCGCGACGCCGGGTTAACGTTCAGTGTTGTGTCGCTTCCAAAGGAAATGTAGAAGTGATGTGTATTGAGCAGTTCCTTAGTTTGCACTAGCTGCTCTTGTCCTATGCATGCTCTTGGAGGTGACCACTCTGGTGGCACAAACCGTCCGTACTTGCTGCGTCTGCATAACAGTCCATACTTCATCAGTTGAGCAACCGTCCTTACTTGCTGCAGCTGTTCATCTTCTGCAGAGTGTTGGTGTTGCTGGGCCAGACCCCAGCAACGGCTACACAGTGTAGCACCAGCTACAACATTGAGCGATTACCCTATCTTTTGCGATCGCAGTGATGCATTCCGCTCTATTACCGCCACCTACAACCTCAACGTTCGGTACGACTTGTATGTACGTGAATGGGGCGGAATCACGTACTGAAAACTGTTTTCTATCTGAAATTGCGTGAGTAGGTACTGCACGCTCCACATCATAAGAAACCTACTTCGTTGAAATCGTTCTCTCAGGCCAACAAAAAATTGGTGTGGGAACTACAAGAGAGCAAGTGGGAGGAGCTGTATGAAGGCAGACTTGTTTTAATTCGGAATGAGTGTGGAGAAGAAGTGGAGACTGCACTCCGCCGTATCCTTCCTGAACGCTGGGCGCTATTCAAGGCCATTGACAACCAGCCGTTGTACGGGTGGCGCTCTACGAATTTCGTGGAGAGTGTGAACGCAAAGACCCTCATCCAAGATCTCCGTCATAAAGACCCCTACGGTTTTTTTTGATGGAGTATTAGAAAGCATGACAAAAGAGTTGCACAAGCGCCACCTTAATAGTGAGACCTGGGTCGCTAAGGGGATGAAGGTAACTCCGGCAGCAGATAAGATTTACAGCTCTCAGCTTGCTGAAATGGGAAACTACAATGTGACCATGACGATTAAGGGCAAGCAAGCCTCGGTGTACAGGGTAGGGCAGAGCCCACCTCTCCGTCGGACTGTGGATCTCGAAGGGAACCGGTGCACGTGTGCTTTTATGGACCAACACCAAATCCCGTGTAAGCACATGATAGCGGTCTTGTCACAGGCCGACTCGACTCGACAGTGTTCTCGCGTTTTGGTTCGTGCTACATGGTCTCCAGCTACTCCAAAGCGTTCGGAACGGCATCCGTAAAGATTCCGGCAACAGGAGAGCTTACGCGAACGTCTCTATTACCCGCCAAGAGAAAAGAAATCAAGCCGGGGAGGACGCGCGCGAAGAGACCTGGGGCGGAGCCAGGGCCAAAATGGGGGGGGGGGGGGGGGTCTCATTCCCCCCCCCCCATTTTTCGGCGAAGGCGTTTCGATTTTTTTTAGATTTGTTTTATTTAGGCGGCACATGCATGAAGTTCACACTGTTCCTCCGCTTAGTTGATAATAACATGGAAAGAAAGAGGAAGCAGCCGGCAATCACGACCTTCTTTGTGAAGAAGCCCCGTCAAGAGCCCGAAGACTTTGACAAGGTCCGCAGTATTGAATCAGATCCTGGGCCACGACCCCAACCTGTAACGCTGCGCAAAAAACAAGGGCAAGCAGCGTTGGAATGGTGTTCGCTCAACAAAATTCCTGATAGAGCTGAAGAATGTTCCGCTGGAGACTTTGTTAGGCGGGATCCTGCTCACAGACCACCAAATTTATTTTTCGTTAAGCAACTGATTGCCGATCCTCAGCTACTGCGTGACGTTATACAATCATACGTTCGCCTCGGTCCTTACCAACCGCAACTCAAGCAATATCCGGCCCGTGACATCGGTGGATACATGAGTGCTTTTCGGGCCCAGTGGTTTGAAAAAAAATCATGGCTCGAATACTCTCCTTCGATGGACGCGGTGTACTGCTTATGCTGCTACCTCAGCCGAGAAGTAATGACGTAGCAAAGCGAGCTCACAGTGTATGCACAACCTACAACGGGCTATAGGAACTGGAAAAAGGCCACTACAAAAGACGGATTTGCAAAACATGTTGGGACAAAAACCAGCTCGAAGCACCACTCAGCTCTGATCAATTTCGACAATCGGAGATCCTGTCAGAATGACGTTGGTGTGGCTCTGAATTCTCAAAAGATTGGTGAACGACAACAAAACCGGGAGCGCCTGACATTTTTTCTGGAGATCTGCCTTCTCCTAGCAAAACAGGAAATTGCATTTCGGGGCAGCGACGAAAAGGTATACGAGCGGTTTAATTTTTATGTAAGAAATGACATCACTGGGCCGACGTTTTTTTACAATGCACAGGATACGTCACAAAATAAAGGCCATTTTCTTGAGATTGTTCAGTTCATGGCACAACACGCGCCATCGTTTTCTCGCGCAATGTCCTTAGCTGGGGAAAACGCTGTGTACACATCGCCACAAATTCAACGTGAACTGATCGAATGTGCGGCTGATGTTGTTCGAAAGCATATTATGGAGGTCGAGATTGCAGATGGATATTTTTCTGTTCTGGTGGATGAAGCAAGCTGCATGGCGAAGAAAGAGCACATGGCTGTCGTAATTCGTTTTGTGTGCGCTGCAACGGGGACTATTAGAGAAAGATTTTTTGGAACTGTCCATGTTCGCGATACGAATGCGGAGACACTGTACGATGGTTTGATAACGCAGTTAGAGAAGTGGGGATTGCTTTTGGCGAACTGTAGAGGCCAGTGATATGATGGTGCGTCCAACATGTCGGGTGACATTCCTGGTCTTCAGCGACGTCTACGCTCCCAGTGTCCTTACGCCTACTATGTTCACTGTTTCGCGCATCGACTTAATCTCGTCCTAGTTGCAGTGACTATGAACACGGTCTCGGTGGTGCAATGCTTCGACACCGTGCAAGGGATTCACACTACTGTAAGTGCTTCGTGTAAAAGGAAAGATCAATGTCTTGACGAAGCCGCTGTGGAATTGGAAAAAATGCTTGATCAAGGACATCTAGAATCTGGTAGAGGTTTAAATCAACCAACTTCTACCGAGGGTCTTAGCAAAACAAGGTGGAATTGCCACATTCGCGCGTTAAGAAAAGTCAAGATGCTTTGGGCCCCAATTACAAGTGTGTTAGAGCGTGTAGTGGTCGATGGTGTGGACCCCCACAAACGCGCTGAGGCGTCAGGAATTTTAGAGAAGATGTGGACTTTCGAATTCGTATTTGATATGGAGATTCTCACTGCAGTTTTGGGAAAAACAAATTGGCTGTCCCAATTTTTGCAGAAAGATGACGTCGGTATCGTGTCAGCTGTGAATATGACGAAGTAGGTATCCAAAGAACTATAAGCAATGCTCGATGATAGTTCTTTGACTGGGAACTCGCCAAGTTTTGAATCGATTTGGAACTCATCGGTCAACGTTTGCAAATCAATACAAGTTGACGGCACCCCTCTCATTCCTGACAAAAATGACGTGTAGAAACGACGCGTAATGAGAAGTCGGGGGTGTGGCAGGGCTGGAATTCCAGGAGCGGACTCCTCCAGGGATGGTGTCCAGCCTACACAAGAAGCTCACTATCGTGACGAAGTATACAACTGTCTCCTTCGTGACCTGATTTCTGAAATGGATTCACGATTTAGTGGAGAAGTTCTTAGTCTCATGGAATTGTGCGGATCGCTCAGTTCACGTGATAATTTCAAGAATTGGAGCGCTACTAAAGTTGTTGAGCTGGCTAAAACATTTTATCCCGATGATTTCACCGATGAGCTGGACGACCTTCGAGAAGAGGCCACTCGGTTTCGTAATTTGGCAAAGATCGACAAAAGGTTCCAAAATTTGAAGACAACGCAACAACTATGCATCCAACTCGTCGGGACCGATAACAACGAGCTGTTCCCGACCTTGCACCGGATTATTAACTTGGTGTGTGTGCTGCCTGTAACAACTGCTACTACGGAGAGGTCTTTCTCAGCCATGAAAAGAATTAAGACGCGGCTCAGAACAACAATGGGAGATCTTTGGATGTCAAACCTGATGGTTTTGGCTATCGAGCGTGATCTTACAAACAGCATCGACAAAGACTCGGTCCTCGAAAAGTTTAAAGCGATGACAAAAAGAAGAATCGAAATGTAGGTTGTGGATTTTACTTTAAAAAAAATCTATGCCCCCCCCATATTTTTAAGGCTGGCTCCGCCTCTGGAAGAGACTACCGAGCGCGGGCGAGAATAGGCCTACTAGAGCTCAGAAGTGTACGAACTGCGGTCTTTCCGGCCACATCAAGAAAACATGCAAGAACCCGCGAAAGGAAGTTGCCGTGGCGTCTCCCCCAACGGCATCAGGCGGCATCGCAGTGACGACACCTCTGCAGCAATGATCATTAAGGGTTTTGGCCAGTTTAGTAGAATTGACCAGTTTACAGACAACGACTTACAAAGCCGGCATGCTTAATGCCATCCTCCTATATACAAACAACGATAAATTACCTCCCGTCAAATCTGTAAAACTGTCATAAAACACACGGTGTGTTGCATAAAGTACACACGAAAGCATATAAAGTACACAAAACCAGATGGTATACAAAGATGAAGTCATTTGATTGAATCTGATTGGCTGGTTTGCTCATGTTGCTTGACTTCGTCTGCCGGCTTTTTGTGTCTGCCGGCTTTGTAAGTCGTTGTCTGTAGTAGAACCAGTAATATTGCAGAAATAATGAAATACGTGCTTTGGTTGGCTATAAAACTCTTACCACGCGTTTCCATAGGGTAGTTCGATACGAAGACCAGTATTATTCCGCTCTACTAAACTGATCGCAGCATACTGTAGGTATATTTTCTTTGGCGCGCTACAATAGCACTTTCATAGCTGCTAACTGTGTCTGGATTGGTGCACGCGTTAGAGCAAATCTAGGGCTTTCATTGTGTACACGTTTTATCTCCTAAAGATTAGTAGTTATCAAGAAAATGCTTTTCAAAGTCAAAAATTCAGTTTGCTCTACTAAACTGGCCAATCCCCTTACACGAAGTGTTGCGAACCTCAGAAGTAGTATCCTTGCCAATACATATACTTTGCATTTACTCGAGTCGAGTATGCTGTGTTATCTGATACCGCCGTGTTATCAGAAACTCAGTATGCGTTTTTTGCCGAGTGTGCGTCTTTTGCAGAAAACCTCGTCCAGTATGCGTCTTTTGCAGTTTTCTCACAGATCACTGCTTTAAATCATCGGATAGATTGCTCAGGTACAGCAAATGGCGGGTTTCCGGTTGGATACGGACCTGAGCAATCATGACTGTAGCATTTGGGGAACTAGGCTTTTGAAGTGTATTTATTTATTTGTTGCGGTTTAGTCGGCTAACTACACATTTTCAACTTCAAAACTGCAAATTGTAAGTTCAAACAGCAAAAGGTAACATCAAAACAACAATACTCTATAAATGTATATTACAAACTGAATGATATCTATCATCGTATACGATTATAGAGTACAATTTACCTATTGGCTACGTGCCAACCAATGAGCTGTGTATAAATGTACGAAGCTAGCCTGGTCTCTGCTCGTGCAGTTTTGAACTTACCTTTTGCTGTTTTGAAGTTGAAAAGGTGTACACCCGATACTGCGCTCTGCTGCAGCCTCGCCTACGGATCGCATGTCCCGAAGTGTAGGGCCTTCCTCCTTTTGGCGCTCCTGCCCCTGACGCATTCTTCGATTCGCATCGAGCTCCGCACTTCCATACACCACCTCAAGCCACCAAGCACGATGAAGTTCGCCCTCGGCCTTGTTCTCGCAGTGGTTGCAGTCGCGGTATCGACCGCTGCCATCGACGAAGAGTGCAGCCTCAAATGCCAGGATGTGCACAAACCTGTGTGCGGCTCCAATAATGAGACGTACCTCAACGAGTGCTACCTGCGCCTCGAGTCCTGCCTAACCGACGATGAAGTCGTCTAGGTGTCAAATGGCGAGTGCGGGTCCACGCTAGTGTTGACGGCGAACCCTTCGCTCAATGCATCGGACAGCATTGAAGATGGTGAGTGCGGTGTCGCGTGCTGGGTAGCCGGATTTTTAGGTCAATCCTACATTTTGGTCACGTGTCAAATCCTTAGGAATGAGGTCACATGTAATTCACAAACGATCTAGAAGCAAAGTAAATGTATTATATCGATTCTGCTGCAACGCCATCCTGAACGATAGCGACTTCCGCACCATTATACAATTGCTGATGCATCGCCGTCGTAGTCAAATGAGTTATCTGGACTGTAGTCTGCCGTATCGTGATCCATCTCAGCAACGTCGTCCTCTGAACCCGGCGCACTTGAGCAGGATGCCGGGTCATCCGTGGCGATGGTAGGCTGCTCGTCTTCGTCTTCGCTTTCCTCCGAATCCACGATGTCGCCGACCTCAGGCAACTGCGGCGCACGCGGAAGCTGGAAACGTTTCCGTTGAGGTGGCCTGGCGAGTCCGGACTGGATAGCAACACGCTGCGCCACATATTCGCGAGAAATACCTTCTAGCGTGTCGACGAAGCTGCTCATGGCAGGGTGTGGAGCTTTGATCTTCCCGTTCAGATGCCGGTGGAAGCGCTTGAGAGGGTTGTTAGTTCTACTAACAATGTCACGACGCATGCCGAACACGTTCCAATACGTTGGCGGAAACATTTCTAGCCAAGTCCGTCGGAAGTAATCCCAAACCTTACGCCACTTTCTGCGAGAGTACGTCACATGCTTCGCCTCACAAACTTTTTTAATCTTGGCCTTGACCCACGCAATCCCTTGAACTTCGATTTTACTTGGGTCGATCACCGTCAAAATGTCAAAGACATTTGGGGCCATTGCTAGCTTGGCTTCGTCTCTTGGTATCTGGTACTCCTTCAGCTTTCGGCGACACGCTTGTTTAAAATGAAACAAACATCCGATGATACGGATGTCGGGGAAGTATGCTCGTATTGCGCCGATGAGAGCGGCCTCGAAATCACACACGACTTCCTTAGGAGTCAACTTCCGACCGACGCAGTCCTCGATACAGCGCAACAGCTTGATACAATGCTCCTTCTGCATGGAGATGGCTACCGTGAAGATAGCAGGGATGTAAAGATCGGTAGATGGATCGTGGACCATAATTGTCACGCACTGTTTGTATCCAGCAGGAGCACACCGAAACGTGCCGTCAAGGAACCACGACAGGTTCTCGAAGCGCAGCAGATTGCGCAGCTCAGGATGCGCCCATGCCAAAACTCGATCAACACCGACCGAGTCTTTTTCCAAAACTCGATCGACACCGACCGAGTCTTTTTTGCCTTCATATCATCGTGCCACGAGTACTGGAACTGAAAAAATCCCTGCATGGATCCTCTCACTTTTGACATAAGAGGGAGCTCAACAGATCGATTGCGGTTGCCACCGGTTTCTTTTCCTCGAGCATACCTCACTCGATTTTCAACCGCGTTCTTGGATACCCCACGGACCGGAGGCCCCGACTGCATGTAGAATTTCTCCATAACGTGCAGCCAGATATCCCGTTGGGTCATATTCGTTTCAACAGCGAGCTGGTCGACCTCCTTTAGTACAGTCTCGCTCACATCTTCACAGGGGCTCCCATCAGCTTGAGCGGACCTGCTTTGAAGTGCAGCGCCCGATCGACAGTTGTGGGGGACGAGTTCACTGAAGTCGAACGATGCCGTGGCAGCCATGTACACAAATCGCGCCTTGCATTTCTGTCGATACGAGCTACAACGATACGAGATCTTGACGCTCGTAATGTTCGCCCGAGCGTACGAGAAACCCTGGTAGTACACCTTCGTATGTCCATCTCGCTTCTTTGACGTCGCCCGGGTCCGTCCCACCGTCGCGTTCGTACAACCCGTTGGGGCACCATTAGCTCCTCCAGCTTCTTCCCGCAGGTGGCCGCCGTCCGCCGGTTGTGACAACAGCATCTCTGGCACTGTGGAGCCCGAGGGATCGAGTAGCATCGTCGTTGACGTCCGCGACCTTGCCATGTTGTCCAGGCAAGGCGCCTCTACAGATGCATACGAAGCCTGCGCACGCATGCTAGTCGTATCCGCTGTAGCATCGAGGAGATCTAACGACGCTTGCGTCGGACGCAAGTCGGCCCCCACAACACCGTTGTCGGACAGTTCATGGACGTCGGGGACTTGCTGGCTCGGACGTCGCGAACGGATACTCCGCCGACTCAGCGGGGAGAAACAAGGACGTGGTTGCCGATTCGAGCGGCGAGAGGATGGGTTGATCGTCGGTGGAGAAGTCGTTTTGTTCCTACGGCGTGTCATCGTGTAGAGCAAGCTCGCATAGACGGAAGAAGCTGACGGAAGTGCCGTGTGCTGGTTGAGGAAGCTTGGTTTATGAGTCCTGAAGAGGCGGCTAGCGATGTGGCCTTTGTCCGTTTTGAAAAGCGCAAATAGCTTCAGGTTGGTTTTGAAACTGCTTCCGTGGATGCATCTCGCTACCATTCTCATGCGCGTGTGCGCGCATCTGACCTTCTCTATCATAAGTATCTCGTGGGGGGGGTGACCTGGTAAGTTTGGTCATGTGACCTAGCGTCCTGATGTGTGACCTATTTGGCCATCATACCCGTGACCAACTGTTAGGATTGACCTGTTTTCCCCTCTTCGGCGTGCTGGATATCGTACGAACCCGTTATCGATGAAGACGGCGTCGAGTAATAGAACGAATGCTTCATGAATGCGGCGAAGTGCGAGAGTAAACGTAACAAGAAGAAGAAGAAGAAGAAGAAGAAGAAGAAGAAGAAGAACAACAACAACAACAACAACCAAAGTGAGAACGTCGGTGATTTCATTCTGCATGCTTAGTGCAGGGTTACTGCAAATGTGGCAACTACCATCCTTGAATGGTGCTTCGCCGACCCACGCCCGGGCGCTCTAAAAACGAATAGAACAAGCCTTTCAACGGTGACATCGTGAAAAGTTGCCGAATCTGACCGGCTCCATGAAATGAGCTCGTGAAAAATGTTGATGTTTAGGCCGGATGAATCCTTTGCTAGAGCTACTACTAGTGAAGAAAAGTATGTGTCGTGCACGACTAGATATCCCTGTTTTGCGGGCAGAAACCGTAAAGAAAAAAGTATCTACTACTTGGTACTATCATAGTCTATGATCGCACAAACACTAACTGTATAGCTAACGCCAGAGTTTGCAAACTGTTTGTTAGTGTGTTGTGAATATGGCTTACATGTTTGTGGAATTTAACTATTTATCTTGAACTCAAAAGAGTTGAAGCTCTTTTCACTTGTCGGAAGCTGACTTGCACGCGAAAGTCTTCTTCTTTACACCAACCATGATCTCTTCAAACTAAGCAGCACTACTGTAGGTTACTCTTGCTACGCCGTTGTGCGTGCATGGATTGTGGAGTCGACAACGGGTGCTACTTAACTGTGAGTACACTTCACTGACTTCTGAGTAATTCCGCATAATGTGACTTAGGAGTCCGGCATCACCACTACCTTGGACCAGACCGGAGGAGGATACAATGTGAATGAATCTGGGAAAATAACACATCGATCCACTTATAAGTGAGTAAGCTAATAGAAAATCCAAGCGGCAGAAAACAAAAGATAAATTGCCCTAAAAGGTATGTAGCACGTTATTTGTGTTCGTGAATGGCATCCCAACAAGCAACGTCTTTAGATTTTAGTCAATGGTTTCAAGTTGACGCAGCGCACGAGTTTAAATGAAGCTTACGTACTCGGAAGTCCGAGCACATTACTCATTACTCGAAAGTCCGCGAACTGTACTCAAAAGTAAGGATCACCCCTCGACAACGGGTAACAGTAGCCATTAATTTGATCTGCTAGTGATATAGAGCAGCAAACATACAAACGCGTTGGCAAACAGCACTAACTAAGTAAGTGTGTTGTGAAAATCACTACAGTAACATGTTTGCGGAGTACACAAATCATAGACATCTTTGTGCTCACCTATTTTACGGCTTCGGCTGCTATCGATTTGGTCATTTTCCCAAACACGACGGAGATTCTATAGAGACTCCTCTCAGATGATAGCGTGCACAAAGTTCGTGCCATGAAGTGCCATCACAGATTGCGTGAAATTAATTAATGTCAACTTGTGGTGCCGCAACTGCAACAAGTAACGCGTGTTGTCCTTCCCGGACCGCGAAGTACGCAAGTACCTTTTGTCGATTCAGCCGAATCAACGAGAGCGTACAGCAAATATAATGCGCAGGTTCGGGTCTGTACGACCGCGACTTCCAAACATTAATGTGCGTTTGTCGATTCTGCTGCCAATTCCTAGACTAACATCGCCTGAAGGAGGCGACAAACAACATGACATTTTTCTCTCTTTTGCGCGTGATCGCTCGTAGAGGCTACCGGTAGTAAATATCTCACTCACGCAATCGCAGCCTTTGAGTATTTAACCCCATCCGAAGATACGTCGGAACCGTTCGGTTGGGCCACATGTGGCCTCGTCCAATGGACCTTTGTGAGCTATTAAAACGCTATCCTGCTCTGATGCTGTAGGCCGGCCTCCAGCTTGCTGGCCGGTCTCTCTCCAAGCTGCAACGAGCCCCACAGCTCCTATGAAGATCGCTATCTGCCTCGTTATTCTTGCCGCTATCGTCACATCGATGACCGCATCAGCTACCACCCGGAAGCTCGCGTTTGCCCCAGGCTACAAGGTGGCGCTTGCGGTGACATGCTATGCCCGACAAGTACGCACCCGTATGTGGCACCGACAACGTGACGTACGGGAACGAGGGCAAGCTGGGCATCGCGACCCGGATGGCAACACTAGCCTGGCGTCCGAAGGCGAGTGCGTGTCGACACCCGCGCCGACGCGGTCCCCCAAAACATCGAGTACCGAGTCATGTGACTACGCGTGTCTGGATGTGTACATGCCTGTGACCGACGAGGACGGCAAGAGATACCCCAACGAGTGCTACATGCAGCTTGCCAAATGCAAGGGCGGCCGCGGCGACAACAACAAGCGCGTTGAGAGTCCCGGTCTCTCGGCACTGGGCGCTTAGTGCAAGAGTCTCTTTCTCTGCCTATCGTGACATGAGCCCCAATGCCCTAAGGGTTACAGTATGATTCAAGCGAGGCATAACGTCCAGCGAGATAGCGGAGATACTAACCGAAGGGATTTCAGGAACCAACTTTGTAAGGCGCTCTTTTCCTATTCCAATCATGTGTAAAATCCAACGTCAGAAAACATTGTTTTTCTAGTTTCTCTCGACCAATCAACGGCGGCCAAAGTGGATCCACTTTCACTCCCTTCATTTCGCGAAAACGCAGACTCGAGCGACCCGATCAAGAGCGACTCAATGGCTGACGGCTACGACCCGCAGAAGTCTCGCGTGGCTGAAGACACGCTGGCCGATTTCCTGCGTGCGCCGCTCACTGGCGACCTGACGGAGGTTCCGGGCATCGGCAAGGCGGCGGTCACGAAGCTCGGCGAGGCGAAGGACGGGGAGGAAGCCGTGGAAAACACGTTCCAGCTCATCGGCAAGTTCCTTATGCTCAAGGTGCGTCTAGAGTTGTTGTACTATAGAGGGCGAGGAGAGCGTGGCGCTCATGCTGCTCTGTGGTTGGGGCGCTCTGTGCAGGCCAACTCGGACGACAACGACGACGGCGTGATCAACTGCGCGCAGCACTGCGACGCCTTCTGGTTCTGGCTCAAGTCCAAGGGCATCACGGCGTACAGAAGGTAAGGAGGGGGAGGAGTAGAGAGACTTGACACGTAGTTGGAAGCTGTGAGGCTCTGCGCTCGATTATTGCTAGTGTGAAGCTGAGCGACTGACGGCTGTTTGCTTTGATGTGCTGTAGTGGTATTGTGATGGCCATTGCCGAGAAGGTGAACACGATGCTGCCTGGTATTTATGACGCGGCAGAGTTCCAATAGAGCAGCAATGCGCAGTCTACCCAGGAAGGAGGGTGTGCAGCGGATGAGGTGGCGGCATCCCAATCAAAATTGCTGCCAATGGTCAGTGGGCGTGCGTGCAAGCGTGCAAGTGTGCACCGTAGAATGATCGACGTCCGCTCCACCTCAGCACTAAGGAGAGAGAGAGAAACAAAACAGTTTAGTTTGCCTTGACGCTGTCCTTCGTTCGGCTCCATGATCGTATGTATCCATTTCGCCGCTCAGCGGAATTATTGTGCATGTGGGCTATTGCAGTAATTTCAAAACCCTAAATCGTCAATCCAAGCCTTCTTTTACCCTGAAATCACCACTATTTATGCGGCTACGGATGCAATTTCCTCAGCTTTATCCCTTCAACTTTCAATCTGACTCTTGCATTTACGATGACGCGGCGCGCCAAGGGGCGACGCATGGAGCGCGTGCACGCCAAGCTGCGGCAGCAGGAGGAGAAGCTGCTGCGCGACCAGCAGCTGAGCTCTCGGCCCGCGTGGATCCAGCTGCTGGCCGCCATCGACGGCCCCGCACCGAGCAGCAGCAACAGCAGCAGTCTGCGTCTGTCGAGCGAGAGCCCTCCGAAGCCCCCGATCGTGGACGAGCTGCAGTGGAAGAGCTCGCAGGTGCCCATCGCGGCCTCGGGCGGCTTCCAGCTGCCCATCAAGCTGGACGCGCGCAAGGGAGAGCTGCACTACTCGTTCTCCACGAGGGACTACGACGTCAACTTCGGCGTGCAGATGATCTGCGCGGACGGGAGCCTCATCGAGCTGCTGGACTCGCGGCGCTACGAGAGCCAGAAGCAGCAGGTGCAGGGCCAGCTCAGCCTCTCGGGCCCGGGTATGGTGCTGCTGCTCTGGGACAACTCGTTCTCGTGGCTCAACTCCAAGCAGCTCGCGTACCACGTGGAGCTCAAGCAGGAGACGCTGCCCGTGTCCGAGGCGGAGAAGACCCAGCTGGCGCTCAAGGCCAGGCTCGAGCGCGAGCAGAGGCTGCTGCAGCGCGAAGGAGAGTACGACGGCCTCGAGACGCAGGTGCAGACGGAGACGCAGACGATCGACTTCCTGCGCCACCAGATCGAGGAGCTGCAGACGCAGCTGAGGCAGCACGAGGAGGCCAAAGAGAGCGTCAACAGGAAGAAGGACCAAGTCGGCGAACAGATTGAAGAGCTCTGCTGGGAGCTGCAAGGTACGCCCAACGAAAGATTGTCAGGTGTTGGCTGATACTGCTTTTGCTGATCACGCGGTTTGCTTCTGTCTGACAGCATTGAGCTGGAGGTGCTTAGATCAAGCAGCACTGCATCGGATTCTTGACTTCCTGGGTGAGAAGGATGTGGTCGCATGGTACGTTCCATTGTGACTGGTTGCGATGGATAGCAGGGTTTAACCCTTGAATGTTTTGCTCAGGTCACTGACAAGCAAACGGTGGTATCAGTATGGACGCGCTTATCGAGCCAGCAAACTCGAGAATGCCAAGTCGAATGCGCAGGCCGCTGCGTGAGCCTCTGTATCCGATCTATATTGAAGTCGACAGGTGCGAGCAACCTGACCTTGTTTACTCGTCGTTCGCGCTAATTGTAAGCTGCTCGATGGTCTCCAAGAGTTTTCTTTACACGTTTTCAAATAGACTCGTTAGTTCTTTGAAATCAGAAGAGGAATTCTAGCGTAAAGAGTATTTGGAAGCGGCACGTACTTGGCGGCATTCAGGTCGCTTGAAGCTTTCTTTGACAGCTGACCCCCTTTAGGTCTTCTTCCGCCCCGAGAGCCATCTGTCATTTCCAAGACTTCGTCGATATTGTCGAGTGCGTCCGTTTGAGAAGTTTTGTCCCCTATCCGGCTCAGCCTCTGTGCGTAACAGTTGATATCAGGCACAAGTTCAGCATGGGAATGTATCTCGTGGTAATTGGCAAACCCTACCTTTTGGGAGTCCTTGAACTCCTCATCAATCGAACTTGCACACGTCTCCAGGACTCGGAGGCGCTGCGTCATTCGCTGCATATTATCTCGCAAGCCGATCAAGGTATCGATCCCACTCGCAGAGTCCTGATCATCAGTTGTCCTGCTCGAACGTCCGCGAGAAGGGTAGTGCTGTCGGTAGCTGGCCCGATACCTCGCTTTGACCGCTTCGTTTGTCTGCTGTGTGGCACGATCTTCTTCAGCTTGCACACTAGAAAGAGTTGGCGAGTGCCGGCCGTCAGACTGGTTCTCCTCACTGCCATCTTCTGAGCTTAGCTTTCGTGGTGTCACCACGACCGAAACCGAGGGTGAAATGGGCAGGAATTCTTCTGCCGAACCATTGTTGACGCTGTTATCCGTCGTATCGAAACCCCCAAATCGAGCGACTCGAAGGAACTGTTTCCTTTCCTTGAAGTGTTTCTTCTCACCTCCGCTGCCAGAGCCACCAAGATCGACCCAAATGGGAAACTTATCCGCAATAGTCAACGGCGGAGGTCCTCGTAATCTTCTTACTCGGTTTGCCTGAGTTGAGCCATCTTTGGTCTCGCGGCATCGACTACTCACTCCACTTAGTGAACTGTTTGAGCTGAGAAAATTTGGGCTGGGAGCCACCTGCTTGTCCTCTGTAGATTCTTGCGCCACCGGCGACCGCGTTTCCGGGCCAATTTCTGCTTTCTCTTGATGGGCCGGTGAATCAACAATGTCGTTCGTCTGTGCGCCGCAATTCTTCAGTTGAACAGCTTCCGTGGGCTCTACCGTGGAAAGAGCAGCTCTTGCTTTGACTTGAAATGTGCAAGGTTTAGCTCGCTCGCTGTCATGCACAAATTGCCGTCTTTTCACCGAAGGGTTCCGCTGCTGAGAGCTGCGGCCCAACAACTTCAAGCTGGCGCTATCGGTCCCGTATTCCAACCGCAAGGGATACACAGGTTCTTTTGATGCGTGGCCTTGATCCTGGTCGCTACGTTGACTCCTTGTAGATTTCCGTTTTACACCGGCGTGCCTGGACTTGTCACGTGGCGATAACACAGTTGAATCTTGTGTATACCGATCACTTGTCGAAGCAGTTCTGGACGTCTCCCTAGTGTTGGGGATTCCATTTTCTCCGAATCGGTTGGAATCCTCCTGGTCAGTGCGCAAGTGGCCACCGTTTTCCTGCCGGAGCCGGAAAAGCTTTAATGCGTTGCGTATAGAGTCATGCCGCTGAGCAGATTTGGGCTGTTGGCTTGGTTGCACATCGTGGGCTGACGGATACCTTTGTCGATTTAAATTGCGAACCTGAAGAGAGATCCGTGCCATCCGTTGGGCGTCTACTAGGTCAGTGACAGTCTGTTGTGCATGAAGAGCTGCCACTTTTTCAGTCTCCTGAACATCATCGTGTGAGCTAGATGATCTTGATAACTTTTTTTCTTCAAGAGTACTGACAGACGTCACCGCTTGTATTTTTTCTTCCAAGTGCCTTGCTTGTGCTTGCAACAGAGCTATTACTTTGTCGCGCGATATCAGACTCTCTGATATCTGTGGCTTCCGAATTTCCTCCACATGAGGAATAGAATCTGGAACAGTCTTAGCATGGATGTGTGCCGGCGGGACCGCTTCAATGCGTTCAGGAAAGGTATCCAAGTCATCTTGCACAGGCGAATTTGGAATATCAAGACTGCTGGTAACGACTTCATAGGGGCTTCTTGTCAGCACCGCCATAATCTGCAATAACTCTGGGTCACAGCAGCTGCTCACTAGAACGTCAATTTCATCGATCTTGGTGTTTTCGTTCATCCCTTGAAGTTGAAGAAAAGCTCGATGAATGCGCTTGTGGACTTGTTGATAGTGGAGCTCACGCTCATCCAATGGTTCTTGCACAGCAGCTAGACGAAGGACTTGACGCAAACCTTTGTATCGTTTCAGTTGCCTTGTTAGAATCTTGCGCTGTGGAAAACCCCACGCGATAATAGCAGCGCATTTACAGGGGTTTATTGCTGCTGCTTCTTCCAAAAGTGTCAATTGAATACCAAGTAGTTCATGTTGATAACCGCATAACATTCCCACTGCATTCAGGTGTAGAGCGCACGTGGCAGCAAGTGCACCAAGAGATTCCTTCTTGACCACAAGATCACCATCGCAAAACGTGTGATAACCCCTATTGCAGTCTGCAGATTTCTCCCGAATCCAAAGTGCCCACGCTATCAGCACAACAGTTCGAGCTATCTTCTGCGACTTGAACGCTAATGTTGCTTGGGCTTCTTGAGGCTGTATAAATGTAGGTAGGCACAATTCGGCGTCGGCTGGCATTATCACTTTTCGGACCATCGAAATGCAGTCGTAAACTGCTTCATTTTCAGGAAGCAGGTTTCGTTGTCGGGGATCAAATAAATCCACGCCGAAACTGTGCTGGATTAGGTAGCCAAAACCTTCACTCATAGCTTCCAGATGCCAAACAATCCTCGAAATTATACAGACAACACGAGCGCGCAACAGTTTATCAAGATTTGAAAACTCCCACAATGCACTCTGCTTACAGTCAGCATGCAGATTCTCTGGAGTCTTGGCCACCTCGGCGGATAGCCTACGACGGTAATCGCTAAATTTGTTGTCGATAGCGCGAAGCGGACTAATACCATTTTCCATAGAGGCCACCTCTCGTATGGGGTATCGGAACTGCCGCAAAGCACCAAAGCGCTGGAAAATCGCCATAGCCTCGCCGATATATATTTCACAAGCCATCCAATGCAGCTTATCGGGAGGTTTAGTTTCTGCCGAACCAATCGCTGCTTTGCACAGAATCTGCAAACATGGGTGTACTAATAGGCTTCTGCTTTCCAAGCAAATCTTAACCATCAACTGAAGTGCGTTGGCCTCGGTTGCATACTTGGCAGCTTCCATGACCATTTCATGAAGTCTGTTGCTGCTTTGGCCGACTACAGTTGAAGTCTTGTCAGGCACGCGGTGCCATGGTTTCATAAAGCAGCATATCAGCTCTTTTCGCTTTAGTACAGTTGGAGATAGGTTGATCGAAAATAAGTGTCCCAGATCAATTACAACTCCGTTCACTTGCAGGCAACGGCACATGAGTGTATATGACATCAAAACGTGTTTTAGGCGCACCAATAACGAGCCACTGTTTCGGTTGATGTGGCTTACTGGCTCGAACACAGCGGACCATTCATCATGCTCAATGATAAGATGACAAACCGAAAAAATATCCGACGCTCCCACCGATTGTTGCCGAGCAGGTGGATCATCCGAGTAGACTTCTTGTATGAGATCGAGCATCATAGTAAAATATACGCGAAGAAATGTTGTTGCCTCCTTTGAATGCGACCACCAATCTTCACTTTCACAGACCCCAGAAACGGATGGTCCAACATGTTCCAAGATCGCGCTGATCTCTTTGCGATAGTAAACTTTCCTGTCGGCCTCGCTAGCGCAACCGTGGTGAGCAGATAGCATTTTAGCGCTAACTTGGCGAAGGGTATTCGCATCCATCGATATCGTTAGCGAAACCAACACCTCCATCAATTTAAGGCTTTTGCCGACACAATCAATTGGGTCTCGGGATTGACCAGCATTGACCGACGCACCAGCCAGTTGTTGATGAATGATCGAGAGAAGCGTGAAATACAGAGTTTCAAACGTTTCCCAGCTTCGCCTTAACGCAATTCGGGCGGTATCAAGAATTTCATGTGATGTGGCAGTTGATCTGGACTCCAGAAGTCTCTGAGTACATTCGTCCAAGTCCTGCAAGCAAAACACTACAGTAAGATATCTGGCTAGTACAGACTCAAGATTCACACGAAATTAGCAACTGCGTATCTTACGGAGTCACTCTTGTCAAGACTCGCCCTCACTCGTCTCCTGCAGGTGGTGGCAAATGCACTGTATCGAGATGGCTCTTCGAGGCGTTCTTCACCTTCGATCACTAGCTTGAATGCTATACAACCCGCCCCAAAATCGATTATTACCTGCTTTTCCTGGGCAATCCACACCAACTAACATTGCATGCATGAATTAGTAAGTCCATACTCAGCAGCCGGTCTACCAATATAACTTACCTGCAATGCTGCCGAAACCGCCTTCCCTAGTAGAGCGCTGAGGCTAAGACGCTTGGACATGGTACTGGATGTGGCGATCGCCAAAAGTTCGATACAACCAGTCTCGTGCACACACCCGACGCTTACTTGACCTGTTTCCAATATATAGGTGGAACAGGACAAATTAAACACACGTCGTACTCACCATAGTTTTAAAATTGACGTACCGTTCGCATGCAACAGCGCAAAAGTAATTTCGTTGTCGACCCAAGCTCCATCTATGATTTGATGATCCAACAAAATTCGCTGTACGGAGCTATTTCTCAGGTCCCCACCAATTTGGACGTGGTACAGCATACTCCCAACAGTTATCATTGCGTACGTCCACGTATTCGTCGTGAGCATTTTGAGCCCCTGAGTAGCTCCAGGGTCCAAGTTTCCTATCTCTCGAGAGGAAAAGCTGACAGGCCTCCAACACGCGTCCACATCAAATAGCCACTTCTCCAAGACTACCGAACCATTTAAAAATCGTGTCACGCGTAGGTAGGCAAAGCAGTTTCCCATTACCGCTGAACTGATAAACTTTCCGCAGCTGCAACTATCAGCAGACCGAGAGTCCACCGCTGTTCCTGTTACCTCTCTCCACTCACATTTCCTCCAGGCATCCTCATCTTCATCGAAATCACAATCACACGGATTCCACCCCCAAATTTTCCCACTATCACCTCCCACCACTACAATCTGCTCCCCACTTGCATCCACGAAGGCGTCCACAATCTCCTCGCTCAAATTCGGCAGCGACTTGATTGCCACAGTCTGAAAATCCACAATGTAAATGTCACTCACTACCTCTGCGTCTGGTTGCTTCTTCCTCCTTAATGCAACACTATACTTCACCCCCGAATTCCTCCCAGTGAGCATGACATCCCCCGGCAGCTCCACAACGCGCCGAACTTCAACTGACCCAGCACAAAACGCCTGTGCATCCGCCACCTGCAGCACATTCCCAGCTCCGACCAGCACCACAGCGTCGTCCAACGTTCTGTGTACCCAACCTTGCTCAAAAATTGCCGTATGTCGCTCTCCATTCGGCGAGATCTCCGTCGCCGCGCCGCATACGCGCGCCACCTTCCTGCCCATGACCCAAACGTCACCGAGTGCGTCCTTTCAAATTCAAAGTGATCCGATTGATCGATTTTCTTTTCGACCAATCAGATCCCTTAAACTTAATTGCAATCGCAATTTCGCGTTATTCGGCGCCAAAAAGCACACTCTCGAGGCCCGAGTCAATCGACAATGGCGGGATCCGACAGCTCCGAGGAGGACGAGCCCATCGCGGCGCCGCAGCCGACCCCCGCGCCCCCCGTACGCACTCACTCTCTTCTCCAACGCCTGCTCTTTCCCGTCGTATAACTCGCAGCCGCTAACTCGCTCTGCAGAAGGCGTGGATGGACGAAGACGCCGACGAGGAGGAGGAGGACGCCGACCTGACGCAGCTGCAGCGCCAGCGCACGCCCAAGTTCAAGCGCTGCGTGGCCGCCGTGGAGAAGGACGCGTGGAACGCCGACGCCTGGATCGCGCTCATGAACGAGGTGCAGCTGCTGCCCGTGGCCGAGGCGCGCGAGCACTACGAGGCGTTCCTCAAGCTGTTCCCGACCTCCGGCCGCTGGTGGAAGCTCTACGCCGAGCACGAGCTGCGCGAGAAGCAGTACGACCGCGTGCAGGAGATCATCAAGAAGTCGCTCATGCAGCTGCGCTGCCCCAACGTGGACCTGTGGCGCTTCTACCTGGACTTCACCAAGGTCGTCAAGCTGGACGTGGCCGTGGACTCGAAGGAAGCGGCGGCCATCGCCACCGCCAGGCAGCTCATGGTGGACGCCTTTGAGCTCGCCATCGAGCGCGTGGGCGGCTCCATCCACGCGGCCCCCATCTGGCAGATGTACTTGACGTTCGTGCAGGAGGAGCAGGACCCGCAGGCCTTTTTGAATGTGAGGAAGCTGTACCACCGCATGGTCATGGTGCCGCTCAATGGCATGGATACGATCTGGAGGGACTACGAGAAGTTCGAGCGCGCCATCCCGAACAACGAGGCGCTGGCGCAAAACTTTTTCAAGGTCTTCAGACCAAAGTTCGACGCCGCGCGCGCGGTCTTGAGGGACCGCAAGAAACTCTATGATCAGGTGAACGCCAACGCGCTCGCGGTGCCTGCCACCAGCTCTAGAGCTGATGCGGCGGACATGGCCAACTGGCAGAAGATTCTCGCGCTCGAGATGGGCAACCCGGAGAGATTGGACGCGTTGCGCCTCAAGTCGCGCATGCGCTACACGCTCGAACTCTTCGTCAGCGTGAAGCGGCACTACCCGGAGGCGTGGTACCAGTACGCGTCCTACGAGAACCAAGTGAACGACCCGGAAGCTGCGGCCAGTGTGTTTGAACGCGCAATTGAGGCGATTCCAGACTCGAGTTACCTACACTTCGCCTTTGCTGACCACCACGAGCTGCGGGGAGATATTCCTGCCGCAAAGGCCATCTACGAGAAACTGCTTAAGGATCACGCGTCGGCGCTAGCGTATGTGACATACCAACGCTTTGCGCGACGTGCGTATGGGGCGAAGGGATTGAGCGAGGCTCGTGCAATTTTCAAGAGAGCTCGCAAAGACGAGCGAGAAGGAGCGTGCACCTACCACGTCTTCGCTGCATCGGGTAAGCCTGTCATCCTTTTCTGTTAGTTCTTTCCGTTGCGGTGTGCTGACGCGTGTGTTTGTGTTCGCCGTTATGGTTGGTGCATGCAGCGCTACTGGAGTTCTACAGCGACAACTCAGAGAGTGGGAAAGACATCGCCTTGAAGATCTTCGAGTTGGGCTTGAAGAAGTGCATTCAGGAACCCGCATATGTGTTGTGCTATTTGGATTTCCTTGGTCACTTAAATGATGACAACAGTAAGTTTTCCATCAGCCTCTGTGTTCAGAACCAAATCTTACGAGTACGCTGTGTCATTTGGTTGCAGACATGCGGTCTTTGTTCGAGAAGGTGTTGTCTGTCATGCCTGCAGAAGTATCGCGCCCGATTTGGGATCGCTACGTGGAGTTCGAGCACACGATGGTTGCTAGCGGCGGTGACCTTGCCGCTGTGGCTAAGGTAGAAGCCCGACGAGCGCTGGCGTTCCCGGATGAACCTTTTGTTGAGATGAAAGGTTTGCTGAGCATCGCTCACCGTTACTCGTTCTTGGACTTGCGACCACCGACGAGTTGCGACCAAAGTTTCCTCGACATGTATCGTGCTCCGTCCCGTGGTTCATCTGGAGCTAGCCGTGATGATGGAGCTGAAGATGGAGAAGGAATGGGAGGCGCAGGATTCGGAGGGGGCTTTGGACTCGACATGGACAGGCGCGTAAATTGCGGAAGCTTAGTGGTATTGTGGACCTACAGTGACAAACTAATTTGCTGTGTGTGTGCAGGCAAATTCCGGGCCCTCCGCTACCCGACTTCTTGAAGGAGTTCGCAGGAATGCTGCCTTTGAACCTGCCTTGGAATGGGCCAATCGCTGATGTGGAGCATATCTTCCGCGCAATGCTGCTCGTTGACTTCCCGCCGCGCTCGCGCATCGAGCAGATGGCTCAGCAGCAGCAACAACAAATGCAGCAGCAGTTAGCTCTTCAGCACCAGCAGCAGCTCCAGCAGCAAGCTGCTGAGGCTGAGAAAAATAGCGGACTCGGCGACGACGATGGTGCCTCTGGAGTGGTGAGCAAGCGACCGGCGCACGACATCTTCCGCTCACGTCAGAAACAAAAGCTGTCGAAGCTCGGATAATGCACAACACTGGACGTGTAGAAGAACGATACAGTAGTCGAAAATCGTTGCAATACCATGTGAAGAAGGCCTTAGCTCTTGTGCTTCTTCTGCTTTTTGAAGTTGACGACGATGGTCGGGAATCCCAGGTCCTCGTTATCGTGAAGCTCCACATCCGGCTTTTTGCGCCCGCCTAATACAGGAGCAGCAGCGCTTGGGACGCCATTAGTTGATGCCGCGGCGTAGGACTTCACAACGAATCCATCGACATCTTCATCCTCTTCTTCAGACAGCGATTCCTCGTCGAGCTCTTGACTACCTTCGTGGTCGTCATCGTTCTCAGTGTCGGTCTCATCGTCGTCTCTGTCGACAGACACAGCAGGCCGCCAGTCTTTGAGGATCGTTGCTGTAAATTCGGTTGGCTGGAGAGTCCGGCACGCGGAAACGAGCTTGTCGTCGCTGAGCATTACGTCCCGACGCTCATATTCGCTCCATTCACTTTTTGCTGTTTCCCATTCAGCCCTTGCCGCTTGTAAGACGATGTTATTCACCTCACTGATTGCACAAAGCGAGTCGTTAGCACAAACAAATCATCCAGAACTAACGAGTTGCATACCTTTCGTCTTGTAAGAAGTCCTGAAGTTCTTGAATAGCGTGAGAAAAGGCCGGAAGCAACTTCGCCTCGGTTTTGGAGATCCATCGACGGGTATTATACTTCTTACCGTACGTCTTGGCCAGCAACTCACTACCCCACCCTCCTTTTTTGCGGCTACCACCATTGAGCTGCATTTTCAGCACGACGCGCTCTTGGAAGGCAGAGGTCACCATCTCCATCGCTGCCGACATCGCATATGCCGCGCCAAACAAAACACCCAAATGGCCTAATGCACCAGTAGAATCGCCCACACTTTGATCGACGCGCCACGTGATGCACTTTGTTACGATCACCTTGGCACTTTTCGCTGCAAAAGCACCACCGCGAAGCACCAGTAAGTTCGTTTTAACCGGCAAGTTAAAACCGCAAACTTCAGCTTGTGCGAAAACCAGCAGCGCACTCTGAAACACGTCCATCGCTCGGCAGTAGTAAGCAAAAGGATTCGAACCAGCAATGCCTTGCCCGCTAGATTTCCTTGGTGCAGCCCGGTACAGCGAAGCGATAGCACAAAGCAAAACCGCTTCGATGAAATATGGCAACGACTCATTCGTCAAGCTTTTTAGCACGACGTGTTTACCACCAACGACCACAGCAAGCTCGTCTTGACGGCGCTCATTCAAGTCATCCTCTTCCGATTCATCCTCACTATCTTCCAGGCTCGTTTTCAGTTTCTTCCTTCTGTCATCGCGTGGCGCAGCGGCATCGATTAGAGTTCGCATTTCCTCTAGGTACTGAGCCAGTATGTGTGACCCCGCTGACGCAGAATTCGAGTACGTCCACGAGCCAACCACCAGGTACGCAATATGCCGCCATTTTATCGACGGGCACCGATACTTCCCCAACGAACAAACACGGCCTTTGTTCGGAGAAATGACAGCATTAGGGAGAGACCGTAATGGGAGGCCACTGAAAAAAATTCCCGAATCGTTTTCGAATTGACTTGGAATCGGCACCGATGGAAACGTTTGATGCAGCACAGCCAGGCAAAGTTGGCTGATCAAGGGACTTTTTCTCGTATTTAGAACGAGTGACACCAGCGCATCAAGCACCAGACAAGCAAGCGTTGGGTCCTGATTGCCAGACAACATCGACACCGGTCAGTTTGGATGCAAGATATGAGGTGGTTATGCGAGTGGACTTACCGTTAATTCAAGGCTTTGCCGGGCCAAGAATCGGAAAAATGTTTCGTTGCATGCATGTGGTTTGTGAAAGCTCGACATATCTTCGTCGGTGCATGCACCACTGGCAAGGAGCTTCATCATGTTATCGGTCCAACTGGAATCTCCAACAGCAGTTGCGATTCGACATGCTTCTAATATGGTAATGAAAGAATCGTATATGTACGCCAGGCTGGACGCCATCAAGTTTCGTGTCGCCGTTTGCGCAGCCGCAGCATTTGCCGACTCGTCTTCGGAATCTTCGTCCACGACACTACCAGTTTGATCATACTCGTCATTGCTGATCGACCGAGTTAACTCCGCTGCTCGATGACACAACCACTTCACGGCCTGGTGCCCTTCACTGCGTGAGACCAACGACCGCTTGTTTCCGCTGTAACTCGATCCAGTGTTATCTTCATTTAACCCCGCCGAGCTTACGGCATCGGGCTGCAAGTGCCGATTAAATATTTGTAACAACTCCACCTCGTAAGATAGCGGCAGTGGTGGCTCCATAAAATTCGTCCGGTGCCCCTCGAAGGCCAAACAGATAACGCGGAAGTCCAAGCCATACAACGAAGCTCGGGGAAGTTCTCCTTGTACTCGGCGGAGCTGCCCCTTCAGCATTTGCTCAACAATTTCTACCTCCAGCAGCAACCATTCCAGTTCTTCCTTTCGAGTTTGGGCTTGGCGAGAGTTCGCTGTGTCGTCGAGACGATCTAAGTGGTTCCTGATATTAACTGCTTGTCGATTTAGTGTCCGCTCAAGCTGATCACGTTGCTTCAAGCAGATACGCAAGCGAGCTGCCATCCGCGAATACTGATTGATGCAGTCACGTGTCGAATCTGCGCTCGCTACCGTCGAGATGTACCGCTCTGCAGCAAAGTTTGTCGATGCAACCGCAATATCCAGTGCGCACACTATATTCCAGATAGTGTTGTTTAACGCTGAAGGGTCAATAGCACCGCAAGCTTCATCATCCAGCGATAGATCATAATTTGCGGGGAACAAAAATCCAGCATCTACTATTTCTTCTTGTTCAGCGGGTGGCGCGAATTCCAGATAACAGTGAAATAACTCCCGCAGGAGGCAGATCTTCATAAAATACTTCTGCTCTGTCAGCTTCTTGAATGTTTCGCGATCATGGGTATCCATCGCACCAAACGACGGTGGGGGTATTCCAAACCGCATTTTAGTCACGAATTCAGTGGCATCCACAACCAAAGGGGTTTTTAAACCTTCCATGCCAGTTGATATGCCCCTCTGCGCGCCATCAATGTCGTCAAATGCCAGTACCATCGTCTTGTCATCTTTGAGGCGCTGAACCGCCTGATCACGTGGAGTCCAACACAAACCTTTCTTCCGAAATACCTGGGAGATCGCCGAGGTTAGTTGTGTCCGTTCTTGCTCGATTGACGATGTATGCAGTGTCCGACTCATTTCATCTCGCACAAAGTGCATTACATGCAGCAGAGTTTCGTCACGATTCGCAGAAGTCAGGAGACGTAGCATCCAATTCGCCAATGATTTCCGGTCTCGAGAATCCACGACAACTTGGTTCTTCAGCAGGTGCCCTGTCAGAAAAACTGCCATTAACTGCTTTACTTCAACTGAATTGGCGCGATTTTGTTGTGACCGAGCACTCTGAAGCCTGAAGGGTTGTTGATCATGGCTTGAGCCTGTGGCTCCTACCCGGGATACCAGTTGCTTTTGGATAGTGATCATCAGCAACGAATAAATGCCCCGTTCTCTCTTCGTCAGCAATGCCATGGTGGAACAAAGAAGATCGAGTATGTGCGAGGGATACTTTTCATCCAATTCCGACTCCACGGTAGCAGAGGCAATTCCATGCAGATGATCGAGAAGCAAATGAGACGACGATGCGAGTGCACCAGCATTTCTCCGCGCAAGTTCCGAAAGCCGCCGTGCAATCGCTTCAGCCACATCCCAGCACAGGCCACTGCGAGTGCGTTGCACTGAATCAGCGTTTCCGAGCAGTAGCAACTTCCTTGGTTGGCTGGCGATTGTCAGTAAAAGAATCAAAGCCTGATCACATAACCGCATATCGAATTACACGTAACGTTAGCATATCAATACAGTAGCACCTACGTAGCTCAGACTCACCTCTTCTTGCACAGTGCCTTGGGTCTCAACGAGGACGATTAATGAATCGACAGAGCTAGCAATCAAATTTGGTGCCAATGTTGGTTGAGTGGACGCTCGGAAACAAACGGCAAGCACACAGCTGCAGAAGCGGACAAAGGACGGCAGCAAGTAGGCCCATTCGGGTCTTACAAGCATCGTGGCTGCTTCACGCATCATGCGACTGTGCAGCCGACCGCTTTGCGCGACGGCTGTTGTCGCCCTTACTGCCAGCTGCACGACACGACAAAGTACGCGTTAATATAAAGTACCCATCGTACTACGCACTGATCAGCACAGGAAGTATAGAATTTACCTCATTTTCTGCCGACTTGCCCATTACGAATGTCAACAAAACGACGTCAAACGTGGCCAAAGGGTCCACATGTCTGATGAGCCGAAGCAGTGCTGTCAGAGCCACCGATCCAGCGGTCGCATAACGCCCAATCACTTCCATCGTGAGCGACAGCGTCCCTGATTCGATGCGGTTGCACTCGGTTCGCAGTCGAGCGAGTGCCTTTGGGGCCGACGACTTCGTTACCATCGACAAAAGACTCTGCACCACCGCCGGGATATCCTCTTCCTCCGCCGCATCCAGCAGCGACTGAAGGGATGCAGAACAACAACCACCACCAAGATACTATCAGTGTCACCCTAAAGCTTAGTGCCTTCTTGAACGTCCAGCCCACCTGTGCCGCCTCCACCACTGTGTTCTTCTCACAATTATCCAGCGGCATCTCCGCCAGCGACCCCAGCACCGGCACCAGCAGCGACCGATCCGTCGCCAGCAGCTCCAAGTACGCCTGCACCACCAGCTGCACGCACTCCTTGGACTGGTACGTCAACTGCAGGCAGCACACACACGCAACGCCGCTTTAGATCACAATCTTTTTCCACCCACTTCAGTTCTCCATCCAGCTCCAACGCACCTTGGGCAAGTGGTGGATGAGCAGCACGCGGTGGTCGCAGAAGAGCAGCAGCGACAGGATCTCCTCCGTCAGCTCCCGCGTGGGCGCCACGTAGTTGCCCAGCAGCCGCAGCAGCGCGTTCACGTCGTCGCTCGAGTCGTCGGCGCCGCCGCTGCGCAGCCGCTCCAGCACCAGGTGCGCCGTCCCCACGCGCTGCAGGCTGCTGTCGGTGCGCAGCAGGCGCCGGCACATGTCCAGCGCCTGCGCGACGTCCCCGTCGACCACGAGGTCGCGGTGCTGCTCCACCGCCGACGCCATCCTCCTCCGAAGTGAAAGATAAGTTTGTGGCGCCACTTTTGGTCAAAATTCAAACTTGAATTTCTCGAAAAGCGCGCGCTAATTTCAGAGGGCTTCTTCACCTCAAGCCGTTTCAAAACCATCTGGGCGGCTATTTTTAGGGTCGTGGCGCTGACGGGCTCACCTTTGGCTCACTTTTTGGCGGGGGGTTGCCGACACCGGTTCAACTTGCGGCACTTCGCAATCGGCCGCCCGCCCAAGCACTTCCTTGACTGGAGTCCGCAGCGACGATGGCGCAAGAGACGGAGACCGTGGCCGCCCTTCCAGTGGCCGCCGAGGCGCCGCCGCCCACGACGCTCGAGTCGCCGTCAAGCCCGAGCAAGCGCCGCAACCGCAAGAAGGGCCGCCGCGGGTCCACGGCCAATGGCGACGGAGAGGAGGAGGACGAGCAGGAGGCCGCCGTGTCCCCCTGCGTGACCCCTCTGGGCGACGTGGCGACTGCCGACCTCGTCTCACTGCCGTCGCCCGTCGGCGGCAGCAGCAACAGCAACAGCAGCACGTTCGATGCGTTCGCCGATCCGCCGACGACGACTATCAACGTGGAGAAGGCCATGGAGCAGCTAGCGCTGACCCCACCAGAGACGCCGGAGACGACAGTTCAAGCACCCGTGGCCAAGGAGGACGGACTGCTCAAGCTGCCGATGCACCCGTCCAGCGGACGAGTGCCGCTTACGCCCCCGCCCACGCCCGAGCCCTTTGTGGTGCACTCGCCTGAGAAGGAGCAGTCGAGAGTGGCACCCATGTCACCAAGCGTCCAACTTCTGTCGACGGTTGTCGAGACGCCGGCGAACGCCCAAGTGCCGACGATTGCTTCAGTGGTGCAGGTGCAAGTTGAAGAGGCGACGATGACTCCTGCCACGGAGACTGTGACAGAGACTACGGCCGTGACTGCGGCGGAGATCGACATCACTGAAGCGGTCGAGGTGGAAACGGCACAGGTGGTGGAGGCACCGTCTCCAGTAATTAGGATGCCCAAGGAACCTGAACCGCTACAGAAAGTCGTCGCTGTGGAGCAGGAGGCGTCGGAGCTGAGTAACACTCTGGCGGACATGAGTCTGAGCAACGAAATCAGCGCAAGCAACGAGTTGGTGACACCCGACGCAGCAGTCGACGAGGTTGCAATGAAACTTGGGGTTGCTTTCACGGGCGAAACCGCACCCACTGGAGTTGTCCCGCCTGCGATCGAGTTCCCGCCGGTTGAAACCGTTGCCAGCGTCCCAAGCCCGGTGCTGGCCAAAGAGGAAGTGCAGCTTGATCCCGTCGCAGGAAATCATATGGACAGAGAGGAAGAACAGTTTGACCCCGTCGCAGTCGACCAAGTGAGCGAGCTTCCGTCAAATGACCATGTTGCAGACAATCACATGAGTGAGCTTCCAACAGTTGCAGACGATCACGCGAGCAAGATTTCGTCAATTGACCCCGTCGCAGACGATTACGTGGGCAGGGCCCCGCCCCCCACAGCTAACGATGAAGTCGATTCAATTTCAGTACCGGCGCCACCTCCTTCGGCAGCACTTTCTTCTGAAACGCCAGCACCCGAACCAGCAGCAACGGTCCCGGCGGCGACAGTGCCAATTGAAGCAACTCCAACTCCGGTCCCAGCGACGAGTGAAAGTGGAGATGGTGCTTTGTCGCCACCAAAACAGGAGCTCAAGACCATTCCCGGGTCACCGCAACCTGTCCGCCGCAACAAAAGAAAGGGCGACTCGCCGGAACAGAAACCTCATTCCGCTCCGGTTGCAGCCCCGAAAGCTTTTCCGAAGGTCCAGCAAAACAAGACGGTGTCTTCGTCTGCAGTCACCGAACATGCTGCTAAGCCGAAGCTCGCGGCGCCCAAGGACTTGTCGGAGCCTCATCCACAGCCACAGCCACAGCCACGTCCAACCAAACGAAAGGGTGATGTAGCCGACGCCAAGCCTCCTCCAGCCCCCATCACACATCCGGCGAAGGAAATCCGCCCAAAGCGTTTGGTGGCTCGTTCGCACTTGGGAACTGCTCTGAATAAAGCAAAGACCAACCCAGAAGCGAAACCGAGCACCACAGCGGCCACGCGTCCTGCCCTCGACTCGAAGAAGGACTCGATGATGAATCCTACGGCGAGTAGCTTGGCGCGCGCAACAGCAGCTGAAGCTCGCAAGGCCTTGTTGAAAAGTAGCGCGGCCAAAAAGTCCCCCACTCGCAAGTCGATAAGGGCTAAAACGGCAGCTAAGCCACGTGTACCAGCTGCAAGCGTCCAAGTTGACAATTCGGTTTCTGCACCTCCGGCTCCCGCTGGAACTGACGATGGAGATGACGGTGAACGAAATGTGAAGCGGCGACTCAACGCAACCGATGCTGAGGCTGCAAGTAGACGGTTGTATGAAGACGCCAAGGAGGCCAGGCAGAGAAAAGATGCCCGGCGTGCTGAGTTGCAAGAAACGTATACCTTTGCTCCGCAAGTAAACAACAATTTCAAGCGACGCACAAACCCTGGAGAAGCCGAAGAGCTGAATCAAGACCACTTTACTCGGCTGCATGCCCAAGCAAAAGAGCTGTTGGAGAAGAAGCGCGAGCTTCAGCAGCAGCATGAACGAGATGGGTGTACGTTTGCTCCGTCAATTTCTGCGCGAGCCAAGCGCTTGGCGCGAACGAACTCGGGCCCGCGATACGAAAATCTCTACAAGCATGCCCAAGAAATGAAGCAAAAGCGCGAGGAGAAACTCTTGGAGAAAGCCAGGACCACGGAGGAACAATGCCCCTTTAAACCCAAGATCACTGCCTCCAAGTCGCCAGTGAAGACAAAACCCCTGTACGACTCGGAGCGCGAAAGACAGAAGCGCCTTGCTCTCGAGCAGAAAAAGATCGAAGCAGAAATGACCGAGTGCACTTTCAAGCCGAAGGTGTCTGCGAAACGTATGAAATCCAAAGCCGATGAACCAGCAGATGCGGCGGGCGATGCTGCCGTCGATGCTAACCCTTACAAGCGTCTCTATCAAGCGAGCATCGACCGCACGGAACGGCTTCAGAAGCTCCGCCAGGAGCGCGATGAAGAAGAGAAGGCGCAAGCACCCTTCCAGCCCAAGATCACTGCACGGTCGCGGGCTCTTAAAGCTGAGGCGCAGGCGAAGGAGCCTTTCCACAAGAGACTGTACAACAAGGACTATATGAAGAAGCTGGACCATGAACGGGAGCAGCGACGTCTTGAGGAAGAGCAGCAGTTCACGTTCAAGGTAAGGAGCATGCTATGATTCTGAAATGGCTCGCCTCTTACGTGTTGTATTTTCCATGCCAGCCAGAAATTAACGAGCCACCCGAAGAGATCAAGGCCAAAGTAAATGAGCGTGCTAGTCCTCGGAAGAGCATTTTCGAGGTTCGTGAAACCTAAATGCACGTTGTATGATTTTTATCGTGTTGCTTATAGTTTTTTCGTCGATATTGTTCTGTGTGTAGCGCCTTTATGACGAGAAAGACAAGATGAAGGAGAAAATCGAGATCGGTGAAGAGCTTCGACTTCAAAAAGAGATGGCTGAGTGCACGTTTCAACCTCAAATCAAGGTTGATGCCGTACCAAGCAATGGTGAGCCGGCCCCACCAGTCTGGGAACGACTTACGAGTTACGACAAGGCGCAAGTAATTGAAGAGCGCGAGAAGCTGAAGGAGCAGCTGGAAATGCAGGAGTGTACGTTCAAGCCTGAGGTCAAGTCACCTGACGCGCTCATGATGAAGCGAAGTCCGTCCTTCAACGTCTACGACCGACTGACTGGCAGCGGAAACAACTCGCCACTTGACCCGACGAGGGCCAACTTCATCACGAGACGCCCAAGCAGCTCTCCAGGCCGTCAAAGTCCCGATGTAAGTTCATATTGAATGGTGGATTAAGTACACAAGGTTCTGATGGTGTGGTGGGTTGGCAAACAGGCGAAAGGTGTGTCGATTGGTCGGATCATCAAGTTAACGAAGTTTTCCCTGCCTAGTGAGAGGAAGATGCCTAGCAGGACGCACTCGATTAGCCAGCCGTCCAGTGTGAACAAGCCAGCGATCAAGAGGTCCACTTCATTCTCTGGTCCCAAGTCGGCGGCTTCGTCGCCCACCATGTCGACGGCAGACATTCTCGCCAATCTTTCTGAACGCTCGCAGCAAGCAGCGGCTGCCAACGGAGATGCTGCTCTGTCCCAGTCCATCACGGAGAACTACGAGTCGTGGTCTGCTGCGCTGAACGCGAAACTGCGTCACCTATAACAGCGACAAGGATGAAACTCAATTATCATCGAAGTATTTTATTACCTGGGGCTGATAGACAGGAGATATTCAAGTGGTTCCTTATAGCATTTGCTAAATCAAAAACATAACATGAATGCATGAGAAGCTTTCGAGTGCTCAGGCGTACCGATCTCATAAATTAAGCGTAAGAAACCTCACTGTGTAGTTGTATGTACTTCGGCGGTAATAGTGGATGGCAAATTACCTCGATTCTGCTGGCAGTGGCAATGTAGTGGATCTAGTGTGGTGATTGAGATGCTCCTGGCTTGGTCGCAACCAGTGGGCCCAGTGTGCGGTAGTGGTCTGGATCGTACACCCGCTCAAGTGCCTGGACCAAGTAAATAATTTCGTCGGCCCACGCGTGAAGGCACCGGCGATCCAGGAACGAGGCGAGGCGACATTGGTTTCCTGTGAACTCGGCGCGCGGATCGCATTGCCCGAAATTGACTTGCATTAGCCACGTGACACTGCAAGAGCCTTCCCATGGAGTCGGGGTGATCAGCCATCCCCCGAGAATACAGTCAACGCGAGATCCGTGACACGATCCGAGAACTCGAGGGTCTTGCCAAGCTGCGGCATCAGCGGGTATCATGACGATAGAAATCGTACCGCTCTCGTCCACCCTGTACACCCGCAATGAGTTAGTCTCGATATCGATGCATGTAAATGCCGGTAACACGAAAAGAAATACAAACGTTTTGCTACTCACCTCCACGTTTTTCGCGAAATCATTTGCAGCTTGCCGCGACCCCAACTGCTACCCTTGAAGACTGTCCGGACAGTCCACGTGTTCTCATTTTCACGACTGAGCACCTCTTCACTCTCGACAAACGGAGCCCACGACATCCCGACTCCGTGCCCCGGTATCTCGTCGTCCACACTTCGATTCATCACCATGTCAAAAACTGCTCGAGCTGGAAAGTGGCACGTCGTGACACATTTAACCATGTGGAAACTATCGGCCACCTTTTCGAAGACTGTGTCGCAGGGTCCTGGCTTGCGATTTACCGTCCACCCGCTGTATTGGCGGGCATGTTTTTTCAGCTCGTTCAATGCTGCAGTAAGGCTCCTGTCCTTGGAGGGTGCAACGGAAGGCGGTGCTGGAGGGAGGTTTAGAAACAGACGCAGCAAATACCATTGCGCGATGGTTCCTTGGGCCTCACCTCCCAACACCATTTTCTCCAGCGCGCAGTGAACGAAATCCTGAAGTCCACTCTTGCGACGGTGAAGGAAGCCGTCCGTCAGAGTCATTTGACGTCGCAAGGCGCAGTACGTCTTGGGTGGCAACAACTTCCACAGTCCTGCCGATGGGAACATCGCACAAACGTGCAGCGCGAACACGTAGAACTCGCGGAAACGCCGCTCAACCGTGATCTCGGACGCCGTTAGGGAAGGAATTCGCGTAGCTAGTGAATACACAGCGACTTGGGTATCGGTGACTCGCACGTTGCGCACGTTGCACTGGAGCAGGGCATTTTGTACTCCAGACGACGAGGTCACCCACCGACGCTGTTGATCCACGGAAGCAGCAATTGGCCTGGTAAATGGCAGTGGAAGCGTCACTGCAGGAGCTCGGATCTCCGAGATATCGGCGACGGATGTAGAGCGTTCAGGAACTGCGACAGATTTGACCTTCTTACTTTCCTGAGGCAGATGTGGCGCTGAGTTTGCCCGATCAGGCAAGGGACGATGAGGTTGATCCGGTTTACTTGGGGGAATTGCTGTGGCAGCAGGCGAAGTATCCATGATGGCATCGATAATGGAGCTTGCTCGAGCAGCAGTCTTCAAGAGCATCACTTTCGTTGGAGAGGGTGGCGCTGTGGAACAGTCATGGTCTTCACTTTCTTCTACTGAAAGCTGCGCACGGCAGTCACGGCACACGACCGTCGGAGCCACTGGGACCCACACCGCTGGGTCACTCGACGCTAGGCCAGAGTCCATCGTGAAAGGGATGGCCAGCTTCGGCTCAGCTCAGAATCTTTGATGCTGCAACTCTGCTTTCGAACGGGAAGCTTTTTCAATGTTTTCGGTTGGGGAAACTATGAGGGAGAATAAGTCGCCGACGCTTGGGGCTAGCTATTTCGAGTGCACCAGGGGCGTACGTACGTGTCAACAGGACCTTCAGCCGAAGTTGACAAACCTTCATTTTTTTCAACGGACACACCAATTGTTTGCTAGAACCCTACAGTCTTGACGTGAAGCGCCTGGCTCCAGACGTCTGCAAAGGTTCCTGGGGCATTTTTTCAGTCCCCAGACGACTTGAGATCCTTGGAGCAGATCGTTGAGAGGTTGTGGCATTTCCAACTGCTGCGCTTGATGTCCGCCTGCGTTGGGCCGAGACCTTCGTGGGTGCGTCAAAGGTTGTGGCCGTACTTCTTGTTCGCTCGGGTTTTCGTCCCGAAGCTCTTTTGGTACTTTGACGGCCACGGCAACTGGTTGAATGGGTTCCGGATTGGGAGAAGAGCGAGCCCAATAGTAGAGTGGAAGCTGCAGACGGAGGAGTTTTAGGGGCGCGAGGCAGCAGTGTTGGCATAGCAGGGTGCACTTTGAGTTTGCGAAGTGGATTCGCTGCACCCCCAGGGGTGGTAGGCCTTCCAGTTAGATTTCGCCCACTTGGAGCAGCACTCCAGCTAGGCTGCCAGGCTTGAGGGCGTCTTGGCTGCTGAAGGAGCCTGAGCAGCTCGTGTTCATTTCCACTTCGAGACGTACCCAAGTGCAAAGCAGGAGGTTTCCGCTTATTTCCAAGCGACTCAAGCTCTCGACTGGTTTGAGCCGCCCGTCCCCGAGAGGTTCCCTTGGCCATGCCTGACGCTCGAGCAAACGGTACTCCAACTCTGGCATGAGGCGGTCGAGGATGTGATCTCGCTGTGGCTGCATGCTTCTTCGGTAAAGCTTGAACGGTTTGGCGTGGAGCAGCTTTACGGCTAGAGCGGAACGTTAACAAGGCTTGCGCTACCCCGCGATTACGAGCGATAAAATCCTCGACCATCTCCACTTCTTCTTCGTCGTCACGCTGTGTCAAGAAGGTAGCGCCTCCGATCTTACGCTCTCCAGTGCGTTTCGTAGCATCTTGTCGATTCTGCAGTTTCTTCTTCAACGCCTCTTTTCGAGCACCTAGCGATCGAGATCCCAGAGTCGCCTTACTTTTTCGCCGGGTGTCGGTTGCGAGGCGCTGACCATCAGCTTGCAAACTGGTAGGCCGACGTTTGTGGATTAGCGGGTCTGGCCTCTTACCAGCTTTGCGCTTGGAAGCTGCCAGTGTTGGCACTGGGATTTCAGTTTTACCTTCCAGAAGCGATGGAACTCGTCCCTTCCGCGAAACAGGGCCACGACGACAGCTAGCAGCAATAGCAGCGGAAATAGGACTCGTGGGAGCTCTGCTCGTCAATGCGGCTTCACGCCTCTCCCGTTGCCTGGGTGATAGTGCCTGAAGAGTTGAAGAATGCCCCGATATTGGGTTTGCGAGTCGATCAATAGTTTCCCGACGCGTCTTTCGCGCAATTGGCGCGGTACCGTACGTGCTCTCCATGTACGCGAGACGAGAGGCGATGCTGTCAACTCGCGACACTTTGGCGGGATCCTTGTACGCCTCTTCGTTCTTCTCACTAGGAAACCCAACTCGAACCTTCTCAAGTTTAGCGTGATAATTCTCCACCGAGTGATGATCCTCTGGCTGCTCGGTGAAAATCCTCTGCGTCTTCGAGTACGGACTAACCTGGCTTCGTGCTGTTGGAGGTGTAGCTGCGTTACCGGGATAAAAGCTGAGTAGATCAGGTCGAGGCGTGTAAAGCACTGACTTCAGGTCAAGCTTCTCTAGAAATCGCAGCGTTTCTTGATCAATGTTGGCGTTGTTGTTGGATCGCTGGTTTTTGGTTGCTAGCCCCAAAGTGCTGTTGAATCCTCGCTCTCGGGTCAACACCTGCGCCTTCCTAGGGGCCGCCTTACCGCCATTATCTTCAATCGGTCCATCTTCCGAGTACAATTCGTCTTCCTCCACCACTTGCTCTAGGTCGGAGCCCCGTCGAGATGCTCGTCGAGAAATGTTATTATCTTCGGCGGCGCCGTCGTCGTCATCGTCGTCGGGGCGAGCATTTACTAGCTCTTCGAGCTTTAGCCGAGGAATGAAAGGGGGCGACAATACCGGTTGGTGTGGAGTTGATCTCATCGGAGCGAGGTGCTGTCTCGGATTCGCTGTCGAAGGGGCTCGCTTTGTGGCGGGCTTCTGCGGCAAGAAGGTCGGTACTGCAGGCTTGCATCCCGTCGGAGCGTTATCATCAGTCTCTGCATCGCTTTCTGCTGCAAAGAGATCGCGGAACAGCTCCTCGTCCTCTTCTTTCGGCCTAGCGGAGCGAGACCCCGACGTTGGCGACGTGGGCGAGTTCGTTGCATGATTGACTATCCGAGTGGAGAACTCCGAAAACGAGTCGACTGCGTAATTCCGAGCCGAGGGCCGCGCAGGCGACGGCGACGATAGTGGGAGCGACGCCAACAAACTACCCGTCATTGGCCTGTAGCCTCCACAGATCTCGAGCTCTGAGCGGCGGAATGCGGAGAAGAACCGAAATCGGCAAGGCTTCGAGTGTATTTTTGCCCTGCCACACTATTTTTTTCCGTTGCTTGCCAACACCAGCCAACAGTCATGCAGCCACACCCGAAGATACGCTTTGGTCTTGTCGGTTGAAAGGGTACTTTGAAGATATGCCGCCGCCGCCGCCACCACCACCCAGAGCCCCGCCGCCACCGAGACCGAGAGTGCCACCTCCACCGCAGGCAAAACCGGTCGGTACTGATAGCGCTGACAGAACTCCAGGCCCGCCGCCTCGAGGCCCACCAGGTCCGCCCCGAGGCCCCCCACCTCGTCCGCCGCCAAGTGATTTACAAGCACGCCCAGTTGATGTCGATGCTGAGGACACGCAAAATCCGCCCCGAGGTCCGCCAGGACCACCAAAGGGTCCTCCACCGCCACGTCCACAGATGAACCCGCCTGGTCCTCCAAAGGGTCCACCACCAACCGGGGCCCCGCTTCCGCCGCGAGGGGCACCACCCGGGCCGCCGAAGGACCCACCGCCGCAGCCACCGAAGGACGCGCCGCCGCCATTACCAGATCGCGGCGAGCCTGAAAAGGACAGTGCCGCGGAGGCTGCTGCCAGTCTTACCGCAATCCAAAAGCTGCTGCGCCGCGGACGCCTGAGCTTCACGCTGCTCGAAGCGCGCGAACTGCGTAGAAAAGGCGGATCGGTCGACGCGAGACGCTTCACCGCCGACCCGTACGTGAAAATTGCAGTGGGCACCAACCCGCTGTCGGCTCAGGAGAAGCGCAGCAAGACGCTCAAGAAGAGCGGCACACCCGTGATATTCCACGAGGAGGTCGTGTCGTTTGATCTCACGGACCCCGTGGCGTTCGTCAACGACGGTGACCTACCGATTAAGATTGAGGTCTTCGATGAGAACCTCCTCTCGGACGAGCTCCTTGGAGAAGTTCGCATCTCCGCGCTTCGCTTCTTCGACGGCCAACCGCACCGCGAGATCTTCCCTCTTTCGTTGCCAGCCATGCCGGGCGCCCCCTGCGGCGAGCTGGAGATTGAGGTGAAGCTGGAAGAGGCCCTGATCGGAATGCTGTCGATAGTACTGCTGGAAGGCCGCAATCTCAAGAGCATGGAGCTGATCGGCAAGCAGGACCCGTACTGCCAACTGTCCATTGGCAAATTCACAAAGCGTGGCAAAACCATCGAGAAAGGTGGACGAAATCCCTACTTCGGAGAAGAGGAGCTGCTCTTCTGGTTCAATGAAGACCTCTGGACACAATCCATGACGCTCCGCGTGTTCGACGAGGATATCGGCAGCGACGACCTTATCGGCGATGCCAAGTTTTCGGTGCTGCACTTCATGGCACATCGCGGGCCACAGGAGCACGCAATCCCGTTGCGTAATAAAGGAAGCCCAGCAGGAGAAGTCCTGATGCGGATCGAGTTTTTGCCCGCAGGTGTACTCACCGTGACCTGCCACTCGGCCAAGCAGCTACGAAGCGTGGATGCAATAGGGCGGCAAGACCCGTACGTCAAACTGACTTTGGACGGCCGAGCGACGCAAATGGTCAGGAAGACCAAGACGGACACGGACGGCGGCAGCGAGCCCGAATGGGGCGGCGAGGTGTTCCGGTTTGATGTCGTTGATCAATACAATTTGCAAGTCGAGATCTGGGACGAAGATTCTGTTGGTGCCGACGACCTCATTGGTGCTGCATCACTTTCGCTACTACCGATATTCCGCTACGGGTATGCTGATGACTGGCTCAAGCTCTGGACCAAAGGGCGATTTGGGAACAAGGATCCTGCCGGCATGCTACGACTCGAAATGAGCTTTGAGGGTCCTGCGGATGTGGCGTACCCGCAGCACCAGGTCGGCATGGACCACTTCACTGAAAAAGAGCGCCGAACCAAGGAAACGGCTGGAATGATTCCTTCTGTCTCAGAGCCTGGCGGTGGCCAGGATGCGGCAATGGCTGCCAAGGCCCACGCACTCACAAGACCGGCTAAACGCGTGGCCGAAAACACGAGCGAGTTCTCAGAAGAAGAGCTCTTGGGCGCCTTCCGGTCCCTTGACGTGGATAAAAACTCGTTCATTGGTGCCGCCGAGCTACGTCACCTTCTCATTTGCATGGGTGAGCTCATTACCGATGCCGAGGTAGATGAAATGGTGCGACTCTGTGATACGGACGGCGACGGACAGGTGAGTTTCGACGAGTTTCGGAGAATGGCAACTCATCCCGACCCAGGCGGCCCAGAGTTCGCCATGGCGATGGCAGAAGAAGAACCAGAGGAGCCGGCACCACCAGCAAGCGGGTCGAATCTCACAGTTGAAGATAAACAGCGACAGCAAGGAATCAAGCACGAGAAGTCCAAGCTCATGCGGCGATTCGTGGAGGATACCCGACCAAGTCTCGAACTGTTGGAGCGTGTAGCCAAGAAATTCCGCCAAATGCAACATAATACGCTGGACTTCGAAGACTTTTGCTTGCTGTTCGAGGTGGAGCCCACCGGTGAGTACCGGCGCTTGTTCGCTCTGTTCACTCCAGACAACCAAAGCGACTCCGGCGCAGATTTGCGTGAGATGCTTCTCGCTGCAGTGAACTTCGTTGGTGGGGTCGATCGCACGCAGCGCGTACGCTTCTGCTTTGAGATATTTGATGATGACCACAACGGATTCATCACGGAGGACGAGCTTGTGAACATCCTACGTGCCAATTACCTGGCTACATCGGCAGACCAGGTACGAAAGAAGGCCCAGACAATTCTCAAGCAGGCTGACGACAATGGTGATGGCCGCGTGAGCTTAGATGAGTTCCATGCCATCTCGCGAAAGTTCCCCAATCTTCTCTTCCCGCCCCACGACGCAGATTAGTCCATAAAAATGAAAACCTCCACTATAATTATCCAAGGAAACGCTGCATACACGTTGTGACAGGAACGGGCTCATTAGCCTTGTGAAAAAATGAGGACCCTCGACTCTCCTGCAGTCGAAGTGAGCGTCGATTCTCCTGAGAGGCACGATTCCATTCCAAGCAGCACCAGCAACAATGGCAGTACTTTTCACTCTGGACTCGGGGAGGTGCGCGAAGCTTACTCACGAGGTTGTCAACATTGGGTTCCAATCGTCTGATATTCCTACAATCTTCATCCAGACAAAACATTTGATGGAGAGATTGAACACCGCGCAGGTGAAGGTCAAGCGACTCCAGCGGCTAGAAGCCGCACTCGTAGACTTCTTCATGGAGGTCATGGACCGCAGTGACAATAACGTCCGGGCCGATCATGCTACGCGTTCGCTTGAAGCCGAGTCGGCATTTGTGCGAGGAAAGCGGAAGGAGCAGTTTCTCAAGAAAGCCGAAGGTGATCCGATCTCTTTGTTGAATGCACTACGAACACATCTTCGTCTTAAATTTGCAGAGCAGGAAGCGCAGGAGGCTGCGGCTGAACGGAGATTTCTCGTGGAAACCTTAACTAACCAGCAGAAGGAGCAGGATACCCGAGATAAGTTTCAGCAGCTAGAGCTATCATGCTGTCAGCTCAAGGAGCAGCGGCAGTCTCTGATGCATCAGATGAATCGAAACGAAGTCGATCTGGCGCGGACACGTCGGCAACACCAAACACTTCTGGAAAAGATGCATACACAGCTGCAGGAAGAGAGGTCTCGGGGGCAGGAAGCGCAACAACTTGTTGTCCAGCAACAAGAGGAAATTACGGCTCTAAAAGAAGCTCGAGATGCCTTGATCAAAGCAGCACAGATCCAAAAACCTCTTGACGGTGTTCGCGCTGGTGGAGTGACAAGTGGTAATACTGCTGATAGTGGCAGCAATCCTTCAGCTACAACTGCCGCAGCGTCCGCATCAGGAACGTCTCCATCTCACTCAAACGGTGAGTTCTTTGGAACGCCAGCAGAAAATCAGACGCTTCGACGGGCAATACGGAAGTATGAGCTCAAAATGGCGCAGACAGAGGCAGTTAATGAAGAGCGCAAGCGTGAGGTGCAGCGATTGCAGCAGCAACTGACAGGATTGCGCCAAAGCACGCAGCTTCAGATGTACTCTCGGCTCGAGAAGGAATCGCGGCATCTCCGTGAACTTGCAGATGATCTCAAAAAGCGCCTTGCCGAAAGCGAAGCAGACTTGTTGCGTACGAAAGGAACCCTCAAAGAGCGCGAAACCCACATGCAGAAAATGAGGGACGAGTACGCGAGACTGTTTAATGCTGTGCAGAAGCAAAAACAGCCCACGCATTATTCTCCATCCAAGCTTGGTCGGGCAGCTAGTACGATGCAACTTGCGTCAACATCACAGGGTAACCACTCCGCTCAATTACCACCGAGAGTACCCGGCACAGCAGCGGATGCGCACTCTGAAGGTTCCACGACAGCCCCAACATCGAATAGTGAGCATCCGTATGTGGTTGAGCACTATCGCTCAGAAGCAGCACGGGTGGAGCGCGAATCTGAGGCGCTGAAGTTGCAGATTCGACGAATGATGGCCTCAGAGCAGCTCCATAAGCAGAAAACGAGGGTGCTGCGAGCGGAGAAGCAAAATCTCATTCGGGAGCGCGATCAGCTGCGTGCCGACCTGGATCGTGCTAAGCGTCACAGTACGCTCCAGAGTATTGCGATGAACCGGCAGCAAGCGCAGTCGACTAAAGAGATTCGAAAAATGGGGTTTACCAGCATACCACAAGATGTGAAGCAGCTAAAGGAGCGCAACGCCTTCCTAGAGGAGCGATTTCGCAAGTCACTGCAGAGCAACTCCGCTCTCACTACGATCGGTGCCGTTGCCCGGCTTAGGAACTCCATTTCAGTTCCACCCGGATTGGATGGTGTTGATCCCGCAACAAGTTCAGAAAATGAAGCCGACTCCGAATCTACGTTGGTGGGTCATCATGAGCCTCGAATGCGGAGACACCACTCGATGTTTGCCATCAAAACTCGCCCGGCTTCAGCTAATGCCACCACCATGAAAGCTAATGGAGGCTCCCTTCGGTCGATCGTCAAGAAAGACAACGAAAGTCTCTCTCTGGATACTGCAACACTGCAGTCACTGCAACAAGTGAAACGAGCCACTCGAGTACGCCCCCAATCCGCCAACCCCACGAAATAGACAATCCTGCCAGTGTAGTTGACTGTTTCATCCACGTTGAACTCATTCCGCGCCAACAAGTTCGTTATTTTTGGTCCGCTTTGTCGGCCGAGCACAGTTTGTTTTTTGACCCACAACATGGACGGCAACTTCGACGATATCAATGGTCCAAAGCACGAACGTGTGGCAAAAGCGCTTGAGCAGGTGAACGGATTCCGATATCGTACGGATGCTGATGTTATGGGTGATCGTATCATTGCTTCCATCACTGATGGCTCTTCCGTTTACCAATTTTGCCAGGGTATCACCCGCCACCGCAAGATGGCAAGAAGATGTTGAGCTTCGATTCCGAAGAAGAAGACGCAAGTGATGGCGGAGACAGCGACGATGAGTGCTCCGGTGATGAAATGCAACGTCAACGGCGACGTCGAAGCAGCAAAGGAGCAACCAGGCGCACCAACGAGGAGTCAAAACCCCCGGTAATGACTCTCGATGACCACATCGAGAATTTGTTGCGCAAGACCCGCACGCTGGCGATGCTGAAGATCGCAAACAATACGGCGGGAACTATCCCGTCCGATAGCGAGGACGACAACGACGAAGCTGACGACGTGGTGTCGGATGAATTGAGCATTGGCAGCCTGTCATCCGTTGGATCACCGAAGCATGGAGCATCTTTCGGGAAATTGTCCAGCCTTGGCAGTCTCTCTCTTGGTGGAACACCAAAACACGGGGCGTCCTCTGGCAAACTCTCCAGCCTTGGGAGCAACTCCAGCATGGGTGGGCACAAATCAAGCCTTCTCGGAACTGCGGCGATGTGCTTAGCACGGACACTCAGTGCCTTCCTATGTTTGCCTCGTGCAATCAGCTACGGTGATTTGGAGGCGGTAAGTATGGGTTGTCGATGTCTTGGAACACATCTTTGACACATGAGCGTTTTGCGCAGATCACGGAGAAATTGCTGGAGTCACCAAATGACCAGTTTGATGATGATGAGTATGCGCATCTCATTGATTGCCACGTCGATTCGGCTCGTGACGATGAAGCGCACTCGGAAACAGAAGAGGACGAACCTATCTGGAAGCGTCGTAACTCGGTACAATATGCACTCCGATCTCAGTTTGGTCGACGTGTCACCACTAACGAACTCAAATGCCGTGAGCAGAGGCCAGTCCGACCGCTGAACCTCGCCGAAGATTCGACTGACTTGGAATTGGTGAGTACAGCTCTCGCTAGGTTCTCAGCTTCCACCTGCAACGCTAATTCTACTTCTCGTCAAAAATTTGCCCTAGCATCAACGGCAAATATTCATGGAGGCGAATCGCTTTGGTGGCGTCTCCAGTCGAGTACGTCAAGCATCTTGTGAAAGTCCTCATAGTGTTGAGGTTGCTAACCGCATCTCACGACGCCAACCGTCTCCAGAACTTCTTTATAGCGTCTAGCAAGCACCTGCTGACCAAAGACGATTCAAAAGGCAGCATGTACTTCGGCGTAAGCCCTAGCGGACGCTTGCTCGGCTCCACGATGAATGGCTCAAGCACAAGTTTGAACTTTGGCAGACAAGGAAGTGGCTCCACAGTTACATCGAACTCCAGCACCGATCAAGCACCAGGAGAGATTGCGGACAGCCCTTTCAACGAGGAAGAGTACATCAATTGGCGGACGCAGGTAAAGGAGGACTACCTCGCATGGCTGAACGCGAAGGTGGAGGCCCGAAAGCGTCGAAAAACGCGTACGAAGAAAGGTGACCCCAGCAAGAAGCCGCGGTGGTTGCTGCTTTACGAAGCCAGCAAAAACCCGACGCAGAAGTACCGGCCGGACGGGAAGGAGTAACTTGCTGCTCATTTCGCTTGGATTCGAATACACTTAAGACTTTGTTCTCACTCGATATCTTCATTTCTTCGCTGAGCTGCTGCATTTTCCGCCCGCACTGCTGCCTCCTCTTCGATTTTTGCTTTCTCCAGTGCATACTTCGCCATGGCATGAGGCATGGCTGACCCAAAGCCGTACAAGAAAATCCCGATAAATCCCACCATCAGTAGCCTGTTGCGCACTCGACGCGCACTCGCTCGTGGGTCAATAGCTTCCACTACCGACGACGACGTCCGCTTCAGCTTCTGAGCCCCCTCAGATACTGAGGATCGAACACGTTCCTGAGCCGCATTGGTGGCTTCCGTCGCGCTCTGCTGCGCGCGCTTCTTCAAGTCATCGACAGTGTCGCTAGCTGAGCGCTGCAGCACTTTGGCGTTCTCACGCAACTGGCGCGTGGCGTTCTCCTGGTTATTGCGTAAGTTGTGCAGCACGTTGGCGCCGATGCCGCGAGCTTTGGCGGCGGCTGCTGCGCGCGTCTCCTCCACCTTGTGCTTAGCTGTCCTCTGCACGCCCTCCGCTTTGTGCTTAGCTGCCTTCTGTATATCCTCCACCTTGTGTCTGGCAGCTTCCCTGGCTTCCTGTGTCTTCTGCTGTAAGCGGCGCTTGGCCTCCTCCGCTGCGTCCGCCGCTGCCTGCTGTGCCCGCGCGCTGGCGTCGCTCGCAGCCCGGCGCAGCTCCTTCTCACCACTCTGAAGCGCATATTACGTGCCTCATCAACACCCGTACTTGGTAATCTAATAGCGCTGCGCCCCGCACCTTGATCTTGTCCTGCACGGCGTCGGCCGCGCCGCCCCAGAGGTTCCGCAGCTTATCCATCCTCGAAAATGCACCTGCCGCTGGCGAGCTCGTTTTATGTGTGGCGCACACCCATTAAACAAAGAGTGATGGTCACCCGGTAAAGTACGGGTATCAGCTCGCGCCCTCCATTGCATTTCCCCTTTGCCCTCGGCCGCAGGATCCGTCCGTCGCCTGGCAGCAGCTTCTGCGTAGTTCAAGCTCCCCACTACCTCCCCCCTTTACCTTTGCACCATGTTCAGCGGCTTCGGCGGAGGTTCGAAGCGCAGCAGCGCCCCCGAGGCGGCCGAGCCGGCGCAGAACACGCTGTCGCAGCCCAAGGGCAACAACAACGGCGGCGGCGGTGGTGCCGGCGGCAACGGCTACTCGTTTGACCCGTCGGGTCTGGAGCGCGCCGCCAAGGCCGCTCGCGAGCTCGAGAACTCGCGTCATGCCAAGGAGGCCTTCAACCTCGCCAAGGAGACCGAGCGCACCAAGCAGATGGAGAACCAGGCCAAGATCAAGGAGAACGAGGCGCTCTACAAGCAGTACGAGATCGTGCGCGTGCAGAAGGAGGGCGAGGAGCGCCGCAAGACGCTCGAGGAGGAGACGCGCCAGCACCAGCAGCGCGCGCAGTACCAGGACCAGCTCAAGCGTAAGCAGTACGCCGACCAGCTGGCTGCCCAGAAGTACATGAAGGAGCAGGAGCTCAAGAAGCAGGAGGAGATCCTCGCTCGCCAGGAGGCTTCGCGCCGCAAGACGCTCGATTATGAGGCCGAGCTGCGTCAGAAGACGGAGCTAGCCAAGGTGGCCGCTGAGACCGAGGGCCGCATCAAGCAGGAGCGTCTCAACCACGACCTGCACCTTGAGGAGGCCCGCGTGCGTGCTAAGGAGTACCGCGAGACTGTCATGGAGGGCATCAAGCTGGCGGGTAACACTGTCGGCTCGGGTATTATGGCCTTCGTCGACGACAAGGAGAAGCTGACGGCTACCGTGGCCTCGCTTACGGCCCTGGCTGTCGGTATTTACACCGCCAAGGTCTCCACTAACGTTGCAGGCAAGTACATTGAGGCGCGCATGGGCAAGCCGTCGCTGGTGCGTGAGACGTCGCGCCGCTCGGCTACTCAGGTGCTGGCCAACCCGATCCCGTCGATCAAGCGTGCGCTTCGCCTGCAGAAGGCGACGGATGCCCTGGAGGGCGTTGTGCTCGAGCCCAAGCTGGACGAGCGTCTGCGCAGCGTGGCCGTGTCCACGTTCAACACGAAGAAGAACCGCGCGCCATTCCGCCACTTGCTGCTGCACGGCCCGCCTGGTACGGGTAAGACACTGTTCGCCAAGGCTCTGGCGCGTCACTCCGGCCTGGAGTACGCCATCCTCACGGGTGGTGATGTCGCCCCGCTGGGCCGCGAGGGTGTGACGGAGATCCACAAGCTATTTGACTGGGCGTCGCACAGCCGTCGCGGTCTGCTGCTGTTCGTCGATGAGGCCGACGCGTTCCTGCAGAAGCGTAGCAACACCGTCATGTCCGAGGACATGCGTAACGCGCTGAACGCCTTCCTGTACCGCACGGGTGAGGCCAGCGACAAGTTCATGATCGTGTTCGCCAGTAACCAGCCTGAGCAGTTCGACTGGGCCATCAACGATCGTATCGATGAGATGGTGGAGTTCCGTCTGCCGGGCTTCGACGAGCGTGTGCGCATGCTCAAGCAGTACTTCGACGACTACATTCGCGCGCCGAAGAACTCGCGTGCCAAGAAGATTTACGTCGAGGGCATCGAGGACTCGGACTTTGAAGACCTTGCCGCTCGTATCGAGGGCTTCTCTGGACGTGAGCTTTCCAAGCTCGTGATTGCCTTCCAGGCTGCGGCTTACGGTTCGCCGACGTCAGTGTTTGACAAGGAGATGATGACGAAGGTTCTCGAGCACCACCTTACGGCGCACACGCAGAAGGAGGCGTGGAAGGAGTACGTGGGCCCGAACGAGACGCGCGACCACGTCAAGACGATCGTGGCGGAGTAGGCGCTGAATATGGTGGGTCTGCGTTGCTGTGGGTTTGACCTAGAAGACCTCTTGCTGCGCGATCGACCGAGCGACAACCGTTAGCCGATGCACGTCGACTTGATAGACTAGACTGTTAGATTAGTTCCTGAGTTGTGGGCGCTACTCAGTTCCAGTTGCCAAGGCTGCTCTGCTGAGCTCCATCTGCGCATCCTGAAGCAGGCCGGGGCAAGAGCGAGAGAAGGAGGGGAGCCTCTGTATTTGAACATGGTATCGTACCGTTGATTCTTGTCTCTCGTCTTTTGGTCTTTGACTTCAGCACTTCAACCTCCAAAACCTGTCAAAAACGCTAAAACACTTTTTAGATCCGTGATCGTGATCATTTGCTCGATACAAACGAAAAGCACGAGGCGAGATGCTTGTCCGCGTGCGCTCCAAGAACGGCACGTGGCGCGTGGGGGACCTAACGCCGTCGTCCACTATCGCAGACATCAAGCGCTGGATCTTCGAGCAGCACTCGATCGCCCCGGCGCAGCAGCAGCTGGCGCTGGACCAGCAGGGCGCGCAAACAACCTCCGATACACAGACTCTGCGAGAGCTGCGCGTGGGCCATGGCGACATGCTGTTCCTGGACTACGACGGTGAGACGTTAGGCACGGGCGGCGTGGTCGGCACCAAGATCAATGCGGACGGCACGCTCACGCGCGTGGCGTACCACGACCGCGCCGACAAGCAGGCGTTCCGACCGGGCATGAAGTCTCTGCGGGACATGAAGATGTACTGGACGCTGGGCGAGTTCATGCGCATGGACGCCCAGTTCGAATTCAAGGTCAGCGCGCAGAAGGGGCCGCAGGTGGCCAAGGTGCATCTGGACGGCGCGAGCTGCAACGACTTCCAGGCGTATCTGCGCCAGTTCGCCTTCCAGCAGTCGCGCTGTGGCTGGCTCTACGGCTCTGTGGATGCGGAGACCAAGGAGGTGACGGTGGACTTTATCTACGAGCCGCCGCAGGAGGGCAACCCCTACGGCTTCGAAGTGCTGGACGACCCAAATGCCGACAAGGTGGACGCCGTGGCGGAGGCACTCGGCTACGAGAAGGTGGGCTGGGTGTTCTCGCACCCTCCACGCGAGGACGACGACTTTCACTTCTCAGCGCGCGAGGTGCTGCTGGCGGCGCAGCTGCAGGCCGACGCAGGCGGCAAGGGCTCGCTGTTCCTCACGCTGAAGGTGACGCTGGACAAGGAAGGCCAGGCTTCGTTCGAGGCCTTCCAGGTCAGCGACCAGTGCGTGGAGATGTTCGCGGCGGGCGCGCTAGCGGAGAACGAGCAGAACCCCCAGGCTTGCGCCGTGAGCGACACGTTCACGGCGCTCGTGGAGGCCAAGCCCGCGACCGAGGTCGACAACAACTTCTTCCTGTGCGTGGTACCGGTGGTACCGCATGAGTCGCCGCTGCGCAGCGAGTTCCCCAAGCTGAACCGCGAGGGGTCGTACCGCAGTCGCGCGGCGCTCAAGGCCCATCTACAGAAGTACCGCGACGAGCCGTACGCGAAGCGCATCAGCGACTTCCAGCTGCTGGTCTTCCTGTCAGACTTCCTGGACCTGCGGACGGACATCCCGGCCATCTGCCAGGCCGTGCGCGACCCGAACATCCCGCTGGACTCGGGCTACCCGATTCTGATCGACTCGGTCGCCGGCAGTCAGTGAGCCGAGCCGAGCGGCGGCGATGGATAGGCGAGCCGCAGTGAGGCAGCAGCGGGCACTAGCGAAATTGTAAGAGACTCCTAATCAAAACGGAAAGATGAGCGATCGTGTCACCGCAGGCAACAGACAGCACCAGCGTTTGCTTGAAGCAGTTGGCCGCGCATATAATTTGCCATCGCCCCGCTCCATACCGCTGGTGGGGTCCATGGGTTCGGAGACCGTCGAGGCGCGTCATTGTCAAGTTGTGTTCCGAATTTCTGCGCATTGGTGGAAAAGATGCGTGCAAATGCTGCGATTGGTTCGTGATTCGCCGCGGTGAATGGCAGCCAGCGGTGTGTTCTCATTCGGGCATTTGCCGTCGACGACGCACGCGACTGCTCTATCTTTCTTTGTTCTGCAACGCACCGCAATGGTGAACGCCAGCATCTTCGAGGTGGTCGTGATGTGCGCGGCGCTGGTGGCGGCCATGGCGGCCACGTGCGCGCGCTCGGAGCAGCGCAAGCGCCAGAAGTTCGCGCTGCAGCAGCCGCTCGTGACCACCAAGAGCGAGCTGGAGCTGGTCAAGGACATCGTGTACATCAACAACTCGACGCAGCCCGGCGGCAGCTTCCGGCTCGAGCGTTCCAGTCACCTGCTGAACGAGGAGGGCAACCAGATCCTCGTGGTGGGCGTGTGCGGCGGCTCCGGCTCGGGCAAGACCACGCTCTCGCGCGCCATCATGGCCGAGTTCGGCGCCGACCGCGTGTCGTACCTCTCGCACGACTACTACTACCGGGACTTGGCCCACCTCACCATGGAGCAGCGCGCCAAGCACAACTTCGACCACCCGGACTCGCTCGAGACGGACCTCATGGTCAAGCACCTCAAGCAGCTACGCGCCGGCAAGACCGTGGACGTGCCCGTGTACGACTTCAGCACGCACTCGCGCTGCCAGAACACGACCCCGATGAAGCCCAACAGTGTGATCCTCGTGGAGGGCATTCTGATCTTCGCCGACCAGGCCCTCGCCGACCTCATGGACATCAAGATCTTCGTTGAGACGGCCGCGGACATCCGCCTCGTGCGCCGCATGCACCGCGACATGGAGGAGCGCGGCCGCACGGCCGAGTCCGTCATGGACCAGTACATGAAGACGGTGCGCCCCATGCACATGATGTTTGTGGAGCAGTCGAAGCGCGTCGCGGACATCATTATCCCGCACGGCGTCAACTCGGTGGCTCTCGACATGATCATCTCCAAACTGCACAGCTTCACGGCGGCGGGACAAAGCGCAACAGGCAGCAGCAGGTCCGGCAGCGAGCGCTCCGACTCGATCGACGACGATAAGGAAGCGCCGAGCGCTTGAGCAGGACAGGGATGAGTTGAATAGGCAGGATTTTTAGCGGCAACAACCCGCGCTGCATGTGATCAATCACTTCAATTGTATCTGGGCGGGAGTGTGTGGAAGAAACGGTCCGCACCATCGTAGACGACAGCACAACGTGCGGCGATGAATGGAGGCCGGAGCGCTCGGCGAGGGAGCGTAGGCGATCGTTTCCTGCGCCTGTTGAAGTATCACATACGAGTATGGATGGACGACGAGGCTACTCGTCTACAGTGTACAAATACAAAGTGTTCTTTATCCATACTGCGTAGCGTCAACAACAAACACCGCTACACTTTGCCGATCAACATCCAGCTTCCAGGTAAAGCGTGCTGTCCACGCAGAAGGCTTCAACTTGAATGCAATGAAGACTCTGAAATCCATAACAAACCTGGTCAGAGTAGCACCACCAGACACTGACAAGCTACGCCAGAAAGGATGTAAATGAGGTCCGCGCTCGGCGTTCATTCCGGAGTTAAATGCTGAAGAACCACCGATGCGCGGGGCACTTTAGGTTCGGGGCTACCCATCACTCACAGCCTTGTTTGTTCGTCTACAGGCGACCGATCACGACCTCCAGCTCCTCGGCAGTGCAGACGTGGAAGCCCTTTTCGCGCGTAACAATAGCCAGCTCCACATTGATACTCGTAAGCTTCTCCTCCATGTGCTGCTTCAGCGCGCCAATAGCCAGTGTCTCGGCCTCCTGCAGCGTCAGTTCGTCCGTGTAGCCATCCTTGAGGTTGTTGAGCGCGCCTTCAGATCCAGAGCCGATAGCGTGGGCCTTTACGGGCCAGTACGTGCCCGAAGGCTCCGAGAAGAAAAGCTGCGGGCCGGCCTCATCCACGCCAGCGAGCAGCAGCGCCACGCCGAACGGGCGGCTCATCTTCTGCTTGTGGTTGTTCTCATCCGAGCCCTCGCCGAAGCTCAGCGCCAGGTCACAAATGGACTGCGTCAGCGCCTGCACGCGCACAGGCTCGTTGTAGGAGAACCAGTGGTTGGTGGCTTCCACGCGCGCGTGGTCGATCAGCGTCTGGGCGTCGGCGGTGATGCCGCTCATGGCAGCGCCCACGTGACGGTCCACCTCCATGATCTTCTCGATGCTGTCCCGATAGCAGCGGCACGATGCACATGAATCAATTAGCACCTGAACCATAGCCCTTTGCTGCTGCAGAAGTGTAGCTCAATCCTTAAGTTTTGCTCGGATCTTCGTCGAGCAACATACCTGCCAGGCTCCAGCAGCGGCGACGTCAGACGCTTCTCCACGGCGAGCACGACGCCCTCCTTTGTGCGGATGCCGATGGCTGTGGTGCCCATCTGTAGAGTTTGCAATAGTAGGACGCAATACTAGTTAATAAATCTCCAAGATCCCTTCAGTCCCAAGTCCGACGGACGCACCTTGATGGCTTCGATGGCGTACTCGACCTGGAAGAGTCGCCCCTCGGGCGAGAATGTGTTCACGCCACGGTCATACTCAGTGCTGCAGTGGGGCAGGAAGCAATTGAGGTTAGTGGAAACACGCTATGGCGCTGCACGGAGTCAGCTGCGGCCCACGCACTTGGTTTGGAACATATTGCTGGCCTCGCTCTCGTCTCGGGCTTTCGATCTGCCTTCTCCCCCCGCTTTGGATATCTTACACCTGGGACACAATAAGACGCGATGTGCACGGTACTGCGTCAGACTCGAATTAGTGACATAGTGACATGTGAAAGTTGCCGTTGAAGTCGAAAAACGCTCATGAGTTGCGATGCATCAAAATACGCATCTTGGCATGTTGAAGTGCTCCATCTACTCGAAGACGTCACTACGCACGTCACTCAATGCGCGTGCAATATTAGCGGGTAGGCAAGCTGAAACTGTGGCAGCTCACCCATCGAAATGGAGAGGGCGTCTTCAGCAGGCTTCGCTGGTCCTTGGCACCAACAAGAACCGAAAGTTCTTGAAGGATAACTTGAAAAGCAGGCCACCTTGTAGAAGAATGATGGTATGTGCCAGTCCCAGCAACGCCGCCACGGCTGAGTTCGTGCTTGGTTGCAATGACCATCACTCATAACCAAGGTTGGTAGTGGCATGCTTCACGTTGTGCTTTAATAAGGTGGCAAAAATTGAGTCCCAGTGTTATCTTTGGTCGATACATAAGACGAGCATGGGTTACCTGCCCCCTTACCCCAACGTTACGCTAGCATGCCTAGCGTGCCTCTCCTTCGTCCAATGCTCGCCCTAGAGCAATCGTTTGCATCCGTGTCAAATATATCATGAGCCACTTTCGATTTTGCACGCCAGCACACAGACCAAGATGGAGATCCAAGCTGGCATTCAACCGTTTGGCAATCAACACCGCAAGATCAACGTTGCAAAGAAGATCGAGGCACGGTTTCCGCGGAAATCATCCATGTCATCTCCAACACGTGCAAGGATGAAGCAATTCGTTATCAAAGCCAAAAACCGGTCCCCGCAACGAATGGTGTCGACGGCTTCGTCAGCAGAGACAGTGGCAAGCCAAGAAGATTATGGTGACAGCGACGACACCGATTCTGAGGCTGAAGACGTGAAAGACGACGAAGAGGGCCCCGACGCACAAGCAATAGTTCAGTGCTTGGAAATACCCGCCACCATCGCTGCTCCAAGCAACAATGAGGCAAAGCAAAACAGTGCCGAAGGTTGCCTCCACTACGAGATTCTTCTGTGGTATGGCTGTAGTCTCGGCGGCATCGAGTTCGCGTCCTGTGGAGGTGCTGATCACCTGTACGTGAAAGCGACTGACGGGAACGAGTCACTTCCTGGCATGTGGAACATCCAAGAGGGTGACTTGTTGATCTCAATCAACGAATGCAGCACGCACAGCTCAACGATAGACTTCGATTCTGTGATGCAAATAGTTGCTAGCGGTGCTCGTCCAGCTGTCCTTCGCTTCAGGAGACCGACGTTACAAGAGCTGCAGCAGATCCCGAAGCAAAAGCGCAAACCAACGAATGAAGAGAGACTAGGTCGCCGCCGAAATCGTGAGCGGCTCGAGAAGACGTTGAGTTATGTGATCTGGCGGGAGGGCGACGGACCGCTCGGCGTATCGTTGAAGAAACAGCCAGGGTCGTTGTACCCTGTTGTAGCCGACATGAACCGTAGCAGCGTTGTCAGACGCCATGCGAACATGGGAGACCAGTTGATTTCGATCAATCAGCACGATATCTACCAGCTGGGCAGCAAGCACTGGGTGCAGTTGCTCAAGTCCGCCCCGAAGCCTCTTGTACTAACATTTCGGCGTTTGGGACCTCCAAACCAAAAGGGGGCTCGGACGCTGGATCTATAATCTATTGGTGCAAGAATTCAAATGGCCGAAATTAATCGTGCCCGTCGTGACTTGTGTTTTGTATTGATCAAGTGGAAGTTCGTTGAATATGGAGTTTTTACGTCTCTTATATACACTCCGCTTTACTTTTTACATTAATTCTGCGAATGGGTTAGGGTCACAAGTTAGAATCGCTCACACGGGGACCAAAAAATGAAAAAACTACCTCGGTTAAACAACATTTGGATGCTTATCGAAAGGTGGTATCGGCACGGATTCATCTGAGCTGAACCGACGTCACTATCTTTAGATGCCATAAAACCATAGGGAAGTTATGAAACAGCAAATTCGACCGTTAGTATGGAGGACATCAGAAAGAGACTTAAACGTGACATTTTACCCTTATTTGGACCCGCTTAGGACCCTTTATTAAGCCTATTTGCCTTTCAAACCTTATGCTGTCGTAAGAAGGGTCGCTCTGCGGCCGTTGGTAAGAAGTCTGCGGCCCTTCGGGATCGCTTGACCAGCGCACAACAGAGAGTCCAAGCATCAACAAGCAGAGCCTCAAGGAAGCGCCAACGCTACGCCAAGTAGCAAGCAGCTTTGCATGCTGAGGACCGGGTACTGTCGAGCAGCAACTTCTTTATTGCATTGAAGGCTATGCGCGGATGACGAGCTGGACGATGAGCTGGGGTGTACGAGCCGGAGTCCGTGTCGGTGCTTCTTGGTAGCAACAATGGCTCTCTTTTGGCCCGTTCGAGCTCGCCTGCTACTTCGCTTTAAAGAAATCAGACAGCTCCAAGTCCTTCCTGCACGCTAAAGGCGCCGATTATTTGCTCTTTTCTAGTCTGCGTTAATTCATTCATTGCGTTGCTCATGAAAAGATGTACGACTAAACAAATGCATTAGCCCACTCAATTACAGTTCTGTTGGGTCGATCTCGGGCGTCACAGCTCTGCTTTGATAACCCTACATGCATGTGTGATGGTACGATATCGGGCTCAACTACATTATTTTGAGCTAGTTATCGCTCATTATAATATAATATATTATATGACATGCACGGCTGTTCAAAGCTGTTAGTCTGCACGCGTAGGTAGATAACCTCATGCACGTTGAGCGCAATAAGGAAACATATATTATATGTTTCATATATTATATATTATATGTTTCAGTTTCATATATTATATATTATATGTTTCAGTATATGTTTCATATATTATATATTATATGTTTCATATATTATATGTTTCCTTATTGCGCTCAACGTGCATGAGGTTATCTACCTACGCGTGCAGACTAACAGCTTTGAACAGCCGTGCATGTCATAGTCGCGGCAGCAACATTGGCCATTGCGGCTGGGTGTAGATGACATCTGGAGGAAGAATTTCAACATGGATCGCGAAAGGTTACTGGAATAATTCGCTCGTATTTTCACTCTGAACATGAATACACCACGAAATTGAAACATCGAAAGGTAACCCCTTATTCACTTTTCGTTGTGCCAGTGTGCACATTCTGCTATTACACTTACCTAAGTAAGTAAAATACAAGTGTTCTGGCATTCGAACCACAGGTCAGGTGTATCAGTCTACCGTTAATAACAGCGTATGAATGGTACTTATGTTGTTTGCAAAATAGCCAGCAAATCGGGGAGCGTGAAAGGGGAAATAAAGCGCTAGAATTTGCAAGCGACTCAAATTCCTCAAGTGGGGACGTCGTCCAAAACTCTGTGGTCAGCATAGTTTTGGGGGTCGACCCCTAAAGCAACATGAGCGTAGCGACCGTGATGCTCCGCTAGTTTATCTTTAACTCGTGCGGGTGTGGTGTTGATGGACTTTAAGTTTTCACGCTCAAACACCGGTAGCTGCAGTCGAATTAGTTGATTACGTTTAGACAGCTCAATATAGGGCGGGAGAACACCGGTATAGGATTTCTTTGCTCGCGGTTTCTGAAGATTCGCTCTGCAGTACCGCCCCTGTTTGCTGAGTTGACTGAAACTTATTGTCGTTCCGGCAAAACCCGTTCTGCAGCGGCCTAGCTGTCTAGTAACTCGACAGTCATCATCGAAGGATGCGGATCCGATAATTTTACTCAAGTAGATCCAACCATAACGATGGGTGTCCGACGAGGCCCCCGCTGTGTGATCAACCCAAGTCATCCCTCCATTCTTACTAACGCCGCTTCGCACTGAAGAAGATCGCATGCCGCACGCAAGAGCACTCAGCAAGCAGCGAAACGGAGAGGGTACGTCCGCAGCAATTCCGTTGGTGAACGCGATGCCGCAATGCTCCTCATCGAAATGGGTCACCAAACGATGGCGTGCGTGTGAGTGAATAAATGCCTACCGAAACTAAAAATACAATAAGCAAGCAATCCACTTGTGGCAGCAACTGGGCAACTTCCTTTGCTACCAGCGTGCTCGCTTTTGCTGCTTCCTTGTTGGTGTTGCCGCTATTTTGGCTAATGAACCCACCAGGAAGTGCAGGAATCAAAGATAATTTGGACGTTCAAAGATAAGACGGCTAAATTTGCTCCAACATTTGCCGGTGTAGGGTAAGTTGCCACTAAAACTGGAGGCCTAGGGCTGGCAAAAAAAATAGCGGCAGGCGTGCATGGCATCCATCGTTCAGCAGCAGACCGCAGACACACGCAAGATACTCGGTCTCTGAAGCAACTCGGGGTCTTGTCGATCAAATTTATTAGTCTGGCAGCATGCCGAGACCTTTGGAACGCAGTGGGTCTCACGTGACCTCTTCAATTGCTTCAAGCACTACGGACTGCATCATCCCAAATTGCATTTGGCAGTTACCCGCGCCAAAAAAAGTTTGGCCGTTGCCTGAAAATCTATCGTGGCTCCGATCTGCGGCACCGCGTTGCCTCGCGTTGCCTTGCCCTGCCCTGCCATCTGCAGTGGCAGTCTCCTATCCACAGCTGCAGCAACAGCAGTCTTCCATTGCCGGTTGCCCCGAGCCCTCACGTCTTTCACTTTGTCTCACCAAGTGCCAGTGCAACCCGTTGTGGACTACCCGTTGTGGACTCCTGTTGTGGGCTACCGACTCGGTAGTACCGAGTCAGCAACTCGCCCGTCATAGCGCAAGTGGCCATCAAGCGCCCCAGCACCTCACGTACCTGTCGCTGCAAGTTATATTGACCCCAATGGGCGTCGACGCTCTGCAACTGTGCGACTTGGAGACCTTCACGACGAAGAACCATGCGACGAATGTGGTCGATTTGGAACGCCAACCTCAGGACTGCGGCAGCCCCATCAAGGCCGTGGCGCCGGCGCCTCCGTCGTTCAACAAGTGGCTGGCGGAGGCGCTCGTGAGAGAGGAAGCGGCCAGCAAGATCCAGCTTTTCCTACGGTACCGTCTCAAGCTGCGCGCGTCGGCCAACGCTTCAATGCAGCGCACCGCATCGACGGCGTCGTCCCTGGACTCGCTGGGCATGCCGGAGGAACTGGACGAGGACCACTTGCAGTACGAGATCCTGCTCTGGTACGGCTCCAGTCTGGGCTCGGTGGGCTTCGTCTCGTGCGATATCACGGAGTATCCGTGTGTTGAAGTGGCCGAGGGCAACGACTCGTTGCCTGGGATGTGGAATCTCCGCGAGGGCGACTATCTCATCTCGATCAACGAACGCAGCACCAAACGCGCGGCTGCTCCGTTCGACGCAGTCATGCAGATCCTGGACAGCGGCGTGCGGCCGGCCGTGCTGCGATTCCGCAGACCTGCGTCCCACGAGCTGCAAAGTCTCACGAAAAGGCCTCGGCGGATGTCGCTGACAGCGCGGACAGACCGGCAGAAGAGTCGAGAGCGGCTAGAGCGGTCTCTGAGCTACGTTATTTGGCGAGAAGAGGACGGCCCGCTCGGGATCAGCCTGAAGCCTGAGAAGGGCAAGTCGTACCCCGTGGTCATGGCCATGAACAAGTCGGGCGTGGCAGGGCGTGGTGGAAAGCACAACAAGGTGAGCGTTGGCGACCAGTTGTTGACTATCAACCACTTCGACGTCTTCAGACTGGGCTTTAAGAAAATGTGCCAGGTCATGCAGTTCGCCCCCAAGCCGCTTGTGCTCACGTTCCGACGCACGTCTCCGGAGCCGATGGAGCCTCGCAGTCTTGATCTGTGAGCGAACCTCGTTGCCTTTGAGCGCTTCCTGAGAGGGCTCCGCTCGACCGATCTCTCGAGCTTTTTTTGCTTTTTGTTGTGGTACCTCGACCGGTGGACTGGATGGCAGTCCTTCGTTGTCACGTGTCGGCGATGAATGCATTATTTATCACTTTAATCGCTGACGGAATAATTAATGGCTCAATGGCCTTAGTTACTAGCTCTACTTGTTGCTGTGCGGACAGTTCCCTCACTCCCCGAAACATATAATCACGGCTGTCATGTTGTCCATGGAGCCTTGGGCCTTCGCTTCGTCTAACAGCATTTTGCCAATGGTGATCGACTTCTCGCCCTCCGCAAGGCGCTTGGCGACGAATTCCGTCAACTCCTCGTCGGTGAAGACATCGGTGACGCCGTCACTCACTAATACAAGGAAGGCGTCGTCCGATGCGATCTCCAACGACGCGATGTGAGGTGCACTGGTGATGAACTTCTTCTCGTCCGCCTGACCCAGAGCGCGCGTAACAGATATGGATCCAGCCACGCGCTTGTTGACAATGATGCCGTTCAGCGCGCGAATTCGCTTGATCTCGTCCTCATTTGTGGCCTTGTGGTCGACAGATAGCCTCGAGGTCTGGCCGTCGCAGCAGAAAATTGCACGAGAGTCGCCAACGTTGGCGATGTGGAAAGTCGTACGGCCGTTGTACTTGCGGATGAGGCAGGTGACAGCCGTGGAACCGCTCTCGGATGACTCGTCAAAGTCCTCGAGCTCCTTGTCCAGCGACGAGAAGGCCTCGGCGTAGCAGCTCTCGATCTCGGCGTTGCTCAGCACGTCGGGCTCCACATCCGAGCAGTTGTCCATGCTGCTGGTGGACGTGACGTTGCTGCGGTTGCTGCTGCTCTCGGCCTCGGAGGAGCGCCCCCTTTTCTCACTGTACTTGGACTGCATGAGCTCTGCGAGTTTCTGGTGGAAGTACTTGGCCGCGTACTTGGCGCAGAAGTCGCCTCCGTGGCCGTCGTACACGCCGAAGAAGGAGCTCACGGCCGGGTCGTCCGGGAACGCTCTGTACTTGGGGATGGCGACGCACTCGTCCTCCATGTGCTTTCTAAACTGGCTGTTCTGCGTGGACACCGCGGCGTAGTCCCGCACCACGGGGCTGGGCAGATACTGGTCGGTCGGTTTTCGGCTCGGGCTGGCAGCGTTGGTGCGCGGGCTGAGCCTCCGCCTCCGGTCCTGCGTGGCGGGCGACACCGCGGGTTCCGGCTGGCTGCGGCTCTGCTCCGATCTACGCAGACGGAAGCAGGGCGGCGATCGCGCCTCGGACGAGGAGCTGGTGACCTTGCTGCGGCGGTCGCCCATGCCGAGCTTGCGGCGCGGTCTAGCGGCGGACGAAGATGGCGCGCGGCTGTGGTCGCGCGAGCACGAGATTCCCATGTCGGCAGCGCCGCGAGGGAAGGCGCGGCCTGCAACGAACAGCAGGTTGAAAACCGTGGTGGCGGCGCGGACAGCACGCGCTTCGGCGACAGTGCCCAAGCGATAATGCCGATGCCGCCTGCGGCCGTCCACAAAAACGTCTACTGGAAATAATAGGGCTAGGGGGGGCTCGGCAAAGTTGATTTATTTGCCTTGAAAAAGGCCCGCCGAGTCAAGGTCTGGCTCCAGCAGGTGGCTTCGCCGCGAGCCGAGCTGGTACCAATGCGCTTCCAGGCAGCTCGGTTCTGGTGGGGCAAGCGAGGAATCGAGTGAGCGCTTGAAGCGCTTCGAGCTCGCGCTGTTCGGTGCGGTGGATGCAAATCGCGGCGCTTCCTGTTTGCTGTGATGACGGCAAGCCGCACCTCTGCTCTGCCCGATAAATCAATACTGTAAGCGCTGCTTGGAGCGGCAACATTGCCGCAGGTTGCAGTGCAACTTGCAAGTCGCCATGAACGCCGCGCGTGTTGCCGCAGAGCGTGGCTGCATGGAGGCGAGCGTTCGTCGTGCGAGTTAAAGGATGCGTGTGCGTCATGCAGGTGATGCAAGCGCACTCCGTTTAACATGCTCGGCCGCACGGGGTCGAAGATACATGACCAGCCCGAATCCTAGTCGTCAACGAGCTCTCGCATAGAGCACGCTGGCAGAAACACTGCTGGAAGTGCAGTGCAGGCTGCAGCGCGCGCACATACACTTGGGGGGTGACTTACGTCTACCGGCGCGGTACCACTGCGGATACGCCTCGTTGCTGTCGAGCACATCGCCTTCAGAACGCAAAGCTCTGAAGAAATCGTCCCTCGCGACCTCTGCCGTGTCGGTGAGAGCACGGCGAGAAGCGTCTGGCCATGGTCGGCGCTGCCGCCACCTTGATCGGCGCGTCGGCCGGTGTCGGCTACGCCACGATGCGGTCCACGCAGACGAGCGCGGTCGCGATGCCTGCCGAGCAGCAAATGGCCGCGGCTCTCGAGGTGCCGGACTTTGTCCAGTCCATGGGCGACCCGTACTACCCGAGCTTCGACGAGCTGGACAAGGACGGAGACGGCATCTGTCCTACACCGAGTACATGAGAGACCTGAACCAGGTCTGGGCCGACGACAGGGAGAAGATCGCCAACTCGGCCCTGCCCGAAGTCGTCAAGGAGGACCTCAACAGCCAGCTGGACGACAAGATCGAGAGCGACACGGCCTGCGTCAAGAAGGCCATGATCACGGTGCGTTAACAGTAAAGTGTAGATACTGTTGCAGGTGGTAGAATGACACTAACTGTGTGTGTTTCTGGTTGTGGCCCCCTCCCTCCCTGTAGAGCAAGAAGAGGCAGCTGACGTTCGACCGCACTACCATCGACTCGCTGTACTACATGCTGGAGGTCTTCTGCTTCGACACGCCGATCGAGGTGCCTCAGAAGTACATCGAGATGTTCCCGGACACCCAAAGGCCCCAGCCTGGCAGAGCCAAAGCCTTGTCGAAGTTCGACTCGAACTGCTGTGCACGGCCCTCGCGATGGTGACCTGTCTGTCAACTTGATTTGTGTCTTCCTCTGCGACAGCAACCACAGCAACCACAGCAAGAGACCTTGCCCGTGGAAAGCCGAGTTGCATGGTGTTCTAGCCTGAAGAAGCAGCGCGAGCAAGATTGGCGTCGTCTCGAGCCCAGAAGCTCTACATGTGTAGCAGGTTGCATCAACACATACATGTATCAGCGGTTACAGTATTGGCACACTACAACCAGAGCACGACCGCCACACTGCACGGCGCTGGTTCTTCTTGCCGAGGCAGATGGATAATGAACGCGCTGCATAGGACACGAGCAGATCCGGTGGGCGGACATGCTGCTTGGACCGCTCGAGCAGACGACTCGTTGTTATCTCAAGCTTCAAGCTTCAAGCTCGGCTTTCGGCCTGGCGCTGCGAGTGCTGCGTGTTAACACGCGGCAGCACCTGTGTATACGATGACAGGAAACAGCGCGGCAACCCCACGCTCACGAGCTTTTTGAAGATTTAAAAAAGCTGCATACCATAGGTATGTACAGAACTTATAAGAAGAGTCAGTGAAGGAGCTGGAGCAACAGGAGCTCTCGCTTGTTGCTAGTTGTTGTGATTCTGTTAACAAACGCGAGTCACACCGAATTAGGGATGGTCCATCCCGGATGGCGAGTGCTCTCACGGCGGCAACGCTGTTGCTCTTCATTTATACGGACCACAAAGCAGCAGGATAAGCGAGAGTGTTCCTCGCCAGAGACCATGTACAGCAGTCATGCCAAGCCGAATAACGAGGAATTTGTGTTGCACGCATATTGGCTGATACATTCAATTGTTTTCTACATGTAGACTTTCGGAGATTTCAGGCTTTTGTCGCGCCTTGGAGCACTCCGTTGCCCCTCTTACGCGAGCAGAAGAGCGGACAGGATCGTGGAGGCAGTCAACATCACCGCTACCCCGAAGTTGCGCCCCGAAGCCGCGTTGGATGTTTTGTCAGCGGCACTGTCGGAGCTGGCCGACTTGCTCGCCTTTTTGTCATCATCACCGACGGATCCATCGAAGAACATGACACTGCCGGAACCAGAGTAACTTGGTGCAAGGTTGTCGGGCAGCAGCACCATGATCGTCGTCGGAGCTTCCGTTTCAGCCGTCGAGGTGGAAGCAGATGCCGAGTTGCCGGCTGCAGAAGCTGAGCCTGTAGGCTCCGCGCCAGACAACTCGCCCCAAGAAGCTGAGCCCGCAGACTCTGGTTCCGACAGCTCGGAGGTGATTTGGATGCGCCGGAGCGCGTTCAGCGGCTGGATGGCGTCTCTCGCAGGTACCTCGACGGCAGCCTCGGCTTGATAGTCTGAGCCAATGGCACAGGCCGATTCAAGCACGGCAGCGATGAAAAGCGCGAAGATAAACTGGCTCGGCTTCATGTTGGTAGATCGTAGGAGTGTTGAGGTTCTGCGCAGTCGAGAGGAATTCGAATTGTGGGATGTGTGTGTCTGAGCTGCCATGTTCCTTGGTCACATAGCAGCACTTGGCCGGTAGTCTTGCAATCCATACATCGATTGATGGCCCGATGGATCAATGATGGCGCTGAAATGGTGGTGGTGGTGGGGGGGGGGGCACACACTGATGATGGTGCTGAGCAGTATACTGAGCAGTATGCTCAGCACCATCATCATCTAACCGAAGGTGTTATTCCCCACAGCACAAAGAGCACTTAGTTTCCACGTCCCTGCCCTTCCAGCAGACAGAGCTGGCAATTTGGGTTTAAAAGGGGTTAACCATTAGGTTTTCCCCGGGTTTAAACTCAAAAACCTACCAGTCGAATTTTGCTGGGTTTTAGGTTCAACTTCATCATAGTTACTACTTACTGCGACTTTCCTCGTTGCTTCTGCACAGGATGCTGGTATATTACATGGATATATTGCGGCGTGGCGTGTTTTAGCTGAGTTTGGCTTTTTACGATCGACGTGGGGTTGTAACCATTCCCACACAGGGCCAGTATGCCCTGTGTGGGAGAACGCCAGAGGCCCCTGACTTATGATTGAATGACGCTGCTACTGTGTTATCAGTCAAATGAAGCTTTAACCAGCAACGAAGAACGGGGCTAAAGAGATGCATCCGCACCTGTGTCTCAATCTGGATGAAGAGGATTATGGGGGAAAATTGGTGATTTTCAAGTGAAATCTGTCAGCCATGAACACAATCAGCAATAATTGCATTCCGTGTGTGCATCCATTGCATTTGGCAAAGGCATTCATGAGTTGTGCGTGCGCCTCGATGCGTCAACGAGCACCTTTATCGAGTCTTGCAAAGTCGACGCTAGTGCATTAGCAGCGATGCATATGGGTTCGTCGTACATAATAGAAGTGACGATGACGACTAGCCAAGGCGAACCCGTGCATGCGTATCGGACCAAAAGAAACGGATGCTGCATCAGTGATGCACATCGGAACGAACAACAACATATTAAGTAGTAAGGTAAGCACCTTATATATGCGTTGGGGTGAAGAGGGTGATACATCAGACTGAGTATGACAGTGGACGTTTAAACCCAGTAAAATCAGTTTAAACCTATCCAAAACCCAGAACCTAATTCATTTTTTGAAAATCAACAGGTTTTTCCAGCTCTGATACGCTCGAGCTATGGGTCGCATGTTCATACGCCTATCGTCATTTTGTGGTACGTTTACACGCCTTCAGCACAAGTTTTCGCTTCGGTTTCCTGTATACGTGTACTGTCACACAGATTACGGGATCTGCATTTACCGACTACATTCATACGTATAGTGTCATTTCCCATTCGCTTACGCAAGCCAAAGGGAGCTAGCTTCTTGAAGGGCGGAGGTCACCATTCCCATCGTCACGCGCTGCTGGAGCTAGCTACCGAGATGGACGTGCTGGGCAAGATCGTACAGGGCACGGGCTGCGCCGTGGACGGCACCGTGGCGGCGCAGAACCCGCTTTCGCGCGCCCTTGACAGCGTGGTGCAGTCGCAAGCGCGCGGCCGCCAGGCCCGCGGCCCCATGCCGCCGTACGGCGGGCGCAGCGAGCTGCAGATGCAGATGCAGCGCCCCAACGTGGCCCAAGGCGCCGACCCCCAGTTCCTGGCGGCGTTCGAGCAGGAGGCGGCCAGCCGCTCGCGCATGGAGGCGGCCTTCCGCGCAGGCGAGGCGCAGCAGCAGATGATGCACGCACACCAGGCCTCCATGGAGGCGGCCTTCGGGGAGGCCCAGCGCGCGCAGTTTCAGCACATGCAGGGCCCACCGCCGCCGCCCATGATGGGGCCGCAGATGATGCACCCGCGCGCCATGCAGCACGACGCGTGGGTCGAAGACTTCCGCTCCAACCACCTGGACGACGCCTGGCAGACCGCGGGCAAGTCGCATCATGAGGTGGCGTGGGAGGAGGCCAAGGCCCCCGTGCCCATGATGCACCACCAGCCGATGATGCATGCTGCGCCAGCGGTTGCGCAGCAAGTGGATGCCCCGCTCGAGCAAGTGGCGCAAGAAGCCGCTAAGAACCTGGAGGTGCAGCAAGCTTCGAGCGAGATGGCACGCACCATGAGCCAGAACCCGGACCCCAAGTTCCAGAACAGTCAGTTCCTCAAGTTCATGAACCAGGTCAGCTCTGGCGAGGTGCAAATCGACGAAGAGAAGAACGAAGTTGTCGGTGGTGAGCTGAAGATGGAGGGCGCGCTGGAGGGAGCGTGGGAAGACACGTCCGATATGCACTCAAACCGGGACCTCTTTGACTCAAGCTGGAAGCAAAGTGGCAACGCGTCGGCCGCTGCAATGGAGAGTGTGTTCGCAGAGTCGGCGGCAGCCCATGCGCATCCGCTAGAAGGAGCGTGGAACGAGGCAGGCACAGCGAATGCGACGGGCTTGGACCAGGCGTGGGGCGACTCGAAGACTGCGGAAGAGAAAGCGATGGATAGCGCGTGGGGAGACAGCGACAACTTGGTAAGTGAGCCAGTGATGCACACCATCGTAGATGTCTTTCTGACGGCGCTGGGATGCTCGTACAGGAGGCGATCTGGGAAAAAGCAATGGCCGACGCGCAGACCACTGATCCGTTTGAGGATGCGTGGGATAACGCGACTAACCAGGACTACGCCTACAAGGCTGACAACCCGTTCATGGACGCGTCCGAGAATTTCCAGAGGGGTGTCGAGTTTTTCAAGTCGGGACACCTGGATGACGCAATCCTCGCCTTTGAAGCGGAGGTACAGCAACACGCTGATAACAGTGAGGCGTGGCGGATGCTCGGTGAGTGCCACGCTGAGAACGATGAGGACAAGAGCGCCATCATCTGCTTGGAGCGCGCGGTGGAGGAGGATCCGTACAACTTGAGTGCATTGCTGGCACTTGGAGTCAGCAACGTGAACGAGCTTAACCCACAGGGTGCGCTGAAAACGCTGAAGGCCTGGGTGCAACACAACCCGAAATTCCACGGACTGGAAATCCAGGTGGACGAATACAGCGATGGATCGCTGATGGACGAGGTGATGCAACTCATGCTGCAGGCGCGTGCACACGACCCCAGCGACTCCGACGTACAGGTTGTTCTTGGTGTCCTGTACAACGTGTCGAAAGACTATGACGCAGCAGTTGAGTGCTTCAAGGTTGCGACTGACTCGCGCCCGGACGAGTATGCCTTGTGGAACAAGATTGGAGCAACGTTGGCAAACTCGGCGAGGTCTTCCGAGGCAATTCCTGCGTATCATCGGTAAGCTGCGTGTATCTCGACTGGAAGACGCTATCACTAGACTCACCAAAAAATTCGTATATGTGCTGTAGCGCGTTGGAGTTGAAGCCGCGATATGCTCGTGGGTGGCTGAATTTGGGCATCAGTCACGCCAACCTGGGGAATTACGAGGAGGCCACGAAGTGCTACCTACAGGCGCTGAGCTTGAACAACCGCGCAGACCACATCTGGAGCTATTTACGCATTTGCTTCACGTGCATGGAACGGTTCGACCTCGTGAAGGTTGCGGACACGAGAGACATTGCCCACTTCCGCGAAGAATTCAAGCTCATCGATCTATAACCCGCCCTCCCATTCCCGTCGTGTGTGACGTTCAGCTGGTGCGATGAATGTATTTTACTGGGCTTCAGTAGAGGAACGTTTTTTTCAGAAATGCAAATCTTTGAACCGTCCGCGCCTGTTCATCGGCTCAAAGTCTCTTGTATCTCTCACTTTAGATCCTGCTCGCTGCTGATTGTTTCGCTGGCGGAAGATGCCCACGACAAGCGTGATGTCGTCGTTTGACCGGCTTCGAGAGCTGGAGAAAAAGCGATTCTATGAGGAGCGCAAGGGCCAGGTGCCGGTCATGGATGCCGAGACGCTGCGTGAGCTGTGTCTGAACAACGACGGCTACGAAACGCCAGAGCTCAACGACAGCTTGTACGCTCACTTCCGCGGGTTCCAGCGCATCGAGGGTTTGGAAGCGTACTACAACCTAAAAGCTCTGTGGCTCGAGTCGAATGGCCTCTCCAAGATCGAGAACCTGGAGCCTCTTGTCAACCTGCGGTGTCTCTATCTGAGCAAAAACCTCATCGAAAAGGTCGAGAATCTACACACCCTGCGCGAACTCAATACGCTGGACCTGAGCGAGAACCGCATCCAGTCGTTGGAGGGGCTGGCCCAACTGCCCAACTTGCTGTCGCTCAATGCGTCTCGCAACCGCCTCACGAGTAGCGCTGACTTGCAAGAGCTCGCGAAGTGCCCGCTTCTCAACAACATTGACATCAGCCACAACCAAATCGACGACCCGGAGACTTTGAGCGTACTGAAGGCTGTCCCAATGCTGAAGGCTTTGCGAATCACCGGCAACCCCGTGGTCTCCAGCACGCGATCGTTCCGCAAGACGTACATTGCAGCGCTCCCCCAGCTGTCGTTCCTAGACCGACCCATTTTCCCGATCGAGCGCGCCTCGGTGACAGCGTGGCAATCTGGCGGACTCGAGGCTGAGCGTGAGGCCAAGCGTGCGTTTGTGAACCAGGAGAACGAAGAGCGTCGGCGCAGCTTGCAAGAGTTTCGGGACTGGCAAACGCAGGTTCGAGAGCGGAGGATCAAGGAGCTGGAGCTGGAGCGGGCCCAGAAGCTGCTTGAAGCCACCCCCGAGGCAGAGCCAGAAGAAGTCGATGTGGACTTGCGGGGCTTTCGAGCCATCACCAAGGCGGAGTACGCTGCGATGGACGCCTCCGAGCGTGCAAAGTGGGACGCGCGCATTGAAGAGGCCCACGCAGCTTCCCAGCAAGCCAAGTACGAGGTGCTGGGCGATGGTGTTGCGCGGATGGGGTCAACGTTTTGGGCGTCCACGGTGCCACGGCCTGCCGAGTCAACGGACGATGTCGCTGGCACTCCACCACCGCTGCAGTCCCGAGAGGAAGAAGGGTATGTACACCGTGAAGGTGAAGGTGAGGAGGAGACGCAGTCAAGCGGCGAAAGCGAGCTTCCCGTTGAAGTCGCCGAGAAACCAGCTGCTGCCCAAGTTGAAGTTGACTTGCCCGTGCAGACCATCTCGCTGGTCGACACAAGCGCTGTAGACGTAGACGTACACGCCGGCGAGACCGCGAGCGGAAATGACAACGAGGAGACGACTGCGCGCGCCGAGGAAGGGATCAAGGAGCAGTCCCTTGTCGTCGAACACCGTAGCGGCAACGACGCCGCGGCTCTGTCTGCCGTGTCGTCGACACAACCGGATCTTCCGGCCCCCGCGCCAGTCGCAGCGCTTTGGCAGGTCGGTCGCAGCCGAGTTGACGTGGAGCCGCGCGAGACCTGGGCTCAACTGCAGCAGCGCGCCAGTGCCGCGCCCTGCCGCCTGCGCCCGCAGTCACTGCCATCGGCCTTTGAGGTGCGTAGTATTCGTACGGGATGCCACTGCCGGTTCAGTAGCGGCTCATTTGCAGCCACCGCGGGCCCGATCGATATACACCGACTGTACTGACTTGTTGCGCATTGTGCTGTTGTTGTGTGCGGGGGCGCGAAGCCGGACGAGGACGACGAGCGAGCCGAGGAACACACGGCGGATGGGGCTACGGCGGACGAGGACAGCGGCGCCGGCGAGTCCCCCGTGCGCGTTCTGAGCCGCGCGGACATTCTGCGCGAGCTGCATGGCGCGAGGCAGCAGCCCCGCCAAGATGACCAGCAGTCTGTGCCGTTGCCGCCGCCGGCCCCGACCAAGCTCTATAAGGTTACTGATGTCAGCGCGCTAGACTGATGGCTAATGAACTCAAAACAAGGTCCACTTGTCGCGCATCCGGCGCCTCTGATTGGCCCTTCCAAGGGTGCTTTGTGCTTTTTTGTTCACCCACGTTTCGTACGTACGCCAGTTGGCGCCGGCCTTTCGCCGAACCACTCTCACTCTTGCGACTCACGCGCTCAAGCAAGGCAGACCCGAAGATCCGCATACACCTCGCTCGCTCTCTCCTCTCTCCGACTGGGTCTCTGCGGCGCTCATGTGGACGCTGCTGCTCGTGCTGCTGCTGGGCTCGGCGGCGCTCGCTGCGGCCTTCGCGGCGTACGGCGACGTGCTGCTGACGCTGCTGCTGCGCCAGTTGGCGGCCTCGGCCGTCGGCGCCAAGTTCTCCATCTCGTGGTCGCTGCGCGAGGGCTCGCTGGAGCTGCGCGACCTGGTGCTGGGCAGGCAGGTGCTGCCCAACCTGGAGCCGCTGGCGGGGCTTCCCTTCGGACTGGAGCGGCTCGAGATGAAGCGGCTGCTGCTGGTCGCGCCGCTCTGGGCGCGCATGGTGCGCCTTGTCAGCGGCCAACCTGCAGACCCGGAGCACAAGCCCATGGAATCCAAGCTGCTGATGGCCGGGCTGCGGCTCGGCCTGACGCTCGACGCCGCCGAGAAGTGGATGTGGCAGCGCGACGCGAACGCCGAGCGCTGCGAGGAGGCGGTCAAGCAAGCGGCCAAGGCGCGCGTGGCGCGCGTCAACGCCTGGACGGCGACGGTGGCGCAGAAGCTCAAGGACCTCGCGACTCTGCGCGATCAGATCCGCGCGGCCGAGAAGCAGCAGCCCAAGACGGCGAACGAAGCGCCACTGAAGCCTGCGTTCTGGCACCTGTGGGTGGACGAGCTTCTGGATTCGTTCGAGTTCGTGCTGCAGGCGTTCTCGCTCTCGATCCGCGACGAGTACTCGGGCGCCACCGTGGGCATCGCACTCGACGAGTTCGAGATGGGCCGCAGCGGCCCTTGTGACGACGGGCGGCGCAAGCGCGATCTGCGACTGGTCAAGTATGAGATGGTCCTGAACTCGAAACCCGGCGGCAGCGCGGACGCCTGCCACTTGATCACCCCGCTCTCCATGGACATCGGCGTGTACATACCCTTCATCTTCCAGTCGCTCATTATGGGACAGGGCTCGGGCGAGCGAGCGTTTGAACTCGAGATCTCGTTCGCACAGGGACAAGAGTTTGTGGTGGAGTTCCGCCCCGCGCAAGCCGGCATGCTGTTGAAGTTGCTCCAGCCAATCAACTACTACTACGACTGGCAGACGGCTGCGTCCATCGCGGATGACCTCGCGTGTGTGCAGCTCACTCCGATCGAGTCTGAAGAGTACATGTCTCTGTTCAACGAGCAGTGCAAGCTCGACAACGAGCTGGGTTTTGTGCGTCGACTGTATGAAGGCTACAAGCAGAAGGAGGTCATACTCAAGCGACAGACCCGGCTGGATGAGCTGGAGGTGAAAGTACTGGCCACGCGCCTACTTCAATTGCGTGCGCTGTCCCTTGGCTGGGAGATCCCGGATGCAGGAAAGCCCTTGCCGTTCATTAGCGAGGAGGAACTGGAGAGGGGAAACCTACGCAAGTTCTTGGAGAACCCTGTGGATCACTACGTGGACAAGGAGAAAATTCCCGGCACGCCGCCAATGTTCCATTTGTTCCGAATGTCGTTCAAGATGGCGAAGATGAACCTCAATTTACTCGAGGACAATGACAAGCAGCTGCTGACATTTTTCGTGTACGACATGGACTTCGAACTGCGTTACCTGATGTCGAAGGTTGCTGAAAAAGACACGGCCGTGGAGATTGCGCTAGATATCGTGCGCTTTGGCTTACTGGACAACCGTGGGGCTCGTACGAATGTGTTCCGTCAGATCATGGACCGTAACCCCGAAGCTGAGGACATGATGTCGATCGCTGTGTCCCAGCGTAAGGATGGCTACATGGACGTTGGGGTGACATTCAAGCACTTTTCGCTTGTGCTTGTGTTCGACCCGCTACTGGACGTGATGCACAAGTTCCTACCCGCTATTGCTGAAGACGAGGACGAACAAATGCGGTTCATTGCGTACGAAATGGCGGACGGTATGGATTCTCCCGAACAACGAGATGCTGCGAAGCACCTTTATGTTGAAGATCTACCGAAGCCATACTCACCGCTGATGCTTGGCGGAATCTCTCTCGGCTCCAGCATTCTCTTGCAGGGTTGCGAGTTCTGTCTCGTTGGTGATTCATCGACGCTGAAGTCCCCAGTTCTGGCTTTCACTGCGGATACCAAGCTTCGAATCCTGAGCTCTGAGCGGTCGGAGGCCGTCGAGTTGGAGTTAGTGGATGTTGCATTGACCCCATGCACTATCATCTTGCGTGCTGATGGCATTGAGCTTGAGATCGGGGACGTTCGAACGATTTTGGAGCTCGAAGGCGAAGGTGTTGATCTTGCAATGGGATACAGGCTCTCGGTCGGTGATCCGTCAAGAGAATTGTCCAAGCTCACCAATGAGTCGTCCGAGTCTGGTGGAAAATCTGCGTCAAGTTTATGGAGTGTCGCTCGCAAAGCTGCCGCCAAGCAGCAAATTGTGGAGGTTGACCACCCAGACATCGAGGAGGTGGAGGAGCGCTCGCTGACACCACACCGCAGAGACAGAGTGAAAGCTGGTGCACGCAGGAAGCTGACAATGCAAATGTCCGACTTTGCTATGAACTTGTCGTCAACTGATCTGGGCGTCCTTTTGAGCATCTTGGGTTCACTCAATGAATCAATGAAGGAGGACATTGAAGTTGTCAAGAAGCGGGAGCAGGGCGAAGCTCGAATGAAAAGAGCGAGACGACAGGTTGAAGAAAAGCGGTACATGGACCGATTGAAAGCCGAGTTCAAACTGCGCGATGTTGACGGTGGAGGATCCCTGGACGTGTCAGAGATTAGGGACCTTCTTCGCAGCGCGACGGATTGTGATAATCTGACAAAGGAGGAGTTCGATGCGACTGTGGCGGATTTTGTCAGCATTGTGGATAGCGATGAAAGTGGCGACATCTCCCTGGAGGAGTTCGAAAGCGCGTTAAGCCGCAATAAGATCCTGTACACGCGGCTGCATCACCACGTGGTTGCGATTACTGGTCAGGAATATGTCGATCCGGACATGCAACGAAACAAGGTGCCGTACCTCACTGGTGATAATGCAAACACGCTTGCCAACGCAGCAGCACTTGCGACTTTTTGGGAGCGTTACGAAGAGCAGATTGGTGCGTCAACTACGTCGCTGAATGGTCAGCCACCTATTGTCGTTCAGAAGAAGATGGTGCGTGCATTCAAGAACTACGACTACGCACAAGAAGCGTGGAACCGGATCGTGAACCCTTCGCTCGTTAAACCAGGCGAACAGAGTCCCTGGTTGTTGAGCAAAGAGATGGATATGGGCGGTCGAGGAGATGTGATCGATCAGTTGTTGTCTAGCCTGAAGGACGATGCTCACACCCACACTTCCCTGAACCCGGGGTCTGTCGCTGAGCGGCAGATCTTCGTTCAGACTCTTGTTTCCACATCCTTCGGTGGGTTTTACTTGCGCCTGATTGACAATATGCTGCCATTGGGTCTTCCGGCAATTGAAACATCCCTCGAGGAACTCGGCATTTACGCAAATTTTTCGGTGTGGGAGGGTGGATCGGCAAACGCTGTCACAGACCTCCAAGCTCGAAAACGGTCGACAAACAGCTTTGGTGTCGCCAAGATCAGCTTCGATGTGTATGGCAACTACTACAACACGAAGGCACGCCAAATCGAACCCTTCATGGAGTTTTATCAAGGTATCCTTGATTTCAAAAAGGAGCCCGAGTCACCGTTGGAAGTAATTTATTCATCGGATCGCTACTTCCAAATGAACGTCACGTCAGCGTTCATGGAAGCAGTGAATTCGAACATGGCTGCATTCTCCAAGGTTGAACATCGCACGGAGGCTGAACGTCCGCACGTCAAAGAAATTGGCGCGATTTTCTGGATGCTGAACGAGAGCGGGGTGAACGTCAAGTATTATCTGGTGGCGAAAAAGCAAACGAAGGAACGCGTGCGCGAAGAGGTTGTGACGGCAGTGACTGCTGTGTCTACTGGCGAAGCGCACGCATGCATGCTTCTGGATAACAGCGAAGCGGAAGAGTATGAACAACAAAGTTTGAAGGAAAAGCAACTCCGACAAGCTTTTCGGGATGCCGATCAGGATGGAAGTGGTGAGTTGGACACTGAGGAAGTGCGCTCTGTGCTGCGAAGCGTGTATGAAGAAGAAGACAAGCAACGCAGAACTTCAGGTGCTAGGAAGTCCTCGGTATACAAGCGCAGCAGTAGCAGCATTCTGGAGAACGAAGCCGATTTTTCTCGGGCTGTTGAAGACTTTATTGCTCTGGCAGACACCGACAAGTCCGGACAAGTTTCGTGGGAAGAGTTCAAGATCGCGATCGCCAAGTCGCGTGCGACAGTCGACCGCTTCATCTCAATCGAGATCGAAGGATACCGGACGATTCATAACGTGCCATTGATGTCAATCGGACAGACTCAAGTGTATGAGCTGACACCACTGTTCGAGGACGTGGAATCGGAGGAGTCGATCGCTGCTCTCTACGATCGGGGTGTGGCTTTGCTGACGAAGGTCGAGGAGCCTACACGTCAAGAGCTGCAAAAGGCGTACGCGTGTCTACACCGAGTGAAGGAGATCGATCCAAACTACGAGTGGATTGACTCATACTATGCTGACTGCATGCGCCAATACTTGCCTGTACTAGCCGCTATTCACATTTCGGTGGATGGATTTTACGGTCTGCAAGTGAAGGTATCCGGTGCGGAGTATATTCGCAACGGGACTGCTAAGGATACGGAGCTGATCATGTACGACGAGCAAGGTGCTGTTGCTCGCTGCAACCCGGAACAGCCCGACGCAGCTAAACGTTTCTATATGCTGCCAGCGCTCGGTTCAATCAGTATTCCTTTGGATTTGGTTGGCGCTGGGTCTTTCGCTATTCGGCAAACGGGAGAAACAGAATGGAGCAACACGCTAGACCTATCTGTTGCTGATCAGCGACTATACAAGCGGATGACACGATTCGAGCAGCTTGAAGCCAAGAAGGCCTTACGTGGCGAAGGAAATGGTTCCGTATCCTCTGCCAAACGTGTCAAAGAAAAACTGGGTACGAACGCTGCACTTCCCGATCCGAATGAGTTCGTTCCTGCTGGAAAAGAAGTGGTGTATCCGTCGTCAAGTTGCATTGACAATCAGCCCACGGTCGTGATTGAGCGGATTTCTGTCAACAATGCGCAGTTGGGTACTTGGTCTTTGACGATTCAACCCCAGCTGGTACTCCACAACGTTCTCCCGTGCGGTGTTGAGTACGCAATTGTACAGCCTGATGATTGCCCTGAAGATACGCTGACTTCCAAGGGCGAGTTCCGCGTTGTGGATACCGCTGGAAAATCCAAAAAATCTCGAGCTGTGACAACGTTGGGCGAGATCGACTACTTTGCTTACGTGAACGAAGTGAACAGTCGAAAGATGCACATCGAGAGTGGTAAGACCATTCAAGTGTTCGGGTTGGACCTGAACAAACCCGCTTTGATGATGATGCGGCTTTGTGCCAGTGAGACCAACCGAGCATCGACTTGGAGCGCACCGTTCCTGGTGCACCTTGAAGCCGACCGCGAATCGTTCAATGAAGATGCGTTCGAGCTCCTATTCGATAACGGCCCAAGCTTCGTTTTCCACCCGCAGTGGGAAGAAAATGCCGCCCGCACAGTATTCTTCTACTCTCCGTTCTGGATTCAAAACCGAAGTGGCTTGGACCTTCGCTTTAAGTTGTCCCGTGGTCGGGTTTGCGCTATTGAAGAACACCGAGCGTACTTCCCTGACGCGAAGGAAATTCCTTTGATGGCGACTGCCCCGCCGGATAAGGCACTTATTAGTCTCCAGCCATTCCAGGAGACGCCGCCGACATACGAGGGTGAATCGCTGGTGCCTGAGACGACGAAAAAGTACCTACCAAACTTTCAGAAGCTGGGATGGTCCGAACCCGAGGACATGACAACTGTGGGCAAGAAGGGAGAGTTGAGGCCAAACGGATCTGGCAACTACGCTTTCGTACTCGCATTTGAAGTTCGTGCTGCACCGGCCCAGTTTTTCAGGTCAAAAATTTTCGTTATCTCGCCGCGCTTTGTGTTCCTGAACCACGTTCCACGACCACTCCAAGCAACTCCTATTCTACTGGATAAGAAGGGGGGCCGCGGCAAAAACCGTACTGAGCAGGCTGACTGCACCTTACGAGAAGGCGAAGCAGTTGTGGTGTATCGCCTGAGGGGTCCTGAGAAATATGTGGCTGGCTTACGTGTCCGTGATATGGCGAACGATAGCCAGGATGTGGGTGAATGGAGTCCGAACATGCCATTGTTTAAGCTTGACTCCAAGCTAAGTGATCCGAATGTGGCGTACAACATGTCGGAAGAGGCCGTATTCTGGACGCGTGGCAGCTTGGGCGATGGACCTGTGTGCAGCGTAAGTGTCCACGAAGTGGCTGAGACCATTTTCGCCACTATCGCGGATATTTCGACGAACCCGAACTACCGTATCGAAAACCGCTCGACTCGCTACTCCTTCCGATACGTGCAACATGGGGTAAAGACTGCGGAGGAAATTGTTCTGGCGCCTTTGGAGAGTCATTTGTTTGCATGGGAAGATCCCAAGGGAGACTTGCGGTTGCGTGTCATGGCCACACACTGGAAGGTGCCGACTATAGTGGACTTCATGCAGATCGGCGAGGTAAAGAGTGCGCCTCAAGGTCTTCACGCCGAAGTGTATATCGATGGATCTACTCGAGTCTTCGCCATGGGAGATACCACAGTGTTCTCGGACGTTCGACAACGTGCGTTTGTGAGTGATTGGCTCAGTAATACGGTTATTGACGTGTCGATGCATGGAGTTGGAATTACACTTGTGGACGAGCAGCCGCAGGAAGTGTTGAACATCACCATGGAGACCATTCGCTTTGATTCGAAGGCACGATCTCGGCGAATCTCGTTGATGGTGCACCACGTCCAATTCGACGATATGACTCCCCATTCAGCGTATCCTGTGGTTTTCGCTCCTCTGGACAGTGGCTTCAATAGCGACAAGCGCGAGGGATGGCTCCCTGGCGACGGTGAAAGACCGTTCTTCACGCTCACCTGCGAGACACTCCCGCAAAGCGGTATCGTTATCGTCAACGATTTCGACCTGCAACTCGAGTCTATGGCTGTCAAACTGAACTTGGAATACCTAATTGGGCTGAGTAACCTGCTCTTCCAGTTAATTCCTGGAAGTGACGAGGCTACAATTCTCCAGCAGGGTGTGGAGGCCAAGAATGCGATGCTACTGCTGAATGTTCCGTTCCCAGATGGATCTGTTTCTGCTGGCATGCTGATGTATTTCAAGCGCTGGCATATGAGCGAATATGACTTCGATATGGTGTTTGATTCGCTGCAAGAGGACAAGGGCGAAGGCATCTCATCCATTCTGGGCAATACCCTGGGAAGCATTGTCGGTGGCATCGCGCACGTGACGCCCGAGTTCCACTTCGGCGAGATTGTCTACCAGAACCGTTTCTTCTACGAGTACGATCTGATCTACGACGTCGTGCTGAAGATCGTACACTCCGTGATTGGCCAATGGTACAAGATCGTTGGAAGTGTCGAGATGTTAGGCGATCCAGTTGGTCTTGCCACGGACATTGTGGACGGTTTTGCACTGGCCGCTCGCCAATTGAAGCGCGACATGAAGGGAAAAAGCCGGCGTAAGGGCGAAAGTGCGGTGACTGTCGTACAGACGATTTTTGGTGTCCCCCTGAGGTCTATTGGTAAGGTGTCAAATGGGCTTGGCGACGTGGTCAAGAAGGCTACGTACTTCGAAAGCCAGGAGGACCCGAATGAACCCCGCCACATTCCTGAAGGTTTTGTGCAAGGTGGCAAGGTACTTGGCAAAAGTATTGCGTACGGCGTGTCAGGATTCGTGAAGGAACCCGTGCGTGGCGCTAAGAGTGGGGGTGTGAAGGGCTTCGCGAAGGGTGTCGGCCGTGGAACGTTGCAGCTTGTTGCTTCCCCTGTTGTTGGCACGCTTGGTGTGGTTGAAAAGCTGTCGCAGTCGGTGAACAACACAACGCATCTGATGGACGAGAAGCACTTCGAAGGAACCCGCCGACCTGCCCGCAATCTCCAGACAGGATCGCTCAAGCAACTTTCGGATTCAAACGTGATTACGGAGGTGGAGGTGCACTGCTTGTATGTCGACGGACTGCCCGATAACGTGAACCCGAAGGTGGTGGTGCGCGTGTATTCTCAGACGGACGGCTATCCTGCGAAGGAGCTCGGTGAATACAAGTCTTCGACAATGCGCCACACGGGAACACCCAAGTACGACCAGTCGTGGCTGATTGGAGTGACTTCGCTGGACACGTTCGTTGAGGTGAATGTCTACCACAAGCGGAAGCCGCTGCCCAAGAAGCGCCTGGGATTTGTGCGCTTCTCCATGGAGGACATCTATCGTGACTTTGAGTCGGTGCCTGCGAAGCTTTTGGCGGATACGAACGCTAAAATGCAGCTCAAGCGCCGCAAGCGTGTGCGCGGCAGTATCATCAGCAAGTTGGCTTCGGCCAGCGAGCATCCGGTGGAGGTTCGGGACGACTCGTGGCGACAGCGACTCAGCCGCCCGCCAAAGTCGGGCAGCAGCATTTTGTCGGAGGATGAGAACGAGGGATTCGAGGACTACGACCAAGAGGTTAGTGTCCTGAGCGGGAACTCGATCTGCTTGGATGGCACGTTCCCGCCCTCGCCCGTGGGCATCCCGCTGGAGGAGTGCGAGTCGGAGGCGAAGATTTACCTCAGCATCCGCTACGTGAACGACATGCGGCGGTACGCGTAAGCTGCGCGAAGGATAGCGTAGCAATAAAGGCGAGTACATGCGGCAACCACACGCGCGAGCTGTGCGAAGGGATAGCGCAGCAACTGCAGACGTCAATATATTTCTTCTTACTAGTCACGAGCGAAAGTTGCCTTGTTGTTGAAGTGAGTACAGTATTTACTCTGAGAATTAATACTAGTTTTGACTGACCACAGGACAGCAAGACGAAGCATGGCTCAGCGCGCGACGACGGCCGTGGCGCATGGCGCGCTCCAGAGGTGAGCTGCCCTTCCTCCTTCCGTCTAACCTCGTGCTCGACACCATCTCTCTCTTACTCACCTCGCTGTTATGGCATTGCAGGCTGCCGTACGTCCGCACGGCGTCGGAGATCCAGGAGATGAAGTTCTGGCGGGCGCCTGTGCGCGAGAGCCACCACATCGTGGACCCCATCAAGCGCGCCAAGAACCACACGTCGCGCGTTATCAACATGCAGCTGAGCAAACTCTCGAGCGTCACGCGACAGGCCTCGCTGGACTTCCCGGCGCTCAAGCGCATGCACCCGTTCGAGAGGGTACGTCATGGAGGAGGAAGGAGTGGAGTGGAGTAGCTCGATGAGGCAACTTATCTCACCATGACTCTGCTGCTGCTGCTGCTGCTAACTGACAGGAAGTGGTGATGCTCACGTTGGGCAAAGGGACCTACGAGAACCACCTGCAGAAGCTGCGGCGAGTGTACGCGTCGCTGCACAACACTGGCAAGCAGTACGAGCGCGAGTGCCAGGAGCTGCGCACGAAGCAAGAGGCGGTGGACTGCGGCCTGCGCTGCATTGAGGTACGGACGGGATTGCAGGTTGCACTGAGGCTATGGGGCTGTTGCTCATGAGTTATTATTGCTGGGGAACGATGCAATGCAGGAGCTCAAGAAGATTGTTGACGACAGCGCGGGGACGCTGCGAGATGCGGCGAACATGGCGAAGGTGATGGAAGTCGCAAACACACAAAGCGCCGAATACGTACTGACGCTTGTTGCTGTTTATCCTGAAAGGCTCTTCGCGGCCTCCCGCACGTGGATCTTGACAAACCGATTTTTGCGTTTGTTGGAGCCCCCAACGTTGGTACGCTGGTTATCTGCGTCATATGCACTCGCGGCTCCTATTCATTCACATACGGTGTGCGTTCGTTTGTTGTGTTGCCCATAGGAAAATCCTCGCTAGTCCGCGCTCTGTCGACTGCTTCACCCGAGGTAGATACGCGTTACTTGGCTACCCGAGCTCGTTCCGACAGTTCGTTGCAAACTGATGACGACTTTTGATCGTTTTGCCGGTAGGTGGCTAACTATCCTTTCACGACGCGCGGAATCACCATGGGCCACATTTTTGTTGAAGGCATCTCGTACCAGGTAATGCTAGCCATGCTCGGCGTGTCCACCACCGTGTACTGTACTCACACCACGCTGACACCTTGTTGCAGATTGCGGATACTCCTGGATTGATCTTCCGACCGGACGAAAGCCGTAATGCTATTGAAAAGTTAGCAATCGCCATGATGGAGAAGACGCAGGCCGTACGTCACGCTACTTTAATTACCCATGCGATTTCGCAATGCTCTGACCCTGGATTTACCCGACGCGTTGCAGTCGATTGGCTTTGTGTTTGATCCAACGGGGTCATCTGGAACGCCGACAGCGGACCAAATTCTGCTGCGCGACGAACTTCGCCACCGCGTGGCAGCAGCTCGCCCAGAGCACAAGTGGATCGACATCATCTCGAAGATTGACCAGCCTTCGGACGACGCAGCATCGCTCAAGGACAGGTACGAGTTTCTGCCTGTTTTCAACTCTCTTCGTGTCTTCATGCTTACTCGCCGGTCTTGATGCAGGTTGGGGTCGTGTTTTTCCGTCTCGGCGCAGACGAACGAGGGTCTGATGGAGCTGGGAGATGGGATTCGCCAAGTTCTGACCGAGTCTGCTTGTGCGGACGGCTTCTTGGAGTAACGCCAAAGTAATAGAGCGATGTTACAGTGAGCGCGTGCCTAATTACATGTAATATTATACTGGGTTAAGGAAACTTGAGTGCTGCAACTGTACCACGATCGCCCAGAACGATACTTATGTACCGTACTTCACAAATGCGACAGCTGGTCCATCAGTTGTTCATTTGAGAACAAGGCGAGCGGGCGTGCGTGGCAGAGGCCGACGAGCGAGCGCACAACTTGAGAGCTACAATGCTGGGGAAGAAGGCGCTGGAGGGCATCGCCGCCTACAAATACAAGGCGTGAGTGGGGCGCTGCACTCGCGAGGGACGTCGACGAGGCTGACTCTTGCTCTGCTGTGCTCGCTGCAGGGGCTCGTACACGTACCTGGACAATGTGTTGAACTACTTCTGGACGTACTCGGTACAGTTGCTGCCCGTCTGGATGGCGCCCAACCTCGTGACCATGATCGGCACGGTCGTCATGATGTTCACGACGGTGGTGCAGCTCTACTACGCGCCGCACTTCTCGGAGATCTGCCCTACCTGGGTGCGTGTGGCTGCCAGCTCCAGGCTAGATCCAAAGTTTGAAATTGCAACAACTGACTGAAGTGCCCCCTTGCTGTGCTCAGGTCTACATCTTGTCGGCGCTGGGTCTGTTCTTCTACCAGACGATGGACGCGCTGGACGGCAAGCAGGCCCGCCGCACGGGGGCTTCGTCCCCGCTGGGCCAACTGTTCGATCACGGGTGTGACGCGGTGTGCACTGTCTTCAACGTGCTGAGCGCTGCTGCCACGTGCCAGGTGGGCGTTGGCCTGCGTCCGTACATTGCGCTGTCGTCGGTGTCCATCGCGTTCTACCTGGCGCAGTGGGAGGAGTACCACACGGGCGTCATGAGCTGCGGCAACGGCTTCTACGGCGTCACGGAGGGCCAGCTCACTTTGGTGGCAGTCCACTTGGCGGCCGCGTTCTTTGGCGCGGGCTTCTGGACGGCGGATCTCCCATTTGAAACGCCGTTCTCACTGACCATGACGGACGTGCTCATTGGTGCGCTTGTGGCGAGTAACGTGTTGCTGGCGTACGGCAACATCTCCAACGTGCTGCGCGCGGCTCCCGACGCCATCCCGCGTGACGAACTGGGCAATAAGCAGATCTCGAAGCCGCTTGCGCTGTTCCAGCTGATCCCCATCGGTATCTTACTGGTGCTGGGATCGCTTTGGATCTGCGGCCCTGATGCTGCGAACTACGAAAAGTACCCGGTCCTGTTCCTCTTCCCAATTGGCATCGGCTACGTGTTCTTCTCGGTACGTGATTGCAACGGTTGCCTCTTTTTGTAAGGTTTTCTCACTGTTTGTGGTGTGCTATTGTAGACGCGAATGATCGTTAGCCACATGTGCAAGGTCCCGTTCACCCCGCAGCTACGTGTCATTATCCCGTTCGGCTTCGTGATCTTCAATGCGTACGGACCCGCCGTGGGACTGCTTTCAAAACCACTGATTCCGACGATTTTGGCGTCGTCGCTGTACGTGGTCTTCATCGTGCTGGTGTACCTGCACTTTGTTTCCGGCGTCGTGAAGGACATCTGCGACTTCCTGAACATCTTCCTTTTCAAGATCAAGCCGGTGACGACGGACTCGGAGAAGACCAAGTAGAGTTATGCCATGGGGGCCCAAGCAAGGGTACTACGCGTGGGAGGAGATTGAGGGGAGGATACATGAGTAAGGTGACTGACAGCATTAGTTAGAAACACGCGAATGTGTCTACCAGCTACTGTTTGGCCATGAGTGGCGGCATCCGTGCCAGGCCGATTTCCATTCTAGAAATCCCAATTCCAGTCGTCCGCCTTGGCACCAGCCGTTGATGACAGCTTCATCGCACCTAGGGGCTCATGCTTTGCCTTTGCCTTTGCTTGAGCCTCTGCGCGACGCTCGCTGGCTGTTTTTCGGCTCGAAGCTAGCCCACCGTACGAGCCTGGTGCGGTCTGGTTGGTCATGAAAGATGAGGTATTCAGTCCACTGGAACTCTTTTGGGAACTTGCGTTAAGGCCGGTGGCCTTAGGCGCCGACACGTCGAGATCAAGATCATCATCGCCACCCCAGTTGTCATCCCACGCGTTGTCGCTGCTCATCGCGAAGGTAGACGTTGCAGATGTGGTATCCTTGGCTGAAGTTGCCAAACCCGAACCTGAGTTGCGAGACACATTTAACTTCACCGATGAAGACGATGACGACAACGACGTAGATAAGGAAGATGCTGCCGGAGACGTGAACGACGAAGTAGCCCCTCGGTTCACCGATAACGACGAGCCAAAACCCGAACTTGTGCGCTTAGGACTGTCGAGTCCGTCCAAGTCGTCATCATCACCCCAACCTTCTTCAGCCGTTAGGTCATCTGCTGGAAACGCGTTGGACCTGTTGTGCTTCGATAATGAGGCAGTTGTCGAACTGAACGCACTGTTCTGGTTTGTGCTACTCGAAAAGGAGGAAGTTCGCGACGAAGAAGCAGCAGCTGAAGCCCCTGACGCAGAGAGCGCGGAGGATGACCCACCTGATCCAACCAGCTTGTTCACGTTCGAAGCCACAGCCGAAGAGGCCCACGCAGTAAGCGATGACGCATATCCGCCCGAACTGTGAGCACCATTTGACGACGGTGGAGTGACTCCAGCAGCGCCAGTTCCGCCCACATGCTCGTCTTCTCCTGAAGCGCGCTTCAGCTCACGTTCCTTGGCTTCTAGCTCCTCCCTAATCTTCATCTGAGCTGCTTCATCCATGACCTTCTTCATAAAGAGATCCATCGAAACTTTCGCCTGATCTCGAACAGTAATTGAAACGTCAAGAAGGAGAGGAGCGATTGCTGGGACAATACTCCCAGCCATGCCCTGTGGCGTGAAGTATTCCTATGTGTTTGGACACACGTTGCGTTAGCCAGATGCGAGTACAGAGCAAAAGGCTTTACGCAAAGCTACTTACTTGACACGCAGTCATTGAGCGGAGTCCAGCAAGACGTGCATGTGGGAACGGGTCTCGAAGAGCTTTCGCGAACGCTGGAAAAAGTACCTTGGGCCTTGTAGCATCATTGAGTTTGCTAGCGATCTTTCCTAGACAAATCGTAGTGTTGGTGCGGATGGCTGGTTCAGGGTCAGACTGTTTTCACATACATCAACAAAGGGTAAGCAGACCAAGTTTTGAACAACAGTTGTCGCAATCTACGTACCTGAAGCTTCGCGAAATACTTCATCACACGGTTGTTGAGATTACTGTCCGACAACTTGTCCGCAATATGCAGCATCGATTTGACAGTGAGCTCACGTAAGACTGGAGCCGCATCAGTGAAACCACTACAGAGATTGTCAAAGACAACGGAGCTGTTGACGAGTTTTGCGTCGAAGTGGACCGCAAATTTCTCCATCATCTGCAAAAGCTGCACGCGGACAGCACGGTCGTTACAACTGAACAGCTTGATGATAATAGGGAGCACCTCCGCCTTGAACTCTTCAGCAGACAGCGAGCTACCAATCTGCACCATGGCCGGAAGCATGTGGCTGGCGGAGGGGTCAAGCTTCACAGGGCCGTTTTTAGTTCCAGTCGCTGCTCCGAACTCCACCACTTGCTTCAATGCTGGTAAAATTTTGTGTACACCAAAGCACCGCGGCAACGTCTCCAGGTTGGCACAGAGTTCTTTGTAGAACGCGACTTTTTCATCCGAATCCTTGACAGCAAGGTTCTCCAGGAAATCCATCCGTTTAATAAACGGCGTGTCAAAGTAGCTGCAGCTGAGCATCTTCTGTGGATTTGGCCGCCGCGCAGCATTATCGTCAATAGCCTTACGGAACTGTGTTCGGATTGCTGGCGGGATATTTGCGGCCGTCGATACGTCACTAGACCGAAATTGGCCATCGTTGAAGACGTAGTACATAAGGCAAGCGAATGCCCAAATATCCACTCCATGCGATGGCCCTGTTGCGACTGCCTTCCAATCGGAGCGCTGGCATTCTGAAACAACACACCATCGCAATCATAAATAACGGCGATTAGATTACCACTACGTTCCGACATGATCGCAACATCGGATACACACCTGGTGACTTGTAGTTGATGTCTGCGTATTGCTGGAAAGCCGTGTAAATATAAGACGGTCCATCGCTCGTTACCTCGGCCGTCAGCTCAAACCCACCCAGCTTCCAGTCGCCACCCTGTCAATACGTTCAACAGTTTAGAGCAAAGCCGAAATATTAGGAAAAATAACGTACAGCGAGTATTGATTCGCACCTTGGTCACGAAGATACTCTGCGGCGTGAGGCGACCGTGCATGAGTTTGCAGTCGACGGTGATGAACTGCAGCGCTCTCAGAATGCTGCGCAAGCCCCAGGATACACACATGGTAAACTCCTCGCTGTTGGCGCCGTACTCCATACGCAGCGCCGTGAGAAACTCTGACAGCGGCATGACATGCTCCGTGACGATGATCACGGGCCCGTTGTTGGGGATCTCAGTGCCGTCCAAGTAGGCCAGGATGTTGGGGTGGCGCAGCGTCTTGATGCGGCGCAGGGCGTTCTGCGTGAGCTGCCCCGCTGGCTGCCGGGACTTGAAGATGGACACGGCGTGCGACGGGTCCTGCTTGCTCTTGCCCGAGTACAGAACGAAGTCCGGCAGCCCCTCGAACACGACGCTCTCCCCCGCGGCGCCGCCTGCCGCCACGTTCCCGTCCATCGACGGGGTGTCCATCGAGTACGGCAGCCCGCCCGTGGCGCTCGAGCCCACGAGGCCCCCGAGCGTCTTGAGGAAGTTCATCTCGCCTCCTCCCCTCGCCTTCGCTTTGCTCAGTGCGCGCCCACGTGTGCGTGCTTTGGCTAATCGAGTGGAAGAAAAAGCTATAAGCGCCAGGATTGGTCAAAAAGAAAAAAGTCTGATTTTCCTGCGACGTGTGAAGGCTTATCAAACGAGAGAGGTTAAAGAGCAACTTCACGCCTCCATGAAGCGCTTCACGGCGTCAACCAGGTCGGCCTTCCGCCCGACCGCTGCGAGGCCGTGCGCATGCAGGAACGCCTTGAGTTGAGGGATGGTCTTCTTTTGGATGGCGTTGGAGGCGACCAGCGCGGCCCACTCCTCCTTGTCGAACGTCTCCCCCGCTTCAGGTTTGCCTGCTTTCGCTTTCGCAGACTTCTTGGTCGTCGTCTTGCGCCCTCCTGAAGCCGAGGACTGGTGCCCAGAGAAAACACACCCGTTAGTTTAGCAGTATTGCTTTACTAGGACAAGCAAACGCAGATGACTGACCTTGCGCTTAGCGTTGGTGGACGCGTCAATCAGCTCTCCACCGCAGACTTCTCGGAAGGCTGTGATAGCGTCCTAGAGATCATACACATAGTTCAGCCTAGGTGTTCACAGCGCAATTCGCACCCTTCGCTCTTACCTTGACTTCGTCCTGGCCAAACCCCTCGGCATCGGGCAGGGTGGTGTCTTTCGCTTCGTCGAATTGCAGCACTTCCTCGTCCAGGGCAAGCGCTTGAATGGCAGCATAGTGCTTTTGCAGCTCTAGCATTTCAGATAGAAAGCGTTTACTTGATGGTCACTCCAGCATCAGTGATACTGTTGAAACGTACCTGGGTTCTCGAAACTAGGTGCTTCCGTCAACTTCAGCGTCGAAATCAAGTGCTTCGCAGCGTCAATCTTTTCCTGATTAACTGTAGCAGATACGAACGAGAACTAGTTAGCGGCAGTGACGCGCTCAACAAGTTCCTCTGGGACTTACCGTTCGTGACGGGATCGACAGGAATGTCTCGAATGTCATCCAGGTATGGCAAGAAAATGACATTGAGTCCTGACGGTTGCACTTGACCCATCTCGTCATTCTCTTCCTCTTGGGGGACGAGTGCCACGAGGCGAGGTTCACTTGTTTTCCGCGCAATCAATCTCGCCAAGGCGAACTTATTCTTTCGAACCATTGAGTTCAGGATCGCCATAAAGGCCGTGGAGCTTCCTTCGATGTAGCCGTCGCAAGGGTACACAAAGTACGGGGAGCGGATGTTTTCGTTCCACTTGAGAGAGCTCAACGGCTTAAAGCAGATCAGCTGAAGTCCTGGAGCATCGTAGTGCTTAATTTCCACAACGTCGTCCCGTGTGAAGTACACGCGCTTGCCTCCGTAGTCGATGTACTTTTTGATCTGATCGGGAGTGAGGTAGGCTCCAGTGTCTTCACAAAGCCACTTCGTCTCTGTTTTCAGCGGGGTGTTCGTGCTTGCATCAAGGGCCACAGGGGTGTTCTTGCGCTGCACAACTACCAACGCGTAAAGCTCCACCCCAATCGACACACCCTTCGTGATGTGGAGAGGGAACGCCGTCAGTCGGCGCTTACGGAAACGCTTACGCAGCGACCCGTCCATCAGATCATCCAGAGAGCCGACAGGAAAAGCTGGCTGATAAGACGCTTCGTTTTCAACAACTTCTTCGTTTGCATCGGCCGAGAAATCTTTGAAGCTGCAACCGTAGAACTTGGACAGGTCGAAACTTTCTTTCCCTGGCGGGGTGATGTAGAATAGGTTCAACGTTCGCTTTAGCTCCGTGTGGTTCTGTCGCACACGAACCACGAAAAGCGCTCAGAGAACCGTGGAATAACAATTATTTGTGAATGTCCAAAGATACCTGAACTTGCTTCTGGATCCGCCCAACTTCTTCTCCATCTGGGCCCTGCGGACTGTCATCATTCGTGAAAATCCAGATGCGCTGCGAGTCTTTCTTCTTCAAGCTATCAAACAGTAGCACGGAATGTACGTTAGAAAACGCATCAATATGTCTGCAGCACCATATGAGCAACATACTTCGCGTTGGAAAACGAGATCCCACATTGCCACAGCGCATTGCTAAATGAGAGCTTGTCTGAGTTCTCCATGGACTCGTATTCTGCTTGTACGTCTGCTTCAAGCAGCGCCTAGGGATACGCACAGCAAAGTCACGGTTAAATCAATAATTAATAAAACAGGACGGCTGCATATTAAACCTGTAAGTCCTTGATCCGCTGTGCTGACGGATAGCCTAATGGCTGAAGCTCATAGACTTGCTCCAGCGTGCCTGCTTCTCCGCGCTTATTCTGCACGAGGCACAAACCAGCAGCAAGACGGTTAATTCATTATCCGTAACGTGCATGCTAGATTCGTACTACCAAACTACGCGTCCACATACCGTCCCAAAGAAGACAACGCTTAATTGGGAGTTGTCGTTCGCGACTACTTTGGACTTGAGCAGCTTGATCACCAGCTCCACAACCGCGTGGAACCACGTGGACGGAGCCTTCGCCTCGTCAGCGTGCGGATACGGGGTGAACATGACCTTACGTACGTCGAGCAGCACGATGAGCGCATCCTTCCCGCTCTCGGCGAGCTCCCAGTCCTCCTCCTCGCCCACTGATTGCTCCCCAGTCGCGCTCTGGCTGCCCCATACGTCCATGCTTGGGTCAAAATCCGAAAATGATAGTTGATGGCTACGATCTTTGAAATGGCTACAAAACGCAAGTTTTTTTTCTGACTCGATTATTATTAATGAACCAGGTGTGAATGAAGTTCAAGCCGAAGACACACCGCGCTGAGATAGATCCGAGGACAGGAAACTCGACGAAGAGACGATTTCATTCTCGACGTTCTCACGCAGAGCGCGTAGAATCGCTTTAGATAGCCGTGGATACTCCTTCGACTGGAAATTGCGCTCGAAGTAGGCGCTGCGGCGATCCAACACCTCGAGGAGCGCTGAGCAGGAGGAGATCCCATCTGCGTCAAGACGGCGACTCAACGCGCGTAGATCATCTGACCGCCACATGAACTGTGCTCGCAGACACTCCATAGCTCTCTGTAGTGACTGCGAGCAGTATATTGAGCGAGGGAGGGCGCTCAAGTCAGTCTGCCCGGCAGAATCATAGTGTACGGAGTTATCGTAGAGGAGTCTTGCCGCAGGCCATTCTGGAATCACTCTCGATGAATTGGAAGAGGCCCCAGCATCCTTCCATGCCTCCATGAGCGTTGGATACTGCTGCAACAGAGATTCCTTTTGACGAGCATCACTGGAGCGGTACAACAGCCCACAGAACTCGTCCGCCGTGTACGTGCACGTCTCCCACTTCGTTTCATACATCTTCTTGAGCACCTCGAACTCCTCCAGCCACTGCCTTTCGAATCGCTCGTCTTCTAGCTGCTCGCGGAGCAGCTCGTCTTCGCCGCCATCGATTTCTGCTTGTATCTTGGACTTGACCTTGAGGAGTGCCCCCATTAGACCTCGTTTCTGAGTCGCAGTAGCTTCTGTAACGGTGTCGTTGTTGTGTTCTTGCTTGACATCGTCAGGAGCACGCCGCAAGAAAGACAGCGTGTTGGGGCCTACACTTGCGGCGCGCAAGAGGTCAACAACCACAGCTACTTCCTTGTGTCGGCAATCTTCTCCGTTCACCCCGACAAGCCAATCACCTAGTTGCAGAGATCCCAGAGCCTGCTTGTTTGGAACGTCGTGCCCGTCGCCCACGCCCTCCGACCCCTCCACAAACCCGTCCACCACCAAATCATGACCCGCGCCGTCCGAAGCGGCCACCTTGGCGAAGTATATGCCAAAGCCCTTGTCGGTCTTCTCGATAACAGTGTCGAACTCCATGTCTCGCGCCGTGTCAGTGGGAGGTGCCTGGCATGTGAAGCAACTCAAGAAAGATACAATACGAAAAGCTACGGCGCGCGACTGATGCGCTGTTTAAAACACTTGTTGCAATTAGTTTAAAACATGGGCGATGTTAACGTCGCAGGGCCATGCTCAGCGTCGCCCTGGGCCATCAGGACGGTCGTGTCACAGAACGCTTGCCTGCGAAAAATCACGAAACGTGTAACCGCTGAAAAAAACTTGTTTGAAACTCCCCAGAACAGGTCTCTAAGCGAAGGCAAACGCACCGAACAGTTTTGCGCTTTTTGCTACTATAACGGCTAGGACATGCACTTGTTATATTTATTACCATTATCACCACTATTTTGGTGAGTACTATGCATGTAACGCTTCATATGACTGCACTAGATATTTTAATTCTCATACTAGAGATGCTCTAAGAGCATCTCCGGCGGTTGGTCTCAAACACGGTTATAATTGATGTCGGCAGCATCATCATGTTGCTATTGGTATTGATTGCAACTGCCACTGTCGCCGCCAGCTACTGCGGCTGCTACTGTCACAGCTACTGCCACTGCTTCAGTCACTGACACTGTCACTGCCTCTACCGCTGCTACTGCTACTGCTACCCCATCACTACTTCTATTGCTATACTACTGACATTCCACTATTGTTAAAGAAATTGCTTTTGGTATTGCTAACTGTGGCGAGCGCTACTTCTGGGTACTGTTACTGCTTATCCCTACTGCAACTACAGCTACTAAAACTACTATTTCACTATTGCTAATAATATCATAGTAATGCTGTCATTGATGTTGCTAGTTCATATCTCCTGCTATCGCTTCTGCGACTGTTTAGTATCTGCTGCCACTGCGGTTACCGCTGTTATTTACGCTACAACTACGATATCAGCATTGATAATGACATTGCAATGATATTTCCCCTGCTTTCTTCTTCACGCCGGAGAAAGACTGCCAAAATCTACTTCATGTTTCTATTATATATTGCTGCATAATATCACTGGGCATCTCATGGCTTGCGCAAGCTAAATTTACAAGTAGATGCCGTCTGAACATCGCCGTCCCCACAAGCATTACCGATGATCTTAACTTCTTATCGGTCGTCTAGACTTTGTATATCACTCTCCTCTTTTCTAAATAATATATGTAACTTGTTTGCTGCGTAAGTAATATCAATACGAAGTATTAATATTTACAATTCAGTAAAATGCTATTGGAATTGTTCGCCTGCGTCAAGATCACTGCCCGCTACCACTGCAACTGCCCTACTGTCAATGCCACCGCTACTGCAACCGCTATTAAATAATAGCTTTGCTACTGATATTGTTATCGTTATTTCTGTTATTAACTTTTTTCTGCTCGCTCCACGACCAGAAAGAAAAACTGTCAAGGTCTACTCCATGGTGCGTGAGTTGTTACAACTCAGTATGATGTCATCCAACGAGAGTTTTTCGCGAACCGCACCTCTTAAGATATCTCTATTTACGAACGAGCAGTTTACACGTCACCGCAGTTATGAAGTACGCGATGCAAATTGGCTTGAAGGCGCTAATTTCGCTTTGTTATGCGTTCATATTGCTCTAGTTAGGTTCTTGCTGCAGCAAACATCACGCCCATTTAATCGGGCACTTTTAGGGTTAAAGTGCACCACCATGGCCACGTATCACTCAATGTCTCTTCTGTACCTACGTCGCACAGCGCCGAAGTTCGCACAGTATGCATCGTAATGGTGGCGTGTGAATTAAACCGTGCATTTCAAATCCAACCCCCCCCGCTTCGCTGCTTTATACTTAAGTACCGGTAATATCATGAGATTTTGGATACTCTAGTTCATATTAAAAAGTACCGAATGTATTAAACTGATGGTCTGACAACAAATGATGCTGGTTCTAAGCTATCCGCTTAGAGAATATAAGCATACAGATACAGATATAGACATGCGTCCACAGTTGTTCAGAGCAGCGCTCGCGGGCGTCCATTCAATCAAACCATTCTGTGCTAAGCTTAGGGCTATGCTAGCGAGTGGCACAGCACAAGTGGATTTTGATTGGACACTCGTTAGCCATGATTATGACCAATGAACGAGCTACAGCATATGGTTGGCTGTGGTTGGCCTGAAATTAGCTGCTGGAATAGCCCCGTCGCTGTCCACTTGTGAAAAAGTACCCTGAGGTCACATATACTTCATGGCTTCTCGTGCTAAATATACCCTGCAAGCGTGTTAATTTTACATTCCTCTAAAACTAAAATTCGCATGCACAGTTGCTTGGAAATGGACGTTTATTACGTGAAATACGTTTTTGAGGCGAGTTGAATTCCGCTCCATAGAGAACACAATATCATAATACCCACGTGACATATTACCATAGGACATGACACCGCACACTACGCGACATTGTAGTGTGGGTTCTACTCAAAATTTCCGAACCGGCCGATTGCAATCGCCCGAGCCAAATCGCTCCCCAATCGCCCCGGCCACTTGGATTGTCTATTGGAACTCGATTAAGTACGATTTACATATGGCATTCTTGTTTGGAGCGGTTTCGATCTGTACTTGAATTTGTATTGGTCGATTTTCGAAATCGGCCCGATTTGGAAAATTTCAACGGAATTAACAATATCACAACGGTAGGAGCTATGTGAGTCGTGAGTACGTATATATTTATATATATATATATTATGAAAGCACAATTTACATATGAACTGCCAAATTCCTTAATAACTTAGCCAAACGTTACGCAAAATAGTTATAAATCAGTGACCCTATTAGCGTCAAATGCTGACAGCTGGCCCTGTAAGAGAGCCCATATTATTTGTTTTTCGGACGAAGCACCAATCGGTCGCAGTGCGCCAGTCAACATCGTACCAAGGTGCGTGGCTTTCATAATTTCATCACGATTGACCACTCTCAAGGATTCCCCGCGTCTAGTGATGCAATTGATCTAACAATAAGTACGTTCACTATTCTATCAACGGCAACGTTACCACCCTTTTCAGCAGGACGTCACTACGAGCTGATTCAACGATTATTTGAGATGTTGAATGAGGTTTTTCCTCGTTAGTCATCTGATATCTAGCAACGCTAAAGAAGAAAATCTATCGCCGCCAAAAGGCGGCGTGTAGGGTTGAGGCTCATGGGTACAATAAATGTTTCTATGATGTCTGCTACTGCGCACGCAAGCGGGTACACCGGCAACCGACATGCTCAGAGAAGCGTGCCTGGTGGCGAGGAGGCAGGAATCGCAGCGCCGCAGCCTCCGCCGCCACAAGAAGCCCACGTGCAACGTCGCTTGACGGTTGGTGCCAGGCGCGCGCGAGAGTGCCTGGCGCCTGGGATCCAGCACGCTACGTGCCTAAGCATATGAACACACATGCATAGGATTACGAACAAAAAAAACTTGGGCGCAATGGCGCACAACGATTTGGTGCGTTGACAGGTAATACAGCTGTACCTTGTGCACATTGATGTCGTAGCTTTCCGCGCAATGTATTGAGATAGCTATAGGACCTCACATTAACAAATACACATTACAAGGTAATGATGGAGCTTGCATTGTCAAGTGCTGTAGTGCTCGCTTCCGAATGAGTGGTGTGCCATGAATATTCATCCCGGACACAATGATTTTTTTTTCGAATTGAGGAGAACGCTGATCACTTCCTTCGTAGCAGGAGCTTTCACGAAGAAGTGATTGCCCTTTTGCTAGGGATTCATGGTAGAATAAAATTGTGGGGATCGTGTCGTTTAGCACTGAAGCACGTTGTCTTGATCACCTTGTGGTGAGCATCCACTGCGGTTTGCGACGGCGTCAATCCTGGAACGGCAGCTGTAAAAAATCAGTTGCCGCACTGTCCATCCAGATATATTGACTTGAACCAGTTCGCGTACTTACCTTCGCCGCGCGTACGCCAGTGTGCAAGGAACACTTGGTCAGTGCACGAAACTGCCTCTAGGTGCCCGCACTTTGCTCAGGTACTAAATGTTGACCAGAGTTTCCGTCTTGCAGAACGTGGACTTGGTGAGCAACTAAAGCTTGACCTTTTTGCCAGACTTTCGAAGCATGTACGGATAGCAGTTGAGGAGGGTGATGTCTGTCCGCACCTCGAAGAAGGCATTTACGATGTCTTGCGTGTGGGCAGGGCCCCCATAGCGGAACTTAAGGTCGATGTCGAAGAACTTCTTGGCGTACTTGTGCACGGTTTGAAACAGCGTAGTATATCCTAGCTCGTGTTCCGTCCTCACAAACATGTAAGCGCATGGGACGAACTGTTTTGCGTACTGATTTGCGTACTGCTTGCGGTCGTAGTGCGAGGTGTAAGTCCCAAAGGCTACCAAGATCCAACCTTCTAATACACAACACATTGTTAGTTTAAAGTCATTAAACATGAAACTGAGTCGTACCGAAAGGGAGTTTGTAAGTGTCATAGGTAGCTCCAATGATATCGCCTTCTGTTTGCCCCGCGTGGGGGTGCACGACGTTGCGAAATGCATGCCGAGATATCACCACTAGCCCAAAACACTTGACTTCCTAGTTTTCATCGTCCTTCACGTCGTGCTTAAAAACATAAAGGACAATAGCGGCGTGCCCAAGCTTTTTGTCCTTCTTCTGGAACGCGCTGGCACCAATCTCTGGGTCAAAGTCAACGCCGTACAAGTAGTCCACTCCGCCGAAAAAATCTTTCTTGGTCAATGGAAGGCCCATCTTTATCTCCCAGCCACTTGCATGATATCGTTAGTGTATGTCATGAGAAATATACACATAATAAATTGTAAAACGCACCTTCTGAGTGCTTTTTCATGGATGCCTTGAAGGTTATGAGCTGTCCATCCGTTGGGGATATCTTGAAGTTGGTCTGGGACGTGTGCATACCTGCCAAGCAGGATCTTGCGGCACTTTTTGGGACAGCAATCCAGCAGTAGATCCGTGACTTCACGCCTGAAAATGTCCGGAATGCCTCGCTTTGTCTCGGATGCTCCCTTCATCTCGTGCACACCCTTTTCGTCAAGAGCAAGCGGAAACGGCTCGTTGGCTGGACTGGTACCAGACGAAGTTTCTTCTGGCAGTTCTCGCGAACAATTCAGGTGTTGAGGCACTTGCCGTTTCCATTCGTGCCGTAGTTGTACAGCTACTTGTACAGATCAATATCAAAGGAGTTGATGGCGTCCTGTGCATCTTGGAGCGTTCGATACCCCGCTTTCACGGAAAACCTCTCTCTCTCTCTCTGACATTTAACCAGTACCATTGCATCAACACGAGATCCGGACCTTTCCTGCCACCTAGGGCCGTAATAAAATAACGCAATATCTGGATGGGAGGGTTCATTTACCTTTGGCAAAATTCGGAAATGGTGCGCTCACACATGAAAAAAAACGCAGGATGGCATGAATTAATGCAAATCGATACCACTACTCATTCGTAGAAACCCAGTGATATTGAAGGGCAAAACAACGCGCTGCATCTAAGTAAAACACAAGATAATCTGGTCGCGGGGCGTTGGTTCGTTTCTATGACGCGTTTGTCGAGGCGATAGAGCACATAAAAAAAATAGTGGCGGACTGTCTAAACGAGAAGCGAACTGTTACCCCCCCCCTCCAGCCAAAAGGATGCTGGACAAGCCGTTGAGTAATGGCTACCTGTACTGTCCGTAAAACAGCCAGACTTTCGCATTGATGACAGTACTCTTTGCCGGGACGACGAAGCGCTCGCTGATTGCAAAGGTAAACATCCCTGGATAGCGCATTATAGCCGCGTCCTACCAGTAGAGTAGCTGTTGGATGTCTCCATCCAGAGTATACAGTGCTTCCACGCTGTATACGTGGTGGGGGTATATACCTGCAAATCTCAGAAGTCAAAATCTGCCTTTCGTTTGTACCAGCTCTACCTTTCGATCTACACTTTCAACATTCATCTTTCTACAATCCAACTCGCAGTATATCGCGATCTAACCGGCAAAAATATAGCCGTGAACTAAAGCTTCTGATACAGTCCGAAGTCGGTAGAATTCCCTACAGAGCGACAGCACGACCCCTACAGAAACTCCACGACGGCCTTGCTGCACTCTAGCACCCATCAATGCTTCATATGTAAATATATAAAGAACTGCTCTCGCAAAAACACCGCTGGTTGCGAGGAAGATCTTAGTTATACACAACTATAACCAAATATCTTCGTCCATATCGCACCTTAGTTGCCCAACTCGATTCAAATAATGTATAGTTTTGAGCATACGTATATACAATATATTACCAGCAACAGCAAACACTCACAACTAGAAATGAGCAGACCTCAGCTGGTATGTAAACCGATTATCAAGGACAATATGTGATTGGAGATGCCATTGTATTTGAGCTATAGAAAAGTCCAGATAGGAATATTTGAGGATAATATATTTGATGGCATGAAGTATGCAGTTATGTAACGTACAACTTTGCTTAATACAGGTCATACTAAAAACAATATTATCATGGCCTTAGCATTGTGTATATGGCAACATGTTAGACAAAAGAAAGGTTGTATAAGTCAGCGTGTCCTTGGGAGGTAAATGCTTCCATGAGATGTATCACATGAACATAAACCTTGCAGTTGAATATGCGTTTAGACTGAATAAGGAATATTTAAAGCTATTTACCACCCGGTACTTTGTCGTAGCCGTACGATGGCGACGTGGTCTACGGTAAAATGAGCCAAGCACATGGATTGGTGCCTGTCACAAGGTTTGTGTTATTCATTAGCTTGGTCACCAACATCCTCAAGATTAACCAGCACGATACCGCACATTTTGCTCTCGCAGGGTGCTGCGAAACGATGCCCACTAAACATGTCGTTCACGCTGCCGATTTCAAATGTTCATAACCCATCGAAGCATCAAATAGGGTTTCCCATCAAACATCCTAACTCAACGTAATCGCTCATTAACTTGCTTAGTAAAAATTATGCTGGTTTGCTTATCCAGCGATATTTATTGCTTATACCGTGCTCCATACCATCTCTATGCACCAGTAGTGTGGTGTAGATAACTCCAGATTTGGTGGAATAGTGTATCAAAGCTGCTTAGGAGCCGAAGACGATACCAACTCAGCTAAAGTGGTAGGTGGCACCGCCAGACGAGCTAAATCAAGTCTACATAGCCATTCGGACGGCTTATCCGGCGCAGCCAAGCTCGAAGAGCCGCAAAAATAGGCGGGAAGGGGCCGAGATCTAAAACCGCGCATTTTCATTATGGATTTGTATAGGAGTCGAGGAATAGCGGATACACCTCTTGAGGATACCCGCAGACGTAACAGCAAACCAGACAAGCTTTTCTAGGTCCATAACACGCATATGGTAAGTCTCTGTTCGAACCAGATAATGTCTACTGTCGGTGCTCGAGAGGCATCGCTTGTAAAATACTCAGCTGACAGCGCCAAGAGATTAACGTCGGTCTGGATTGAGCGTGTGTCTCGCCAAGCGAGGAGGAACCAACTCTCGCCACTACTGTGCGCCGGTATTCCGTACGCCCCGAGTATCGTTTGCCGAGTCGAGCTGCCTTTGCACTCGGCGAGATATGCAAACACTCCGTCCATGCTTTGGTGGAGGAAACAAGGATTTGTGAACGGAGACCGCTATCTTGGAGTCCCTCCGGAGCGTTTACCTTGGTTGGCGTTTGCCGGCGAGAGGCGAGCTGGCCGCTGTCTAAGGACCCGGCACACGTCAAGAAGACCGACTAATTTTTTCTGTTGTTGTGGTTTGAGCCCCGTTACCAGAACTGAAGATTTGTGAGTATGCCATGCAACTGTAGTTTCGTCATTCTCTGCATGCAGACGCTCCAAGCTCCACCATCGGGATGTATAGGTATTTGGGTCAGGTTTCTGACACCATCAAAGATTCAGGGATCCCCACTGAAGTGCGTACTTGAGCCACCCTAGGGTATTCACGATCTCCTATTGTTTGCAACCGCGAAGACGACACAATCAGAAAAATGTGCCCGGGCGGAACCCCCTGGTGTTCCCCGGTTTGCTACATTTAATGCACAGTTGTTGATATTCAGATGATGCAAGGTTACCATGGCACTTATGGTCTCCGCGATGACCACAACTGCCGACTAGAACTCCCGACCACTTCGAAAAATCCGTAAACAGTTATCTGCGCTATGCCCAGCCACTCTCAGAAATGTGTGCCCATCTCTTTAGTAGCGCGGTTCGTTTTCGTTCGCAACGCAATCCTGCAAATGTGCTGTCATACTTGCTTTCCGTGCCAAGTTGTTCTTTTTCGTACAAGCAGTGCCTTTCGATCAATGAAAGAGCTAAACGCCCTCAACAACAGATGTGGAGTCGGGATCCTAAAATAAAGTATTGCTGAGTGACATGTTCGTGCTGGTTTAGCTTGCAGGCTTACGAAGGCTTCGCTACCCTCTCTCTCATCTCATAATACGCGTGCTGTATAGTGAACTATCTCGGTGGCGGACTGTGGGGCGTGATATGAGTGTTCTTGCCCCGAAACCAACTGACTTGATTGTGTTACTACTACTACAGGCAAATTGATGCAGTGGTCTTATCTGAGTAGGTCAAACTCTAACTGAATGAGCAGTACTGACAGCATTTAGAGAACACTTCTCACCTTGCGCAGGGGCCAGTATTCGAGGACCTTGCTCTGGGGGCGCCACGTGGAAGGTTCTCGAACCGTCTCCTGTCTCTGCGCCGAACCCTTTGCGTGAATAAAACACCGAGCAATGCACCTCCCCTCGATTTTCCCACCCCGCAAAAAGCATGACATTTTGTCTTCTTTTCACTATAGGAGCGCGAAGAAGGGTGCGGACGTACGATTGGCTTGCATTTACGCTCTGCCCGCCAGCTCCAATTAAACCATCGCACTTGCGTTTCGATTTGAATAAAACACAGTACTGTGCGGTGATTGGTTAAAATATATGGCCTGTCTTCTTTTAGGCACAATGGCAGGCACAATACAAAGCAGCGCGCGACAGCCAGGGCTGGCCGCGAGACGAAGGGCGGAGCTGAGCCTTGCCCCAGAGAGGGACTGTGTGCGTCAGCAGTGGCGTCGTGCAACGTTCCTTGTCGTCTGAGTGGCGGTCGCTAGTAGATTGACGCAGCCGAGTGTGCGTGGAACCAAAGTGGCAAGGATGGTGAACAAGGAGCGTGCGGACAATTCGGATGAGCTCCACGAGTCCATGGACGACCATCATTCCAGCTCGACCGATGACGACTTCAAGGACGCAAAGAGCGGAGACACGACTAGCACCGACGAGGAATCATCGCCGAAGAGGGTGACGCGTGCACGAGGCAGGAAACAAGTAGCAGCAGCGGCATCGGCGGCGGCGTCCGACTCAGAAAGCGAAGGCCCCCGCACCCGCGGTGCAAGTAAAGCGAAAGTGAAGCCTGCAGCTGATTCCACATCGAAAGCGAAAAAGAGCAAGAAGGGCAACAGCAAGGCCTCCGCTAAGCAGAAACAAAAGGACGGAGAGTCGGACGACAGCGACTCGCCCGGTGACTACGTCCACGTCCAAGTAGGTGACTGCGTGATGCTGGATTCAGGAGACCCGGAGGATCCGTATGTTGCGCTCGTGAGCTCAGTTCAGACCTCGCAGCGGCATGATCGTGCTGTCTCCACTTTCATGGCTCAGTGGTACTATAAGCCTTACGACGTCAAGGATGAGGTGAAGGACTTGATCAAGGGCGGCGTCTTGGAGAACGAAGTGTTCCTCTCGCCGCACAAGGACAGGAACTCGATCGATGCAGTGATTGAAGTATGCCAGGTCGTTTCTCCTGAGGAGTATAATGACATCAAGGATGAGATCAAGCGTGGGTACCGCGAAAAGGGCAAGACGTATTTTGTGTGTCGCTACAAGTACTACCCGAACCGAAGCAACATCAAAAAGGCCCTCGAAGTTGTTGAAAATGAAGCAATCCGGAGCGGTTTGGGCCGTCCCAAACCCAATGTCGGTGCAAGTTATCAGGCGATCATCCCAGATTTCATAGAGGCAGCTCCATGTGTAAGTAGCACCGACGGCTCCGATGTTCCGTGGAAGATACGCGAGGACCCTGCTGCGCGTCCGCGACAAATGTGGTCCCCTCTCGCCGCAAGCACTCAAACTCAGATGTTTATTCAGTTTCGAAACCTCGTCGACACGCTCAAGTTTGGAGTTGGCAACATCGTGAAAACATACCGTCCAGATGCGAAACCTATGGGACACCAGCGCGGAATCGTTCTTCAGGACCTCCGTTCTGACTCAATCCAAGTTTGCGTATCGAGCGGACAAGTGCTCACGGTGCTGAAAAGTGAAGTGTGTTCGCCGCTTTCTGAAGACTTAGCGATGCAGCACTTATATCTTTCGAGATTTAACTTATCGCAAGCTGCCTACGGTTGCTCCAAGACAATTCTGCATGCCCAGCGTAAGGAAAGAAAGGCGTTCCGAAAGGAGGTTGAGCTGTTTGCAAAGGCGAAGGCTGCGGCTGCGATTTCTACGGAGAAAGATCTGCAAGAGGGAGACAGTCGAAAGCGTAAGAAGTAGGAGGCGCCTTATTTTCGTTCAAATGGAATTACTCAATCAGCTTGGACGAGCCTTTGATGCGGTTTTGCATGAAAGCGACCGCGTTCACTTCGGCATACACATCCAAGCCAACATTGGAGCGGTCTGTTGGCTGTCCTACAGCTATGCGGCAGATTTGGGCGCCTTCTTGTCCTCTTCCTTGATCGCCTTCATGTGATCCAGCAGGTACGCCAAGTCGAACGCCTTCTCCTTCAGGTAGTGGTATCGATCGCTGGCACTGAAGTGGCCTGACGACAAGTCCATCTTCAACAGCACCTCGTTCTGGTCGCTTTTCATATCACGCAGCTTAGCGACCCACTTGGTGGGCTCCCAGTATGCCACACGTGGGTCGAAGAGCCCGCTCGTGATCAGAATGTTCGGGTACGCTTGCTGCTTCACATTCTCGTAGGGCGAGTAGCTCAGCATGTACTCGAAGTACTCCTTCTCGTTCGGGTTTCCCCATTCCTCCCATTCTCCGGTTGTCAACGGGATCGAGGCATCGCTCATGGTATTCATCACATCCACGAATGGCACACCGGCAATCGCTGCCGTGAAAAGGTCCGGGCGCATGTTCAGCACGGCACCCATGAGCAATCCACCAGCACTGCGGCCTTCACAAGTCATCTTGCTGGGGCTCGTGTACCCAGCTTTAATAAGATGCTCCGCACAGCTGATGAAGTCCGTGAACGTGTTGACTTTCTTCTTGTACTTCGCATCCTCGTACCATGTCCGGCCCATTTCACCACCGCCTCGAATATGCGCGATAGCATAAATCACACCTCGATCCAGCAGCGGCAGAATAGATGAAACGAAACTGGGGTCGATCGGAATTTCGTACGAGCCATAGCCGTAGAGATGCAAAGGCTGGCGGTCCTGCGAGCGCATATCAGACCGGTAAACAAGGGAGATTGGCACCATAGTCCCGTCGCTAGCCTTTGCTTCCAAGCGCTCCGTTTTGTAAAGAGAGCGGTCGTAATTCGGCACAGGTTTCTCTTTCAACAACGTTGACTCGCGGGTTTTGATATCGTAGTCGAACGTCGTCCAGGGGGTGGTCATCGACGAGTAGATGAAGCGGTACTTGCTGGTATCAAAATCACGGTTGACGGATCCAGAAACAGTGTAGCTGGACTCTTTGAAGGTGATCTGGCGGCGTGAATGCTTGTCACCCTCAGGGACAATGACCCAGAGCTGCGAGTACCCACCCTGGCGACCTTCCATGACCATGAAATCCTTAAAGCAGTCAATATCGTCAACTTTGACGTTTTCATCGTACGGGAATACGTCCACCCAGTGCTCCGGCGACGGTGATGTCACGGGCGTCCTCATCAGCTTGAAGTTCGTTGCCTTGTCCTTGTTCGTCACGATGTAGAAGCTGCTGGCAAAATGGTCGACTTCGTAGATCAGACCTTTCTGGCGCTTGGCGATGAGCTGCGGCGGCTTCGACGGGTTGTCTAGGTCGATAAAGGACACTTCGCTTGTTTCGCTGCTGGATGACAGTAAAAACATGTACTTCCCGCTGCGAGCTTTTTGGAAGTATGCGCTATAGATTTCATCGTCTTCCGTGTAGAGCAACTCATCAGCATCCTTGCTTCCCATTTGATGGCGCCAAAGCTTGTCCTGGCGGTGGGCTTCGTCCTGCGTGGCGTAGTAGAGCACGGACGCATCTTGGCCCCAGCGCAGACTCGAGATGTTCTCGATCCGGTCAGGCAGCAGCTCTCCGGTCTGGAGATCCTTCACGTAGCCCGTGTACGTTTCGTAGCCGCTGAAATCTACCATGTACGCCAGATAGCGGTGGTCAGGACTTGGCGATACGCTAGCCACCTGACAATGGTTGTGGCCCTTGGCGATCTCGTTCTCGTCCAGCAGCAACTCCTCCGGCGCATTTTCGGTTTTGGCCTTGCGGCAGTGGTAAGCGTAGCTGCTTCCCTTCACCGTGCGGTTGTAGTACAGGTAGGGGCCGTGCGGATACGGGAAGTCCTCATCCGTCTCCTGAACGTGCGATAGCAGCTCGTCGTAGATGTTGGCGCGGACGTTGGTGAGGTGCTTCGTCTTGATGTCCGTGTACTCATTCTCCTTGCGTAGATGCTCGAGCACCTCTTCGTTCTTGCGGGAATCGTCTCGAACGTAGAAGTACGGGTCCTCTAGGTACAATACCGGCTTCATGGGGCTCGAGCCGCGGTTCTGGCCAGCAACAGCCCCGAAGGGAACCATCTTTGGCCTCTTCTCCAACACTGGCGGGCGCACACGCTGCGCCAGGCTCGAATAAGCGGCACGACGGAGGCGGACCATGTATAGCGCTGCGGCTGTGCCGACACCGACACTCAGGTTCACCGCACTGAGTCTGCTCATGGCTGATGGAACGCTCGGGTGTCCGCACAATTGGTGGGCCCGGGGGGGGGGATCCGATGCGCTTGTGAAGCACAAGCGAATCTATTCGGAATCTAATTCTGTGGCGTAACTTGTTCGGATTGTGGTACAGGATACAGCCAATAATTGACAAGAAAGTGTCTAATGATACGTGCTCGCCTTCTGTAGACGAATTCGTCTAGCAAAACCAGTGGCCAGCACACCCACCGCAGCGTTTCGTCTCAATGGACAGCACGAACATCGGCATTTCCCGTCAGTTGGTCAGCACAGCGAAGTAGATACCTTGGTTGCTGCATTAGAGCTCTGTGTCCACAAACACACCAATACGGGAGTCTGCTAACTCGAATTCGTTACGCTGTACTGTCAGAGTCTGGATATAATAGTTCACAGACTTAAACCAGCCGCCGCCATGTGCAGAACGGTGCTTTGATACCACAAACGGGTAGGCTGGGGTCTTGCTTGGCTTTTTGTAACTGAAGCGCTTGGAGAGTTGTCGGCGAAAGTGGGGCCAGGATTGTGGGGCCTCGGCGATAGCGTTGCGTCGCCGATTCTTGACAATTCGCTCGAGGAATTAAACTGGCTAAGTAGACTACCCCGATTTGTCAAAACGTAAGTAGATAGAGAACCTATTATTAATAATACTTATAAGTAGGTGAAAATAAGCATCTGGAACGGTCTAAAATAAGAATATGAGCTATTACAGAACAAACTCGGAGCCATTAAGCACATACATTTACGTAGGAAAGTGGGGTTTCCTCGACCACTGGGTCCAGCGTTGAGCTGCTGCAACCCTTCTCCGCCTTAATCTTTTGTTGGCAGCACTATTGCCACCGTGATCAGCACGCGGCTCGTGACATAGACGTTCACGGCATGCGCAGTCTCATGGCCTTTGGATCATGGACCGAACCATGCGGTCCAACGTTGGATGCAATGTTGCATCTGAAATGACTGCCCCAACTACTGTAGTGTAACTCAGAAGAACTTTTGCAGGTGTAAAAAAAAAGATTTGAATGATTTTAGTGTCGAGCACTATGCATTGGACGAAAAGTTAATTCACTTTAGTTATCTCTTTTCTAACTTTAATTACAAGTAAAAGGGACTCATACTCCAGCGGAACAATGTTGTATTTGATGGTTACAAAAGTGCGTGTTGGTCTGTACGTCGTGTACCCCGCAAACATGTTAGTATTTTTTTCCAGCACACTAAGTCACTGTAAGTGCTGTTTGCAAACGGGGTTGTATGTTTGCTACTCTATCACTATGTCCAATTATGGCTACTCAAGAGCACTGTTACCCGTTGTCGATTCCATATTCCATGTACTCACCACGGCGTAGCCAGAGTAGTCTAGTGCTACGTAGTTTGAGGAGTCATGAATAGTTAAAAAAAACTGTCTAACTCCACAAACATGTTAGCCAGATTCACTACACACTAACTTGTGCTAGCTATCAAATACCAGTAGTGTTTGTTTTTTTGGGGGTTAAGAGGTCCTCTATTTACTTCAATTGGTGTTTGTGCGTACACTACCTGTACGACTGCAAACGTTTACTGTATTGCGTTAGTTTTACAGCACAAGATTTACAATACATGCAGCTTTAGTTTCCGTCTCTATTTCAACTATTTCCGCAAAGGCCGAAAGCAGGTCATTGTTCAACCCGTCTTGCGATCCGACATTTCATATATATATGTAATATATCGGCGAAGTACATATATCAAAGCAGAAAATAGGAGAAGAACAAAAAACTACTAGCACTGCCTGCGAATCGTTGAGCCATTAATAAAATTTACATTGTCCATCCGTTGTCACTCGGTGTTCGGCTTCTTCGCACTAAGTAAGTTCCTCGCAGCGCGGATAAATGTACGAGCCGTCGCCCACAGCATCCTTTGCTTACGTGGCCGAAGAGCGTCGGCAAGCCTCGCGGTGGTCTGGCCGCACATAAGGGTTTGCAGCTAGGTGCGATGCGGCGAGCAAGGGAAAACGAGCTGGGTTATTGGATAGAAGCAATTGGGGCCGCGCGATAAGAAGTTTCAATCCCCATGATTCATCGTCATGAGCAAATTCTATGAAAATAGAACAGTCGCAGTTTCTAAATCTGATACTCTATTTTTTTTACTTTTATTCCTACTTGGATAGAAGCAAGAACCTACTTACGTTTTGACAAATCGGGGTAACAGTTTAATTCCTCCAATTCGCTCCGCACGAGGATCGCGAGATTTGCCAAGTGTGAAAAAGGCACCGGAACTTGTGTACATAACTTGCGCGCTCGTTGTTCCGCCAATCGCCTGAGGCAGCTATTCGCCGACGCAGCCTGCGTCACGCAGGCGACATTGGACGAGAGGGATCAGGTAGGAACTGCGTCATGCAGTCTGCATGGCGTCGCGCTCAACTTGTTCATTCAATTCAATTCAATTCAATCAATTGTTTTGTTGCATTGATGCTCTGGTTGGCTCAAAGAGAGAGTACCACCGACGTTCGCGGCAAAATATTTACTCTCATTACTAGAGATGTCATCGAAGTTCATCGTGCGTGCCACACGCGATTTATAATGAACTGGTGCTCTCGGCGTCTCCAGTTTAGAAACAGCAGAGGAGATGTGTACAGTGTAGAGAAATTAATCGCCCCGGCCATGCATGTATCGTGAGTCATCCAAACACTGTGCAGCGTCCTATCAGCTCTACTGACGGGGCCGCAATACGGCCCCGCAAGGCTTGACCTAACGAGCGCGTCAACTGTGCTTACTGTACATGCTGGAGCTGCTGAAGTGCTATATGATTCGTGTTGGAGTCTACCACGTTTCTCACCTTGGCCTACAACAGCGTGTTTTCCAAAAACGTATATTACGCCCTTTCAGTATAAATGATGGGAGGTGCGATTTCAATCTTCCAATCAAGCCTCGCGACAAAAATCTTGTAATCGTCGTAAAACTAGGACATCTGCCTCTGTTACTTCGAGGTAAGTCGGTGCAGCCAGTGCAAAACCGAAACATGCATGTGGAATCCAGCCGTTTGCTTGAACATACCTTGTGTAGCTGCTCTCTGTGAGTTTCGCTGCCACCAGTTGACCAAAAGCTACTGTAGCTGCAGCACACAACTCTCAGGGCCACCGTGAGCCTCAGTCTTGAATTTTCCGCCTTCCACCCAAGCCACTTGACAGCCGGTCTCCATAATGGGCAAGCCCTTCTTCACGATGGAGGACGCCAAGGCCTCATTCAACCTCTTCTGCTGCGTCTACGGTATCGGCACGCTCGGCATGCCTGGCAACTTCTCCCGAGCTGGACCTGCACTCGCGATCGTCGCGATGGCCTTCATGGCCTTCGCAAACATCTACGGAGCTGTCGCCATCTGCCGCGTTATGCTGCTCGCGCCTACCTCCGTCAAGACGTACGGTGATCTGGGCGAGTGGGTCATGGGCAAGTGGGGTCGCTATCTCACAGTCATCGCTCAAATGGGCAACTGTTTGATCGTGCCATGCGTGTTCCTGGTGCTCGGTGGCACGCTGCTGGACGGCCTCTATCCTGGCGCCTTCAGCACGACAACGTGGTCTATTCTCATGGCACTTACCGTGTTGCCCGTTTGCCTCGTCCCAACGCTGAAGGAAGGAGCTGGCGCCGCGTTCGCGGGTTGCATGGGGACACTTGTCGCGGACGTTATCGGCATTGCAGTCGTCATGCACAGTATGCGGGGCCACCCCACTGCCCCTAGCGCCCGATCTCAACTTCAAGCAAGTCGTCGGCGCCTTTGGAAACCTAGCACTAGCGTACGGTGCTGGCATCGTCATCCCGGCCTTGCAGCGCCAGCACAGTGACCCCACTCGGATGTCTCGCGTCGTGTTCGTTACGATGGCGTTCACTACGTGCTGCTTCCTGGTGTTGGCCAGTACTGCCTACTCTTCCGTTGGATGCCAGATATCCGGCAACCTGCTGTGGTCGATCTACCCCCAGGCAGACACCGGTTTGACTACGCTGGGCTTTTCGTCGGATTGGGGCGCCATTGTGCTCGCGTACATGTTCATGCAATTGCACATCACGATCGCGTTCTCCGTCATCCTGAACCCAGCCTTCTACATCACCGAGCGTCTCTTCCTTGGTATGCACAAGCAAGCACCCGAGGACATTGAAAACAACCTGTTGAGCTACGCGGAGGCTGCCTCGCCCAAGGACGGAGCGGATCACCTGGAGAAATCTCGCCTCTCAAAGCGCTCCTTCATCTCTGTTGCGGACAACGAGAACGTCCACCTCGGCGAGCCCGAGGCCGAAGCTGCTGAGTACCGTGGTGCCAACGCTTTCAAGTACGTCCTCTTGCGGATCGCCATCATCGTGATCTTGGTCGTCGCCTCGGTTGTCTTGAAGGACCACTTCGCGGACTTGTCCGACTTTGTTGGAGCGTCATGCATCACGATGCACTCCATCATTCTGCCAATTGTGTTCCTGATGAAGAAGCAGTGGGATGTGATGCCGATTTGGGAAAAGGTGATGGCTGTGACCGTTACTGTGGTGTGCTTCTGTCTTGGTTGCTACGTCACCTACACGTCGGGTGAGAATCTGTTTTTTCCAAGCGATGACGGCGTGGAATTTCCGTTTTGCGGACCGGAGTACGAGAACACCGTGTACTACAACTACACGGCTGCCCACGAGAACTAGGCCAGCTATATTATAATGACATTCCTTTAGTTAGTGTACAGACAATCCTCTTTGTAGTAGTATCCCGAATAGTGAAACCTTCTGGTTAGCACAAATAAAGGTTCTCCCGAGGACCGATGGCATACAAAATTCTAAAGTGGGTTGCTTGCGACCTTGAGCAGAATCGGATTCTCAGGGCCCACACACATTATAAGTCTAGCATTATGCGATTCTGAAACGTGCAATTGTCGTATCAGCTTGGGTGCTAGCGCGTTGTAGCAGCCCGTGCTGTCCTCCCAGTTCCATCTGAATAGCGGCCAGCGTATCATCCCTCCTCGTGCCATACAGCCGTAGACTAGGGGTTCTCAAATACTTTCCAGCGCAACAATCAGCACTTATCTACTGTAATGCTTTGACCATATATCGAGTGTATTGAGTGCAATATAAGCTGACAAAGTGCCAAAATGACGGCATTATCACTACACTGGGAGTCCTAGAGAATGGAACCGGATCAAGCCAATCCGGATATTCAAATCCGGTTGTAGCAATCAGAATCAAACCGACTTAAAACCGGATTAACGGATACAGACAATCCTCTTTGGAGTGATATCCCGGATAGGTATACCCTCTGGTTAGCACTAATAAAGGCTCTCCCGATGACCGATGCATACAAAATCAAGTCAAAATATCCTCTTACCTCCGCATAGTGCTTAGTGATACGAGATTAGGTTTTATCACTACCCAGAGACCGTTAACTATGGGAATGTCCATTTCGTAAAGCATGCTCGGCAAAGTTCCACCACAACGGAGGTCGCTTGCGACCATGAATGGACTCAGATTCTTTGGGTTCGCGGACATGTTATTAAGTTTGGCAAGTTTGTGATTCTGGAACGTGCATTTATCGTATCAGCTTGGGCGCTAGACTAGATGTCGCGTTCTAGCTGCCTGTGCAGTCCTCCCAGTTCCATTTGAATAATGGCCAGGCTATCATCACGCCTCGCGCCATATAGCAGTACATATTATAATGTTCAGCGCAATCAATACTTTTATCTAGTGCTTTGGCCGTATCGAGTGCAATACAATTTCACCAAGTATGCATTATCACTACACTGGTACCTTGAACGATATTGCACCGTCATTAGCGGCAGTCAGAGTTGGATGCAAGAGATATCTCCAAGAGGTAAATTTAGCAAATCGGCGCCATCACCCGTCTCTTGGACTCCATGAGCTCTCTTGGAGCCTCAGTAGCTAGGGTAAGATCTCTTGGGTTCTAAGATTATTTTGACTAATCACTGACGTTTTTTCTCTTGCAACCGCTCTTGCATCCAACTCTGACTACCGCTATTGTGGTAGAGATCTAGATAGTGATGCCTCTGGATAGTGTAAAAAAGTTGTCTCCCGAGGCTATCACTACGGAGAGGATTGTCTGTAGCGCCAAAATAGCGTACGCTTCCCGAATTGAGTACCTCCTCTCAAATCTGATAGAATGTGGTCAGTATACGAAGCTATTAGAGAACTTTCGCAAACCGATTTTAGTTTGGAGGAGTACCGTGATTGGGGTCTCTCAAATCTGATACTCAAACGCAATTCTCTGGATTTATCCGGAGTCCCAACAGGCCCCGGATTAAGGACAAATAAAAGGACCGAAAGTTTGAAGCTTATGCTGACATTGGTTTTGCGAGATACACAATATTATTGCTCTGGCCAGAAAGCCCTTGACTCGTTCTACAAGGGGGGGGGGGGTGTCTTGCACAATGTCCTCTGCTGTCCATCATGATAAAAGTGCAGATTGAAATATGTCATATATAACATATCACCTCTCCGTTTTTGTCCTTAATTCTAGGACAAAAATCGCACATTGACTTGATTACATTATGTGGATCCAGACGTTACACCTCTCACACTTGTTACAATTGACACCTCGTACTTACGTGATTACACTCAATACAAACGCCAATTCTATTTTGGTCCTTTTTTGCGGTTTAAGGACAAAAACCCGGAAAGTACCTCGTACTTAAGCAAAATTTTGTCCTTAAATCAGGGACAAAAATGTTGGGGCTATCCCTAACATTTTTTGGCATGTATTTGATAAAAGAATAGGGGTAGTCAATGTCCGCAGCAACAGCTCACTTTTTTCCGCCGCAGCAAGTCGGATTTTTTCCGGGGCTGTGATTGGCCAGGAAAAAAATCGGCGGAACAAAAAGTCGTTCCGGTCGAGCCGCAGCAGTAGCTCGTTTTTTTTCTGGCGCCAAGATCTGAGCACCAACGGTACGGTAGCATGGTCGTCGCGCGAGAGAAGACTCCGCCCTTGGGGCTTGCGCTGCGAGCAGAGTACTCGGAAGGTCAATCTAGTAAGCCTACTTGTGTCAGTCGGATGCCTTGGTGTCCAGCAAGCGTTGCTCCAGCGCGATCATGTAGTAATGCACAATGTATGTCGAGGGACGGAGAGAACACGAGCCTTCCGCGAGCTCTGTATCTATACTACACTCGAGTCTTCCTTAGCAAGCAGCCTAGGACTGTGTCTAAAGCTTCATCCACTAATCGCTGCGTGTTGGAAGGCGCTGAGAGTAGTGAGCGGACAGCTGTTCGCTCCGCTAGCTACAGCTAACTTAGCCCTACTTTCGCATCGGCAGGCCGAGCAACAAGCGCCTCCCCCAACAAAACTCAACACGCTGTCTCCTCACCTTGACCATCAACAACAGGTGGGCCTCCTTCGTGCTCACGCGCGACCTCAGCAACTCTACAACTCGGATAGACGCCGACTGGAGTTTCATGCTAAGATCAACACCTACCACGCCGATTGCAGTAGGATGAAGACGCTGTTGCCTTCTCACACTCAACCTGAAGGAGGGAGAGGACACCACCTTCCTCTTGCTGGCGCTCCGGGCATTCCAGCGTACGCTTCCCAGCATCCCAGAGGACAAGCGCGTAGGCTGGGGCGTTTGAAGCCGAGGGGGGACGGAAAATCTTGATCTGTTGCTGCGGACAGTGAATGGGGTGGTCAACGGACTCAGCTTGTGATTGGTAAAAAAACATTTGTCGTGTCTGAGTGAGAAAAAAATTTAGTCGCTGCTGCTGGCATTGACTACCGCTAATAATGGCACCTCTGCGAAATTCTCTTATCAAATACCTGCCAAATATGTTTTGATAGTTGGTCAGTATTACAGTTATATTACCTGTTGTATCAAATATCCTGCGGACTAATGAAATTATGCTGCTATGTTGACCCATCCGGTTGAGATTACGTCAAACTACCTATTATTTCGCGTAACCTCTATCCAATTATACGGACCTGTGACAGTTAATCTATCTGCCACTCAAGCGACATCCATCGGATTTTTTCCCGCTCGTACGACACCCTGACAGGGGGCGATAATTTCGGCATCGTTCCACGACTTTCAAGGCACTAAGGCAAATTGCCAGTTTAGTAGAATTTTCGATAGCAACTTTTAGCCGACCGCCCCTGATCGTAATTTTGACCGTGTAAGAAGGTTACACGCACAAGTGGATACAGTCACTTGTAACTCTAACAGACACGACGTCTGTTAGAGGTTCGAAAGACATTATCGACTTTGGTGTAGACACACCAAAGGCTACATACATTTACGATCACCACGACGGGTGGTCCATAGAGACTTAGGATTCCTATTGGCCGAAAGCAGCATCTTTTAGCCAATGAGCGACATGCATAGCATTGGAATTCTGCCAACGGCTGGTTGGCAGATTCCTATCTTAGAATATTACATTTAGAGGAAGTCAGAAACATAAAACAAAAATAGCAGCTCTCAGTTTAACCCAAAAACATTATTTGGATCGTTTATTTAGATTAATCTATACTCGGAGGCCCGAGTATAATTAACTCTAATTTAAACTAAGCTACGCTTCCTCACATACACGCGCACACGTGTAAGCTAAAGCAGTGGGCCAAAGTAGGCCCGTTACACCTGGTAGCACTTTGTAGTCCGTCCAACGACCGACTACCTGAGTTCGTACGTCACCGCACGAACGCGGAGCTGAGAACCTTCCCATGGATACAGAGGTGCCCATGGAAAGCTCCACTACGCCTGCAACTCACGTTGCACGCGCTGACTGTCCCCACCTGTCGGATCCAGAGTGGGAAGCACTCCAACGACTGTCAACAGTCATTGGGGAGGCGGCTGTAGCTATGATGCTGCGTACGCTAACGCCGACAGAGCAACACGGTGTTGCTCTGGGTTTCATCCTGAAGGAGCAACGCGGTGTTGCTGCTACTACCGCGGTGCCGTCCGGGACGACACCACACGCGCAAACGCTGAAGCTCAATGTGAGTAACTATGTCGGAAGAGAGGGTGAACCCCTCCTCCGTTGGCTTGTCGAACTCGACACTGCCATTGCGGCTCGACGTATCGTCGACCCGTTGTCGAAGGTCGCGTTCGCCATGTCATGTCTTGGCGGACGTGCAAGAAGTTGGGCGTATGGACGCCGACTCTCGGATCCTACGTGCTTTAGCACGTACGAGGGTTTCAAGGAGGAGCTCAGACGAGCGTTTGAGCCCCCACAAAACGAGTTCCGGTCGAGGGCGGAGTTCCTCGGCCTGCAGCAGGGCAAGCATGATGTCCATGCTTACGCTCAGAGAGCACGGTACTTGGTCTCGAACATCGTGACCAATCCGATCGATGAGGCGACCAAGGTTGTCACATTCATGAAGGGACTGAGAGATGGGCCTGTGAAGACCTATCTCTTCCGTGAGTACCCGAGTACTCTCGAAGCTGCAATTACTCTTGCAATGCAGGAGGAGTTTAGCCTGCGGCAGGCTAAGCTGCATGCGAATGCGCCGAGGCTGCAACCGCCTCCGGTCGCGATAGCGGGAGGTCCGGAACCAATGGACCTCTCGAATGCAACGGCTGTTGGTTATCAACAGCAACAAGGAAGTAATGTACGATGCTTCCGTTGCGGAGGGATCGGTCACTATGCCCGAGAGCGCACGGCACCCGTGCACCGAGATGGTGGTCGACGCGGCGATGCCGGGCATCGTCGCGGAA